ATATTTGTGGCTCATTAAGTCGCATCGATGTCATCCTTATCAGTGATTGTCGCAGCCTAGCGAATATTCACTGCGGATCAGTGTGAAATGAAATAAGAAAGAGAAATGTGGGTTTAACGTCCACTCAACACAAACAAGGTCATTTTGGGATAAATATATGGTTCAATTTAGTTATATTAATTTGCTTGTGTGTAGGGGTCTTTAGCAGTGGGACGAAACCATATGACCCGGAGAAAACCCACATAAGTTGGACAGGCGAACCTACTCCTTGTCACGTACAACCAGGAAATCGGAACCACACCACTTGACTCAATGTCAGACCTTAAGATGCAACATGCACACGTTAACCATTCGTCCACCCAATCCCCCTAAATGAAATGAAAAGGTGTTTAACGTGTACTGAGCAAATACTTTCAGTAGAGGTAATACTTTATAACAGAATCTCATCCAGGTATAATTTCCAAGTCCAGAGATTCCATAAACAGGAAAATAACCTCTGACAAAACATACTGAACAATTTACACACTAATATATGAATACCAAATTCACAGATTACAATACATGTTTATAAACTTTTAAAATCCAATATTTATTCTTTAAATTTCTCTGTTTTATTAAGGGAATATAATAAATGCGTAGCTGTGGTTAATGATCTGATGCTGCTTGTTGCCCTTGTTTCAAGATTATATATATATATGGGTAATGAAAGGGTTTTCTTGGACAACGATTTCAGAGACATTTTCCCATTTAAAATAGGCCTATATATAATAATAATAGTTATTACTTTTAATCAAAAATAAAAAGTCAAGGCTCCCACTTTAAAATCTTTTCAGTCTATCAATTTTTGTACACATCAGCCTCCCAGAAAATGTGTCTCAATTTATACACTAAGTATTTTAAACCATACAAAGTTTATAGAAAATTTTTCAATTCATTTGAAATAGCTAGGTTTTGACCTTTGTTAAGTCTCAAATTAGTGAGGATTGGCAACATGACTAAAATGAGGATATTTTAAACAAATATTATTCACAAAGATAATAAATATTTTCAGTATAGATATCATGTATTAAATATATAAAATATATATATAAATAATATTAAATTTATAAATTCATGGTGATAGTTCAATAAAAATTTTGAGCATATTAAATAGTGTGAGATAAAACTTCAATATTATCTATTTACAAAACCCCCTCAAATATAACACTTTAAACATTATAATAACCTAATTATGATAATGATATACAAACAAATGGATGAAGATATATATTTAATAATTTACAGCTGCTCATTATCATATGGGGCATCTGTTATACGAATAACCTAAAAATACCACCATTAGGAGTAAACAAGTCACTTAAAAATGTATGAATTGTAAGCTTATTTATCAGTTTCAGCCTATTATTTTATTTTTCCCTTTCATAAAAAAAAATATATTTTTTCAAGTTGTAACTGATAGCCTATTTAACCACAAATGTTTGAATTTTGAGCTTATTTTTCACTTTCAACCTACAATTTTCCCATTCATTAAAAATTTTTCAAGGTGTAACTTCTAGTCACAAAGGAATATATTGCTAAATCTTTTATAGCACACAATAAGTTTACAATATATATATATTAACAATATCACTATATTTAAACATTTGATTCTAATACACAATAAAACAAAATACACTGTGACAAGCTTTAAAATTTACAATTTTAATATTTCATTTCAAGGATTATATACATTAGTTATGAAACAGAGGTCAACAAATATAGAAATCTTATGTACAAATAATTTATTTCACTCCTTTTTTTGATAGATTATGACTTTCTATCGCAACATACATACATTCATATATCAACAGGAAATTCAACAACTAATTAATTAAACAGTGATATGTATTTTCCGCTAAAATTACAAATTTCTCACGGCCTAATCCGTGCTAATATGTAGTCGCATTAATTTTTCAATATTTAATTAAGAAAACAAAATCCAAATACCAATGCTAGATTATCTCCGGATTTCAATTGGATTTAAAAAATGCCTATCATTTCTGTTTGCCCACATCAAAATGGCGGTTGGCTTATTACACTTTGTAGATACAGAACAGAATCCAAGTAAGTTGATGTCCAATTGGGCATATTCATGGTCAGACGCTTGGAAAATAGCGTAGGACATGTCTGGAATATATGGGCAAAATAGCATCTCTGGTTTGGACTGAATTCATATTGCTTAAAATGGGTTTCAAAATTAAAATCAACAATTGTCTTACCAAAGAAAATGGAGACTATATTACATGTATATCCTATTTAAAAAAAAGAAGTTAGTCCATATTCAAATTTTAAAAAAATTAAAGCACATGATCTAAAACTTTGTGAGTTTCCATTAGAGTTAAATCTTTTTACAGATATATAAACATCTGAATGCTGCTGATCACTCTGACCAACAAACAGTAATAACAAGAGACCTAAAACCTCCCTGACTTATGACGGTCACATAATAAATAATGCCATATTATAGAATATAATGCCCGATGTACTACTATACATAACAATACAATCTCGTGACTGTTTAAAGGACAATATTGGTGTCAGTCATTATCACATACGTGATAGAGCTGGTTAAACACGTTCCAAATACAATTTTAACACAGAGATCATTGCTACGGGGAAGTGTAATGAACATTTCAGCAATTGGAAGTGACGAACGCAAAAAGAAAACACGAGTTATCCCTCTATATAACTGACTGAAGTGACGAGTGATAACAGATACTCGGGCAAATTTCTGCTCACTAATAATTCCTTCAAGTCTAAAAGTTGTTATATGAGACTGTAAGAGTATATCGCCCATGTACCAGTTATCACTCGTCACTTCAGTCGTGTTTTCCTTTTGCGTTTGTCACTTCTGATTGTTGAAACCTGCATAACACATCTATCGAAGCAATGATCTCTGTGATAAAATTATATTTGGAACGTGTTGAACCAGTTCCATCACATATGTGATAATGACTGACATCAATATGGTCCTTTAACCCTTTAGTTCTTGGTACATGTAAATATATCGACTACCCCAGTTCCAAGAAGGAAATTAGAGAAAAGTAATATATTAATAGGAAAATAGGGGGCATGGCAACACTCCCTTAAAAGAATAACATGGACTGGACCGGCCTATAGTTCTGTGTAGCTGCTGGATCAAACGATGATGCCAGCGGAGAGTGCAGAGAGTAATAAAGATCTACAGGTAAGTACAAAATCAGAATTAAGGTTAGATGAGAAGTGGTATATTAATACTGTTACATCCTGAACAGATCGAAACTAGTGTACCTTAGACCGTCTCAAACCACCGGACATATTTGAATAGTTTTCCGTACTATAGGACCAATTTGCATGCCCCACAACTGTGCAAGTGACAGAGCCATTTGGGACGGTCTAAGGAACTCTAGTTAGGGTGGTAAGAAGCCGATCCATACCTATTTGCCTGTTTATTAATATTAACTGTGTGTTTATCTAGATCTAATTGCAGCATGAGCATTAAAAACTTTGAAGGAATGTATGCAGTATAAGACCCACTATTATTATTTACAGAACAGCTAGTATATATTGTAATGCTAAAAATAAAATACCCTTTCATTTACAGACAATGACTTAAAAATTATAAAATCTTCTAAATTAAATAATAAATATATCTAAATGTATCGGTAGTTCTAAATTCATTCATCAATAAAAAAACTTATGTCAGCAGAATTTGTACTAGAATCAAGCCTGTAAATAAGGCGCCTGTCACTGACAATGTCAGACACAGATTCAGGGATTGTCAGGCACTAAACCTCTGGTGCCTGTCATTTTGACTGGCACTGATTTGTCTTTTTTATTGATATTATTAATACATGTCCGGCATCAAGTTAAAAAAGTCAGGTACTATTTCATTAGTGCCTGACATTTTGTCAGGTACATCTAAAACCGTTATTTCCAGGCCTGACTAGAATCACCACAACTCAACAATCATAGAGTTGCTTGATACATGTAGTGTACTAATTTTGGCAATTTTTCCCCCAGTGATTAGACAACAGAAGAAATGAAATGAAATGAAATGGGGTTTAACGTCCTACTGTTCTGCTCCTAACCTGGGCTAATGAAGACGGGCATGCGCCATACAGTGTGCTATGAGGGAAATTTTGCCCGGACAGCGGCACTACGGCCTACTCTTATATCGAATTCCAACTGCCAAGGGATCTTTTACGTGCACGCCAATGTGTACACGGGACCTCGGTTTTTCGTCCCATCCGAAAGACTAGACAGCTTTCCTTGTCAGCCCCTCCGTCCTGCATCACTGACAAGGGAGAACCACGCCGGAAAATCTGGATGAACTTTCTCGGCCAATGCAGGGACAACAGAAGCCTAAATCAAATAATTGGAGAGTTACCAAAATGATTGACATCAGGCACACATGACATAATGACACAACTTACAGTTCCAAAATATTGTAATTTTTTTTAAAAATATTTTCTTAGACACTGCCTGACAAATTAGCGACAAATACTAATAGAACATGCTAAAATATCTGTCTATTGAATATGCTGTTTATTTACCCTTTCAATTCTGACACAAATTTTCAGATCACAGACTGCCATTTTCTTTACAATTCAGGGTTTGACATTTAGGAAATTTGACAAAAGAACAAATGTGTGACAGTTATTGCACAATTACAGATGGAGTCCTTAGAAGTCAGAAATCATTTTTGGATATCTATGTGGTCGTATGGAATCAATCTGTTGACTGGAATCAAAACATTTTAACATTTGTTTGAATGGCTTTTTTGTTAGAATTGATCAAAATATGTGACCGCAAAATGAGTGGGAATTCACAAGTCATAGTTTACAATATATGAACAAAATGTCGAAATATATATATATATATTAAGAACCTATTTGAACATTTTTTTTTCATATCGAAATGTGACTTACGGTCACATATGACCATACTTTTTTTATACAAATAATAATTCTTCTGGCATGTTGAGGCTTTAAGTATATAAAAAAAAAGAAAGAATTGAAATATTACGAGAACCCTGCCATGAAATAAATTAATTATATCGACCATTTTTTTTTCTGTCTACCTTTCCCTCTACTTGGTGGCAGGCCTTTCGATGTTTCATCACTTTTCTTTTTTCGTTCTACTACCACCCACTTATCTGCGGTCGGCTGGTTTCCTGTGCTGGAATCAGTTGAGCGAGCAGGGGAGCTATTTTGGGATTGTTGATGACTAGGTGAAGCGTTAGGGGATAATGTAGGAGGCTTTGGCTTTTGACCATTATTTCTCTGGACCTCTTTGTAAATAGCCGTATGACGTTCTTGAGGCAGATTAATCTTTTTTGGCGGCTTACCTCGATAAGCTGGAGTTTGTGAAGTTCGAACATAGGGATCACCACTCACGGTCTGTCGTTGAGGTATTTCATTTGTTTTCAACAGCTGTGGATTGGAGTAATTAGGTTCACTATCAGAATTATTCCGACTACCCTGTTTTTTGTTTCCACGGTACTGCCCCACACTGCCCCTACCCTGTGGAAAATAATTTTTAGGCTGATTGCTAGAGAATTGTCTATTTATGTTATGAGCACCTCGCCAATTTCTGGAACTCTCATACCTATGCTGATCGTAGTTTTGATTATTATGATGTGATTTCTTTATAATACTTTGCTTTTCTGTTCTTGCAGCTTGAGACTGAACTGGCACGTTGGATTGGCACTTGCGGCAAATTTCAGCATACGATCCAGACTGGTGTTCACTAAACCCACTGGAACTGCTGTTCGATGTGTCGCCATCTCCTAAAATGAATTTCACTTTAAGGTTCTTTTGGCTCGTTTCTCCTGGCTGAGGGTCTGCTGATGGGTTGTGTATTTCCGAATTTCTTCGGGAGAAATTGCTCAAAAGAGAGGCGGATGAGTCAAAGGAAGGCTGAAGGACGGCGTTTGACCCTGGCACGGGTTTGGGTTGTAAGGACCCAGCTAGAGATGTAAAGGAAGGTTTTCTACCAGACACAATACTCGACCAAACATCTGGACTTCCTATAAAATATAAAGAAGATAAAAGATTAAATTAAGAGAGAGAGAGAGAATTGGGGTTTAACGTCCACTCGATACAAACTAGGTCATTTCGGGACTAACATATGGTTTAATTTTATTTCAATAATTTGCTTGCGCGTAGGGGTCTTTAGCAGTGGGAGGAAACCGGAGGACCCGGGGAAAACCCACGAGGTTGGACAGACGACCCTACTCCTTGTCACGTACAACCGGGGATTCGATTAAATTAAGGAAAGAATGGTGATGTACATATATTATATAGTATCGGCAGTAAGAGAATATACGGCCACCATCAGCATTTTTAAGCGTTGCATTTATATATATCACTATATTACGTGCAATAATTACACATACATTTCAATAGGATACCTTTTTAGATTTGCCAACTAAATCCAGCTCGTTACAAGGACAGCTGTCTAGTCATTCATATGAGACAGAAAACCGAGGTCCCGTGTACACATTGGCGTGCATGTTAAAGATCCCTTGGCAGTTAGAATTCAATGTAAGAGTAGGCCATAGTGCCGCTGCCCGTGCAAAATTTCCCTCATAGCACACTGTATGGCGTATTTCCATCTTCATTAGCCCAGTCAGAGCAGAACATTAGGATGTTAAACCCAATTTCATTTCAATTTCTTTTCATGACAGGGGCAATGTATCCAGACATTGATTATTACCAATGACTTGGGTTAAGATATACCGCTAAACATTTTGTTTGTATAATCTAACAGCTCGATGCATTATTTAACGCTATAGGAATCCTTTTAAAACTACAATATTGTGAAAGGGAGATCGGTCCCAAAATGGTTCAAATCCATTCAGTATTTACAAAGTTATGATAAATTGAAATTTCATCAATCTATGCCGCTCAAGCGTAATAAAAAGCCGCCATCTTTTATTGGTAGCAGAGAAACCCGATGGGCAATTGTATCCAAGCCGAGAGATTATCTAGCACTGGTTTATTGAAATTGTTTCTTAATTAAAGGGGCATTATGGGGGATTAGATAAAGAGTTGACAGTTCTCACAATAATAGTTAAAAATTTCAGTCAAATTGCTCCACTCTGAACCAAGATATTAGCGACTAAATTTTAGGCCTAGCCTCAATCATCATTACTAAAGTCATGACGCAACATGCTTTATCATTTACTTACTTTTGTGATCATTAATAATGATATCTCTTTCTGCAAATCTGTTCATCCAAGCACCTTTCAGTGTAGATTTCTGATTGACAGATTTTGAACGAATAGAAGAATATGGTACATCATGACTGGCACTGACACTGGCAGTTGATGAAACAGTTTGTTCTAAGGTTAGTGTCACTGTCTGCTGTACAGAATCAGAATGGAGAGGGTTGATCTGGTGTAGATGACGTGTTGTTCGAGGAATTTTCACCGAAGACTGGAAATAAAGAAATAACAGACTTCCCTTTAAAGATGCATTATATGAGATTTAGAGTTGGTCGTTCTTGCTATAATAGTTCAAATCAGATAATGAAAAATGAATATATTAAAAATTTCATTCAAATTATTTTATTCTGGGCGAAGTTGTCACATGCCACACACTTGTTCAAATCCATTTAATTCTCGGCAATCCAATGGACTAGAGATTTGATTAATTATAGATTTGGCATGTGATCAAATGTCTAAATAATAATTTATTTAACATTTGAAGCCAGAAAAAAGATCTGCAATAGAATGGAGTGCTGAGCAAGGAATACTATTCTTTCCGTCATTTTAACCCCAACATAACTTTAATATCTCATCTGTCGTGCCACACATTCAACTTGATGATTTAAACTGAATTTTCTTTAATATGGGTCAAATTTTTTTCTGATCAATTATAATTTTTATTCATTTGGATTTCTGGTGTCATTAGCAAGTGATGAAATTTTTGGTGTGAAGTTTCAAAGAAGGGCAGTTAAAGAATATCATAAAAGCCTCAACATTTTCCTGTCAGCACTGATGCCTAATTCCTAAAACCATGCTTGGAAAATTATAAAATTCCAATAGTAGCGAGAGCGACTCTAGTGTCCGAGCTAAATGACTACCACACCTTCAGTATATGAATAACTAGAAGAATGCCCAGCTTCGCTCAGGGGTCATAACCCCGAAACCAGAAGTGGTAGACTAACGCCACCTGGCCTATGTTACTCCCCGGTCCGCGCAACCCCTATACCCCAAATTTCAGACTCGGGGCAGACCTAGTGTAGCCGCCAACCCGGAACAGACAGACAAACGACAGTCACAAATATTAGTATTGATATAAGACGTACCTCGTAATTGACAAGACATTCTATTGTCATACCTTCCACAATACCAACACACCATTTCTCCATTATAAATGGTGGCTGAAAATAAATACATCATTAGTTGTGTGTTTTTTTGTCAATAAGCATTTACTGATTTTATTGCATAATTGACTTAACTTCCACTTCTCTTGTAAAAGATAGAGATTTACCTGTTTTAGAGATTTAGTTGGGTGTTTTTTTGTCCATAAGCATTTACTGATTTTATTGCATAATTGACTTAACTTCCATTCCTCTTGGAAAAGATAGAGATTTGCCTGTTTTAGTGCAAATGTTGCATAGAGATTTACCTGTTTTAGTGTAAATGTTACATTGAGATTTACCTGTTTTAGAGATTAACATGTTTTAGTGTAAATGTTACATCGAGATTAACATGTTTTGGTGTAAATGTTACATGGAAATGTACCCGTTTTAAATGTTGCATAGCGATTTACCTGTTTTAGTGTTACATAAATATTTACCTTCTTTAGAAATTTACATGTTTTAGTGTAAATGTTCCATTGAGATTTACCTGTTTTAGTATAAATGTTACATTGAGATTTACCTGTTTTAGTTACATTGAGATTAACCTGTTTTAATTTAAATGTTACATTGAGATTTACCTGTTTTAGTATAAATGTTACATTGAGATTAACCTGTTTTAATTTAAATGTTACATTGAGATTTACCTGTTTTAGTTTAAATGTACCAAATGAGGGTGATTTACAGATAAAGCTGACATCACTGATGTAGACTAAAGGATTATGACCTTCAACATTTTCATCTTCATCAACTTCTACATACATCTTCCATTTATCTTCCTACAAATATATATAACAACAATATAATAATTTAACATAATGTTGCCAGGCAACGAATATATGCTCCTTCAGTAGCATTGTGATGGCTGTTCAGGATACTAAACTTGCGCTTACATTACAATTAGCTCCACTTGAGAACAGACACTAAGCTAGTCGAATGACATTTTAATTCCTAAATTGACGATTGTGGTCAAAAACCCTTTGAGAAACTTTGAAAAGTTTTTATTCTGCTTCCATTTTATGAATTTCAAAATGTTTATTTAGTCTTTGTGTGTATGACAAATGTGGAACCGAGGAGAATGGCATTACAAAATAGTTTTGTAATTTTTCGATATGGCGGCCATGCAAAGTAGAGATCTATTCTTGAAGTAGATTGTTCTCTGTATGCAGAATGGGAAGTTAGGTTGTATAACTATACATAAAACACATAGTGGAACTATAAGACTTCTCTTTGAAACCTAACCCAACAATTTGAGCAAATTTTTAAAAAATGGGGTTTAACACTAATTTACATATTTTGAGACTAACATATGGTTTAATTTTATTTCAATAATTCCTTTGTGTCTAGAGGTCTTTAACAGTGGGAGGAAACCAGATGCCCCCGAGAGAACCCACAAGGCTGGAGTGGACAGATGACCTTATTCCTTGTAACACAAAAGCAAGGAATCGAACCTACGCCACTTGACAAATGTACAAACCAATATCACCCATTGTCCCAATAAATACATGTAAAGAGAATGTTCTGTTGTTTTATGCATGATGTTGATATACCAAAAATAGATGTGTAACTACAATAACAATACCTGTAAAATAAAATGTAATCTTAATACCTAGATTTAATCCTAAAGATTAAAAATAAGATTCTGTCAAATAATTAAAAATATATGTCTGTAAATTTATCAAAATAACATTTCATTTCTTCTACCCCTGACAAGATACTTATCACACACAAAAGAAAGTTTTATATTAAGAACAAACTCTATTATTCCATTGCCTACGCTGGTATTATTAAGAAAAAGTCAGATTGAGACCGAGATTAAGTATTTTTGTAATTTCTGTCAAGCCCAACTAACTATCTAGATCTGATATCTACTTGTGTCGAGATATGTTAGTGTTTAAACATATCACTACATCTGATGTACAAAACACACAATAGGACACACAGCGATTCGTCCCCTCCCTTTAAAGTGACATAACAATTTCAGATATATTTGCACACCAATGAGTAATGGGGAGAAGTGGGGACCAGAGTTAATCCATATGACCAGACCCAATTTTACTTGAAAACTCCATGCTTGAAAATTCCCAAGGGGTGTTTTTGAGACACACTAGAAGTCAATTCCCGGACATTGCAGCCTACAGGCCAGTGCCCTACTGCTCAAGCAATGTGTTGAGGTCTAGGGATACAAAAAGGGTTAAATATATGAGTAGGGGAGTGGCATATATTTCAGTCATAAATTTCATGGCTTTTACGAATTAGACATAAAATGTCATGCAAAAAAATATGCATAAAAAATTGATGCACTTATTAAGGGAGCCATGGTGACTCAGTGAATATTGGGCTGGCTCTCTAACACGGAGGTCAGTGTTGGTCGAGACAATTCCTCAGAATAATTCAGTCTGGTTTTCCCCCTTGTCAGAGGTACAGGATAGTGGGCCTGGCATGGACGGGCATCTAGTTGTTCAGATAGGAATGAGGGAGACAAGGTTTAACGTCCACTCGACACAAACTAGGTCATTTCGGGACTAAGGGATCTTTAGCAGTGGGAGGAAACCAGAGAAAACTTACAAGATTGGACAGGCGACTCTACTCCTTGTCACGTACAAACGGGGAATTGAAACCACGCCAGCTGACTCAATGACAGACCTCATTATAAAGCGTGCACATGCTAACCATTCGGCCATCAAAAGCCCCCCCCCCCCGGTTCAGATGGGACAAAACCAGGGGACCTGTGTGGTGTACTTATCCGTAAACAAACTCTTCAAAGTCATAATTGAAAGAAAAAAAGCTAAAACATTGATGGCTGGGTGAAATTTCTGTCACAGCCCACTAAATATTATGTATTTACATGCCTTTATTATACAAAACAACATATTGTGCATAGGAATTTGAGAATCGTTTTGTAACGTCTTTATACAGCAACTGAATATTACTGTGTGTGACTTTATGACTAAACTACACATACCATTATCTTAATATTTTTTTAAAAATCTTGTATGAAAAGATGAGAGATTTTTTAAATCTATTTACATGACAATTTCCCACAATTACGATGACAATCAACTCGACGACTTGTAAGAAATAATCTTACTTGGACATCAGTAATTTTCTTCCCTGGGCCTCTTCAAACAAAGAATATAGATTTTTACACAATGATAACATTAGTCTATTATATATTTATTTATTGTAGAAACCACCCAGCATGTGGCACTGTTAAAGTATCCAGTGGTATTTTAATATAATGTACTAAAGATCACTCTGTTATGTAGATTCTCATATTATTTTCACCGATGTACTTGATAACAGTCACAGATCCCGGATGAATATTTAAATAATCAGAATCAAAATCAGCAACATACCAAGTTAAACGACAGTCAGAAGTTTTCACTGCCACAAAGATAATTATTTTTTGACATATTCTATGGTGTATTATGAATTATTACATTTGATAAAAAGAAGACAAAATGGCCCCCTGATGTTACAGTTAGATGAAATGAACTCTGTAAAGAGACAACCTGACATATGTACATATATTATTCAGTTTTCATCTATCTGATAAAATCTTTAATCATATTCATGAAATATGGCCAATTTTTGTTTCACAATAACAAAATAATTATGTTATGTCTTTCTGTCTTGTGAATTATTATAAAATTCATCTTATCACAGTCTACAGAAACTTTATGTAATAGGAGAGAAAAGAGAGAGAGAGAGAAAAGAAAGAGAGAGAGAAAAGAGAGAGAGAGAGAAAAGAGAGGGAGGGCGAAATGGAGTCTAACCTCAACTCAACACAAACAACATCATTTCGAGACTAACACACTGTTCAATTTCATTTTAATAATTCCCTTGCACTTGGAGGAAACCCGACAAGAGTTGAACAAGCGACCTTACTCCTGGTCATGTACAAGCGAGGAACTGAGACCACACCACTTGACACAATGACAGACCTTGCGATCTAAAGTGTGTGCTCTAAAGCGCATGCATTAAACCATTTAGCCACCCAACCCCCCTTTATGTAATATGGGAGAGAGAAATGTGGTTCAACTTCCACTCAACATATTTATACAAACTAGGTCTTATTGGGACTAACATATATTTTTTAAAAAGCAAATTAACAATAAAGTAACAGCAGAACCTGGGGCCTAAAGTTAAAATCTAAATTTTAGAAGATACTTCAATTTTGATTGGCTAAGCACTAAAATCAATCTAATATTATCCAATCAAATTACTAAAATTTGGATTTTATCTTAGTTAAAATTAAAATTTCGTGAAACAAGCCCCTGGTGATTGGCCATCCTCGGTATCCCCAGTGGTATCATTCCTTCTACTCCCCAACCCCTGGATCCATTCAAAGGGGAGACACATAGTCAAATTATCCTCCCTTGACCAATCAAAAAATTTCATAAATACAAAGCGAGTGGGTGAAGGGAAGTAACTCACGTCTTATTTCAACTAAGATCGGGGAAACCTTGTTGTAAACTTTGTCAAAATAATTTGTGTGCATGCCATTTATTTGATATTAATTTTCTTGCAAACCTTCTCAAAATCAAGCATACAAGCTGCTGTATTGTGGCGAACGTAAACAAGAACACTAAGACTGGTATGTAAAGTGTTTTTTGATTGGTTCTTAGAATCCAGCTACATGGCCAATGAAATCATCAAGGGCAGATAATATGAATTTGTGAAAACCCTTTCAATGAACACAGGGTTTACTGGAGTGAAACGGAACGATACCACTGGGAATACCAAGGATGGTCATTGGCCTAGCGTATATTGAAAACCTTTTTCATCTCACTGAAATGGCTCAGCATACTTTCCTTGCTAGCACTACATGTACTACTTCCGACAAATCAAACCCTGGTTTGAAAAATCCAGAATATTAATTATTTTTCGTGCCGGGCCCGTTGTGAGATCGATGTCTGGCCACTTCCCACCTCTAAAATCTACATCAACTACCAAAAGTGATAAATAATCTAATTAAATTTGTTTTAAAATCTGTAGAAAACCTGGTTTTATGTAGGGAATTAACAGGCTTTAAATGTTTTTATGAAATTTCAACAAGCTAACAATGAGGCTGATATCCCCCGCCGATATGCCAAAATAAATAGATGACACATATTAATTAATCGCAGATTTTTTTTTCAAAAGTATCGAGCAATCAAACTGATTATCAACTATACACTAAGTTCCATCACTTTCTATCAGATAGAATCAAAGTTATCTTTCCCCAAAGCAACGACCAATGAAATTACTTAGCTCTGCTTAGCTTTAGCTCGAAATGTTAATCATTGAACTCAGTCAAGACATTCACCTAATATACATCTACATCAAGTTTAAACATTTTACTTCAATTAAAAGCAGAGTTGTTATGTCTTGACCAATGAATTAAACAGCCTATCGCTCCTTAGTCTAAGCAGAAAATTCTCACCATCGAACTCTGTCACGGTAATTATATAATGAATCTATATTCAGAGTTTCATCGTTTTCACTTCATTATAACCAAAGTTATTGTGCCCCAAAGCATCAACCAATCAGATTGCTTATCTCTGCTTACCCTAAGCAGACAATGTTCATCACCGAACCCCATCAAGGCATTCACCTAATGAACGCCTATGCCAAGTTTGAACATTCTACCTCAATTAGAAGGAGAGTTATTGTGTTCCAAAGTCTTGACCAATCAAATTGCTTGTCTCTCTGCTTACCCTCAGCAGAAAAATGTTAATTATCGAACTTAGTCAAGGTATTGATGTATAAAAACTATACACCAAGGGTCCTCAATCTCACTTAATTAAAACTAAAGTTATTGTGTCCCAAAGCATCAACCAATCAAATAGCTTATCTTCGAACTTCATCAAGGCATTGACCTAATAAACAACTACACCAAGTTTGAACATTCTAGCTTAATTAGAAAGAGAGTTATTGTGTCCCAAAATGTGTGACGGACGGACAGACAGACAGACGAACCCATTTTAATAGTCCCCTGCTTTCTTCGAAAGGCGGAGGACAATAAAATCTAAAAGCAACAATTGGAACAGAAAGATAATGCCTGTTCTGGGATTTATCCTTTCATTTACTATTTGTGATCCTAATCCTATTTCATCAATATTGGAAGATGATGTAGTGGATAGAGGTGGGTTGGTGAGATGTAAAGTTGATAGAGACAGGTTGGTGAGATGTAGAGTTGATAGAGGTGGGTTGGTGAGATGTAGAGTGGATAAAGGGGGTAGATGAGATGTAAAGTGGATAGAAAGAAGTGGATGAGATGTGGAGTGGATAAAGTGGATAGAGAGGATGAGTGGATAGAGTGGGGTGGATAAGATGTAATGTGGATAAAGAGGATAGAGGGATGGATGACATGTAGAGTGGATAGAGGGGGTGTGGGATGGATGATATGGACAGTGGATAAATGGATTAGCATTAGATAGATGAATCATTGGATAAATAGATGAAATAGAGAGTTGATTAGAGGGATGTATGGATAAATGGTGAAGAGGGTATGATGATAGAGATACCAATAGATCGAAGAGATGTTACAAAAGGTGGATTGAGAATAAACTGACAAAAATGATGTGAATGGTGGATAGACGAATCAATGGGTGAAGGGATCTGATGAAGAATGAATTGAAAAGCTAGTGAATAAATGAATGGATGAGTAAGGCCTGTTTTCCATGTACACATTTCCCACATGCGATTTTTTTACATTTCCTTGTGTACAGAAAAAACACTAAAAAGTTTGGGGAATCACAAGTAAATTACAGAACGCCAGAATGTACACATTTGCATGTGCACACTTCACGCAGAGATCACATAATGGACAAGTGGATTAGATGAAACATGGACAGAAGCATTATTGCTAAACTTTTTCTGTTGCTGTTTTTATTTTTTATTTATTAAACCAAATTAAAATACAGATGTGACGTCATCCTTTGATGTTGGCGTACCATTATTTCAAATAATCGTACAGGCAACTTGCCAATCGTACATTATTTACACTAGTGAAATATTGGACTCGCATGACCTATTTCACTGAAAAAGCATGTGTGGAGTGTCTGTATTTTAAGTCGTTTAACGGCCCTCTTGTTGTTACAATATATTACTTAATGTCTCGCTTTCGACCACTAAACAATACTTAATTGATGAAAACATTCCTTATAGAAGAAGATAAAAATCAAATATAAATGGATAATATTCTCCTTTAACTGAATAACCAAGGGCAATACAAAATCAAATAATCTTAAAAAGAACTTACTTCCTGAGAATGACCATGACGTAAATGATGACCAAATATTAAAGTAAGGCTGATAGTTCGATGTTCTACAGTAAAGGACGGCTCAGAATGGACAGGTTTTATCTCCTAAAACAAAGAAAATATGTTTTTCTTAAACATATTGTCATATACTCCTTTACTAAACCAACTTATTCATATTATTAAGGAATAGTGGTCTGAAGCCTTCTTGAGTTATTTGTGTTAATAGAGTTACTTCCCTTGATTAATAAAAGGCTTTGATCCTAGATGGAATTCTGGGATGGAGTGAAATGGAAGATGGCTGTTTTTAATTAGCTCTTCTGATTGTCATAAACAATCCAGGCCATCTTGTGGCCTATACACCCCAATACCACAATATATACAGATATCATTTGAGAAATTTTTTGTCAGAACTAAAATAGGTTTTACATAGTGAATACAGGACATGGGTTAGCTGTATAAATGAAATGGGTTTTAACATCCTACTTTTCTAGGCTAAGTGAGCAGTATATATCTGTAAGCAAATCGTTACATATTCAGTAACCACACCATTCACTAACTAACCTTGGGGTATTATCCAAGCTTACACTTGCTACAACTGACTAACCTTTGCTCGTCTCCATTTTCCTAAGGTTAGAGCAGAAAACTAACATGTTAAACCCTAATTCATTTCAATGCTGCCCACACTACTTCTTTGTTGGGGAGTCGAAATGGCTCAAACGGTAAAGAGCTGGCCCCGCTGGCCTGGAGGTCGTGGGTTCATCCCCCGGTGATGGCCGAGAAAGTTCAATGTGATTTTTCCTTGTTAGTGGTGCAAGACATGGGGCGTGACAAGGGCAGCCGTCTAGTCAATTGGATGTGACGAAAAAAAAAACGAGATCCCATGTACACATTGACATGCACATAAATGATCCCTTGGCAGTTGGAATTCGATATAAGAGTAGGCCATAGCGCCACTGTCTCTGCAAAATTCCCCTCAAAGCACACTGTATGGCATATGCTTGTCTTCATTAGCCCAGTTGGAGCAGAACAGTAGGACATTAAAACCCCTTTCAATTCATTTATTTGTTTCTTGCATACATTAACTATGATTTTTCCATAAGATGGAAACAATAGAAACTATATGTAACAATATGGTTAGACAAGCAAAAACATTTGACATCAAAATCCAAAAAAAGCAGCAATTTAAGAATTTAAAATAGTCAAAGATCTCAAACTTACCATAGGAGATAATGGAGGGAAGTTAATAAGACGATAATTGTGAGCCTTTAATAATTCTATCTCTGTCTAAAATAAAACAAAATATCTTCATTTAAACCATGTAAACAAAATATCTTCATTTTAGTCATATAAACAAAATATCTTCATTTTAGCCATATAAACAAAATATCTTCATTTTAGCCATATAACTACTACTACTACCTGGTGTTTTAACGTCCACTTCCACAGAAGTGATATCACAGACAAATAGCCATATAAACAAAATTATAGTTACTTTTGATAAAGATATTTTGTTTTATATGATCTAAATGAAGATATTTTGTTTAATGAAGATATGTTTAAATGGAGATATTTTGTTTATATGGCTAAAAAAAAATATCTCCATTTGAACATATCTTCATTAAACAAAATATCTTCATTTAGATCATATAAAACAAAATATCTTTATTAAAAGTAACTATAATTTTTCTTAATCCAATTTTACATCAATATCTATTAAACACAGATAATATTCAGGTTTGCTTGTTGTAGTTTAAATTTTGTTTTATTTATCGTCAAGACAGTTGGATCTGCAAGAGTTTTTAAATATTCCATGTTCTGTTTGAACCGGAGGCCTAGCCAAGGAAATTGCCCCTTTAAGTTGAACTATGTACAAGGTGTGCACAGAATTCTAGGAGTTGCTTACTGAGTGGTTCCGTAAAAAAAACCCCACAAGTTAAATAGTCTACATTAAAGTAAGAGTTCACTTGTATGATTCCTGTCGTGACCCCCTACAAAAACTGATCTGAGTGGAGGTCAACGAAAGTTTAAAGAAAATGAAATGAAATTTAGATCTGTATTTAATCTACAGTAGACATTCTACACTGCCATATTTTTTCCAAATAATTTGAACTACTTCTATATTGTCATTTATCATTAAACTAATTACTATAGGATAATCTACAACCATAGCTACTTAGGTCAAATTTTTAAATCTGTCTAATATATGCCTCTCTTATTTCAATTCTAACTGATGATATACATAAAAATAAAAAAAAACCCAATATCACTTCATTCATAATAACACAACTTTATGGATTTACTACTTCCAGGTTTTTATTACATGCAACATGACGTAAGCGGATGTTAAATAAAGCTATTTCACACACTCATTATTGATCATTGCTTGATAAAGATACCTGTAAGAGTATTGAAACGTTGCATGTAATAAATCATGAAGTAGTAAATCCATAAAGTTGTGTTATTATGAATATTATACCTCTACTTCTAAATGTCATATAAGGATAATATCACTTCATGTTTCTAAGACATGTATTTTTCCATCTATGTGTAGATATATAGAATACATACTCATATATATATATATAGAGAGAGAGAAATGGGGTTTAACGTCCATTCAACTAGGTCATTTCGGGACTAACACGTGGTTCAATTTTATTTCAATAATTTGCTTGCGCGTACGGGTCTTTAGCAGAGGGAGGAAACCGGAGGACTCAGAGAAAGCCTACGTGGTTAGACAGGCGACCCTACTCTTTGTCACGTACAACCAGGGGAACCGGAACCCCGCCAGTTGACTCAATGACAGACTGTATGATACAGTGCGCACATGCTAACCATTCAGCCATATATATAACTTGTATAACTTACATGTAGATCTATATAATGTCCTATACTAGTAATACCCATATCTTTAAGATCAGATTGTTGTAATCGTAATAATCTTCTGCCAGTAATATTATTGGCAAGAAATAAATCAGCATATTGAGCTAAATCACACGTACTGCCTGAAAAATAACAAACAAAAATATAATCATTACTACTAGTCCAAGTTAACCACTGGGCTTTTTATTTAACATAACAGAATGGATGGTTGTCACACCTATGGATTCATGTAACAAATTCTGTTATAATTATGATATTTTACCAATAATTATATTTTACCAATAATCTGCCAAAAGATCTGCAACTGTAACAACTGTGTTGATGAATAAGGCATAAGCTATGGGTAGCCACGGTAGCTAAGTGAGTAAGACACTGACTCGCTAGCCTTGAGGGTTCAATCCCGGTGTTGGCCGAGAAAGTTCATCAGGATTTTCTGGTGTGGATTCCCTTTGTCAGTGGTGCAGGAAATTTGATATACGAGTAGTCTGTAGTGCCGTTGTCCGGCCAAGATTTCCCTCATTGCCCCTCTTCATTAGCCCAGTCGCAGCAAAACAATAGCACATTAAACGCAATTTCATTTCATTTCATGATATTGGTGCTACAGCCTACTCTTATTTGAATTTCTAATTGTCAAGGGATCTCTTTAATGGGCTGGGTTCTCCGTTGTTTGTCCAATCCTGGAGGGGAAACCAGGCTAGATTATCATGAGAAAATTCTTGGCCAATACTGGGATCGAGTCTGGAACCTCCTGGTAAGAAAGCCAGAGCCACCATGGCTTCCAATTCACTAAAAAGGAAAATCTAATCAAACAGATAATCTGAGATATGTGAGAGAGAGAGAGAAATGGGGTTTAATGTCCACTCGACACAAACTAGGTCATTTCGGGATTAACACATGGTTCAATTTTATTTCAATAATTCGCTTGCGCGTAGGGGTCTCTAGCAGTGGGAGGAAACCGGAGGACCCGGAGAAAACCCACGAGGTTAGACAGGCGACCCTACTCCTTGTCACGTACAACCGGAGATTCGATTAAATTAAGGAAAGAATGGTGATGTACATATATTATATAGTATCGGCAGTAAGAGAATATACGGCCACCATCAGCATTTTTAAGCGTTGCCTTTATATATATCACTATATTACGTGCAATAATTACACATAACGTCCTACAGTTTTGCTCCTAAACTGGGCTAATGAAGACGGGTATACGCCATACAGTGTGATATGAGAGAAATTTTGCGCGGGCAGCGGCGCTACGGTCTACTCTTATATCGAATTCCAACTGCCAAAGGATCTTTTATGTCCCATCTGAATGACTAGACAGCTGTCCTTGTCAGGCCCTCCATCCTGCATCACTGACAAGGGGAAACCACGCCGGAAAATCTGGATGAACTTTCTCGGCCAATGCAGGGATTGAAAGTTATATGAACCAATATAAAATAACTTACCATTATTTCCTAAAAGCATGACCCATTGATACTGTAATATAAACAAATATAGATTCAAATTTAAACATACATTATGGGAGATTCGATAACGAGTTGGTAATTCTCACTATAATCGTTAAAAACTAGAAAATGTAAAGGCAATTTGCTGAAAATTTCATTCAAATTGATCCACTATGAATCAAGAACTAAGCGATTTAAATTTTTGCCTAGCCTCGATCATCATTACTAAAGTCAGTACGATAATCGAGCATAGCCTTGATTATCCATTTAATCGTTAAATCGTGAAGGAAAGTTATGCAGTAAATCGGCTCATAATCCACTAAAGATCGCAGGCTAGAGATGCCATCTAAAGTTGATTATGGTCTGGATAGGTTAATTAATGTCTAATTAATAATTTAGATAACATTTCAGGCCTAAAGAAAGACCTGCAATAGACAGATCTAGCTCTTGCATAATGTATGTTTAATATTTTTTCTTCTTAAAATGAGTATCCAGGGAAGTAACTCTAGAAAACACTGTCTTCTCAAAATAATTTAATTCTCAAAAGTTTACACACATATAGCACACTGTTTCAACAAGTGTTTTTTTATAGTTTTCAAGCCTGTGCTATTTGTGTAGAAAGCAACGATTGTATTCCATCTAAATGATTGTTATGTTGTTTTATTGTGTTCGATCGCTAAATGCCATTCAAGAATTACAAATTAAGCAGTGTTAATATTCAATATTTTACTGTATTGCTAGTAACTACTCTTGTCTCTGGTTACATATCTGTCACTTCAGCTAGTGTGTGATCAATCAAAATGTACTTATTTCCTGGTGTTTAAAACACTAGTTTGTTGTACTTATCTTCAATAAAATCTTATACTCATAATCTATATAATCTCATTCTCATCGTCAATAAAATCTCATACTCATCATTGTTCATACTCATCATATTTCATACTATCATCTATAAAATCTCATACTCTTCATCTATAAAATCTCTTACTTCTCGTCAATAAATTATCATACTCATCATCTCTCATACTCATTATCTCTCATACTCATCATCTCTCATACTCATCATCTCTCATACTTCATCTTTTGTACTTATCTTCAATAAAATCTCATACTCATCATCTATAAAATCTCATACTCATCACCTATAAAATATCATACTCTTCAACTAAAAAATCCCATACTTATCATCAATAAAACCTATTCCTCATCTTCAATAAAATTTCATACTCATCATCTATAAAATCTAAAATCTCATCAATAAATTCTCATATTCATCATCTCATACTCTTAATCTATAATATCTCGAGCTCATACCCATCATCAATAAATTCTCATTTTTATTGTCAATAAAATCTCATTTTTATTGTCAATAAAATCTCATTTTTATTGTCAATAAAATCTCATTTTTAGTGTCAATAAAATCTCATACTTATAGTAAATAAAATCCCATACTTAACATCAATAAAATCTCATACTCATCATCACTTATACCCATCATCTCTCATACTCATATCTCATACTCATCATCTCTCATACACATTGTCAATAGAATCATCAGCAGTATCTCACATTTATTCTTAACTTATCAAAGTGTAAATAATACATTTATCCAGGGATGGGATTTTGCCCGTATATGTTTTAATTTCCTTGATGTCGGCCGACAGCACGTAGAAATTAGTCATATATGTCACATATTCTAATTACACCCCAAATCAATATGTATCCAATAGCTCGTCTGCGATATCACTTCGGTGGAAGCGAGCGTTAAATAAAGCTATTTCTCACACACATACATATCCGAAAAATACTAGATATTGCTAACTCTGTTTCTGATCGCACACGGTTATAGCACTCTGCAAACCTCGGCAGAGTCCATTACTCTACATCTAGCCTCGGCTGTATGACAGTAAATGATATGTACAATTGCGATGCGGCACAGGTTTACTTATTAGGAAAACTTGCCGGTTTTAAAAAGAAGTTATCAAAATTGCATTGTTCGAAGCATGTTTAGAATTTTCAGAGCAAAGTTGTCCTTGTTTGAAGAAAATCTGATAAACTTGAATGAAAAACAGCTTCTGACTTTGAAATATGTTGAAGAAAAGATTCTATTGTAATGGCATATTCTCGGATCTATGATCATATTTTGAATGGGGTTTACGTTTTTAGGTAAAGAAATAAGTACACTAGGCAATGTTGACGAATATGTCGATTGGAATAGTGTAAGTACTTAAGAGTGTATTCGCGAGAAGACCAGGCAAAAATCGCAAATGGTGCTAAGATGGGGGGGGGGGGGAAGTTTTTGATCAAACTTATGACATGCTGAAGTGGTTACAACCTGATGTCGCTATAAAGGACTGTACTGGAAATAGTCATTTTCTGGGTAAAATTTTGGTTTTCACATGTGTATTTATCACCCTTTTTAAGCAAAGATTTCATTCTATGGTGCAATAGCAACCTTTTAATTTTGACCCTGTCTGATAAAGCGGGTGGTCGACTTCCAACCCAGCACTAATTTGAAAAAAAAATCAGTCCCTACTAATTTTGGGGAGACTTCTTTTAGAGTACCATATTCACATTGTCCGTGTAGTACAGAAAAAGATACACTGTAACTTTTTCTTTCATGGTCGCAAGCAGAATTTCTTTGGATGGTTTTGAGGTGCTAAGCACATAGTATCAATATGTGTAAAAAAAAAGACCGGAATGCAACATACATATATTTAAAATATAGAGCTTATTGAAAAGTGCTAAAAATAAGCTTTTGCGATACATTTTTTGCAAATTTAATTAAGAGAAATAAATTTTTTGACTTGTATCATAGCCATAGCCATCATTTGTACCATGTGGTACTGTATATAAGTGTATATTTGTATTTATTGTATATTTGGTATTGTTGTATTGACAATTTAACATATTTGTTGTATTGTCTCTTTAAGGTTTTCATTTTCCAACAGGTCACCGAAAATTAGCTACAAAATGTTCAATTTCAGAGCATGTTTCCACTATTCATTTTTGGACACATTCACTGATTTCTACAATACAGAAATGTGGAAGCTTAAATTTTAACGGCAACGCTGCCTTGCGTCGAATTGGGCGACATTGAAAAGTGTAGCATGGTAGCAACGGCTCTCGAGCGCCGTCAGCTACACCTTCATAGCCTGATCTAGATTAAGAGAGGCCCTATGCAATCTCCCTATTTGGATTATTTTATCTAAAATAATGTCTATTTGAGAGTAATGGATATGTTTTGTTAAGATCATTTCATTGAGCACGTCGATACTCCAATGTAAGTTCAACTGCGGAAGCCAATTCCCGTCAGCGCCAGATGAACTATGGACGATTACAGGCCTTTTAAAGTATTTTTTTCAAGACATTGATATAAAACAGAAACTAATGTATTTTAGGGCTGGTAGTAAACACCATATGAATAAAAAGAAACAAAAATTGTTAGGTTTTTTTTATCTACTACGGTTAATCATCTCCAAAATAGAGAAATTAAATGTTAATTTCATGGGTTATTGTTTGCTTTACCTAGTTTTTGTCATGTTGATTCCGGTCATTTTTATTTTTTGTATCAAATGTTGGGAGGATGCTTGTTCACGTGAACATAAATTTTTGAAACCCACCCCATGAAAGAAGTAGCTATAGGGCGTCAAACTTTATGTGACGAAAAATGAGGAATTTAGATAGGTTTTGATATCCAGTTCGTATACAGATCTCGTTCGCTAGAATCGTCTGAAATTAATTTTGTGGTAACAGCACTAGTTTATCTACAAACTGTATAAGTTTGGTCTTTTTGCTACGTATAGTAAAGGTGTGAGGACTTGTCAAAGATGGTATTTGAGAAAAGATGGATTTGGGCAATTTCACCATATGAAAAATGTTTTTTTTAATTTTCTGTCAGGAATTGAAAGATTTATCTAATATTGCACATTTATGTGTTTTGGGACTATCCCAACTTATAAACCAAATTTGGTCAAAATCTGTGATTGAAGCCTTAGCACCTTCTGCATGGTTTTCTCGCGGACATGCTCTTAATTGTTTTAGACGATAGCGCGTGTTAGAGTTGAATGCACTTATTTAGCAGATGGTGTCACTCGCTCATTGTGGTAAAGCGATGTTTACTGCCAAATAAATTTCGGGATATCATTTTTTTTACCCTCCGTATAAAAGTATAAGACGAATCCCGGAGTTCTGCTGAAAAATATATCGACTTATGACACGAAAAATATGGTAATTTTGGAGGAATTTGAAACAGTACGGATGGGCAGTAGTCGGCACGCTTTTATTCTATCGTATTACGATATCACATAATTTTTTAGGAATATTACTGACATAAATTTGAATACCGCACAGGAATTAAATATGAAAAATAAGGAGGTACACATATTTTTTATTACATCGAATTCGAATATTTTGTTGACACGTGATTTTTGTGAGTGGTCTAAAAACTGCCTTCTTAAATAACGATAAGAGTTATGTCCCTTTATTTTCGGTAAAAATGTCTGACAGGAAAAATTTTGACATCCCATCACTGTATTTATCTATTTATAAAAAGGGTGTGATATATCATACTTATTATCGTTACATTAAACATCCCATCACTGTATTTATCTATTTATAAAAAGGGTGTGATATATCATACTTATTATCGTTAACATTAACATATCAACTTGTGTAAATATTTGTATCTATTTATAAATAATATCTCACCACATCAACTTCTCTCCATGTATTAACATCATGATTATCTAATTGCTATAAAAAACAAGGCAACAGTGAGGCCGATGTCCCCCACCGAAATCTCAAAATAAATAGATGACACATATTAATTAATCGCACATTTATTTTTTTCAAAAGTATCGAGCAATCAAACTGCTTATCAACTATACACCAAGTTTCATTACTCTCTATCAGATAGAATCAAAGTTATCTTGTCCCAAAGCATCGACCAATGAAATTGCTTATCTCTGCTTAGCGTTAGCTCGAAATGTTAATCATTGAACTCAGTCAAGACATTCACCTAATTAACATCTACATCAAGTTTAAACAGTGTACCTCAATTAGTAGCAGAGTTGTTATGTTCCAAAGTCTTGACCAATCAAAATGCTTATCGCTCCTTAGCCTAAGCAGAAAATTCTCATCATCGAACTTATTCAAGATATTGATGTAATGAAACTATACACCAAGTTTCATCACTCTCACTTAATTAGAACTAAAATTATCGTGTCCCAAAGCATCAGCCAATCAAATTGCTTATCTCTGCTTACCATAAGCATAAAATGCTCATCTTCACACTCAATCAAGGCATTGACCTCATAAACACCTACACCAAGTTTGAACATTCTAGCTCAATTAGAAGGCGAGTTATTGTGTCCCCAAAAATGTGACGGAGAGACAGACAGACGGAGAGACAGACGGAGAGACAGACAGACGGACGGAAAAACCCATTTTAATAGTCCCCTGCTTTCTTCGATGGAGGACAACAATAAAACAGACAAATTGATTGAACTATAATAAATATCTACAAATAAGAATGAAAAGAAATTGGGGTTAATGTCTTATTTTTGTGCACCCATCGGGCTAAAGAGGAAGGGCATATTTTGATAATGGTGCTACAGCTTAATGTAATTTCCCTTTCCACTTGTTAGGGGATCTTTAACATGCTGCCATGGTATATATGGACCTTAGTTCTATCTGTTTTCCAGGGATAATTCATGTTCATTCCAAAGATATGTTGGTTCATAAGGTATGTTATTGAGTCAATTAAACAGCATAGTTTCGATTCCCCACTTGTACATGACAAGAAGTAAGGTCGCCTGACCAACTGCAAGAGTTTTATCTGGGTCCTCTACATGCAAGCAAATAAAATTGAACCATATGTTCGTCCAGAAATGACCTAGTTTGTGTTGACTGGATGTTAAACATCAATTCTCTCTCTCTCTGGTTTACATGCGGAGCACTGGTTGGTGTTTAAATCTGCATCCACAACACGTAATATCGCAGATAATGCCTGCAGGGTTGATCTAGAGGCTATTAAAAGTTTAAATGAAGTAAACCTACCACTACTTTAAATTGCTGTTCTAAATCTTTTTCTCGTACCAGTAACTGTTGTTCTCGTGATTGTAACTCCTTCTCTTTAACACCTATATCTTTCTCAGCTCTCTTCAATCGTGTTAACGTCGTTTCTATCTCTTTCCTGTTAATATAAATACAAAATACTCATCAACCTAACCCTTCAACATATCAAGACACACTACTATGTAATCGTTACTGGTCGATATTGTGTTAAACGTCACTTACAAGTTGGAATGGAAAGGGATTTAGTTTTGTTAACATAATATGGCAATTTTTATTTATGCGGGACAGTTTTGTCCAGACAGGCGCATTTTTGTCAAACCCTCTTCAATTTCAAACTGTCAAAGATTCTTTAACGTGCACGCCAATGTGTACACAGGTGGATTTAGGTTTTTCGTACCATCCAAACAGCTATTATATACACATCACATGGACTCAGTGTATTTCAATCTACCCAGCTGTTAATTTTGTAAAGAAGGTAAGAGCATTGTAGTTTTTTCTGAGTGTTGATAGAGGTTTCAAATATACCCAATTATTTGCAATGTTTTACATGGAGTAATAAGTGTAATATTTAAACAATTTTGACTTGTGTGACAGTTACAGAAGGGCCATTTTACTGACAGATACGGTGAATATTATTTGATTAATTGTGTGAACACAAGATGGTTAAATCTAAAGTTAATAAATAACCTACTTCCATATTTCTTTATGTTCTAAGAATGAATTGGTTTGATCAGCTACAAAATCTGTAAAAAAAAAAAAAAAAAGAAAAGAAAAAATTAATCTTCAAAAATAACTTAACCATGTTCAGTGAAGGACAAAACCATTAATACATTGTTTTCATTCTGATTTCACTTACATTGACTTAGATACTTGATATCTAGAATCCGAACTTACTTACAGTGTAAACCGTTTACCAGGAAATTCCTAATTTTATCAAGCATCCCAACAGATTTAGTGTAATCCCTTGAGTGTTTCTTCAATCTCAGCGAATAATAACAAATATAATCACATGCCTATATATAGAGAGAAATGGGCTTTAACTTCCATTCGACATAAACTAGGTCAATTCGGGACTAACATATGGATCTATTTTATTTCAATAATTCACTTGCATTGTAGGCATCTTTAGCAGTGGGAGGAAACCAGAGGACCCAGGATAACCCACAACCCTACTTCGTTACCACGCCAGTTGAATCAATGACAGACCTTATGACAGGCCATCTACCCCCCACCCCCAGATGGTATGTAGAGCTTCTACTCCCTTCAATTTCAATTAAATAAATTCCCAGACAAATCTTAAAAGTAAAGAGACGAGGTATTTGTCTATTTAAACAATTCATTTTACAACACCTACCATCTTCCAGCAGCTTGTCAAGATCCATTAGTATCTGTTTAAATGATGGCCGCTTTTTGGGTTCCATTTCCCAACACTGTCTCATTAACCGAGCAAAACATGGTGGACAAGTACTGGGTATTGTTAAACGCTAAAAACATAATTCCAACATTTCAACAGAGAAATACTACCTCATAATCAATTCTTCCCTTTTATTATTATTGGGGTTTCACACATTGAGTCTGAATTTGTTGGATCAACTGAACCTCCATATAAATGTGTAGCATCACCAAGTGTTCTCGAAATAGAAAGCAGAACTGACAACATGCATGACCCTCGTCAATTTAACTGAAGCAATTACAGCTAGATCTAAGGGTATTTTCAATAAAGCAATTAAAGAATAAGCAAATAGAGAATTATCAACCATGTAAAACTTACCTCCCCTTTTTCAACAATTAACCATGCTACCTGAAAACCTTCTATACCATTAAACGGTACTTGATGTGTTAACAGTTCCCATAATACCTAGAAAAACCATAGGTTGATATACACAATACAAAACACAGAGTATGAAAATAAGAGTTGTTTCCCTTCATATCTTCTTTATTTCTGGTTAAAGATACAAGTATTTATGGGGTAGTTATTTCCAATAAAAGCATGACATATGTGGTATATAATGAAAGTAGAGGCATTCAGTCTTCCTAGAAAAATACTGGATTCCCTGAAAAACACCCATGGGGAGCCCACAGGAAAAAACTGGTTTGATGCCTAGATCTCAAAGTACGAGTTGGCTGGTCTAGTTAGTAGTTTTCAGAGATACACGGTTGCTTTACCCCGTTGACACTGGTACAACTGGTACATCAAACATAAGATCTTGAAGTGTATATGTGCATGAATCGGAAGCTAATAAAGTAAATACTTACAACTCCATAAGACCATGTATCACAAGTTTCTGATACCGGAAAACTTTGTATAACCTGAAAATAAAGCCATACGAATAAAATATTCTGGTTCACAGTTACTGCCACATCATTTATAGAGGGTGGAGAGAGAGAGAAATGGGGTTTAATTTCCACTTGATACAAAGTAGGTCATTTCAGGAGTAACATGGTTTAATTTTTATTTCAATAATTTGCTTGCACTTAGGGGTCTTTAGCAGTGAGAGGAAACTGGAGGACACGGAGTAAACATACAAGGATGGACGGGCGACCCTAATCCATGTTACAACTGACTATTTTCAAAGAGAATTACTCCTAGAAGAAGAAGAAGATGAGTAGCGGTTAGCAACCAGTTCCTGGTCCAAAAAAATAGCTGATTTTAAATCTTTATTTCCTATTTAAATATAAATGTCTATCTATACCTCTGGTGCCATCCAAGGAAACGTTCCTGCTAGAGACATCTTCGTTGTACTACCAATAAACCGTGATGCCCCAAAATCACACAACTGTAAAAAAAAAAACCCAAAAAATAACATACCTCAATAAAATATATCTATATTTTCACTTGAAATTGTAAATCCTGACCATGCATTTTTTTTAGACAAATTGAAATTTTCGACTGCTTGCTTAATTCTTGCATAATGTACTCAAATTGACAAGTCTTATTTTTCATTTTTATTATCTTAGCACACGCGCAGGGGTCTTTCCTGTGGGAGAAAACCGGAGTAACCGGAGTAAGCACACAAGGTTGAGAAGGCGCCTCTATCTCCAAGCCACATACACTCACACCCAGGATCGAAACCACGACCGCAAGTCAGAGGTGACCAGCCAGCTAGAGCTCAAAGCATGGCACTATACCCGCTAGGTCATCCCATCCCCTCCCCCCCCCCCACAATCTCCCGACTTGGTTTTCTGTTGGATTAAAAAGATGTCCAACACTTAAAGCAGCATTAGGTATGATAAGATAAAGAGCTGACAATTCTCGCTAGAACAGTTAAAAAATAAATAATGAAAAGAGAATATCCTGAAGATTTCAGTCAAATTACTTGACTCTGGGCCTATTATACTTATGCCTTGATTGTCATTACTACCGTTGTTACGATAAAAAAAAAATCATCACTATCCATTTTTTCGGTAACAGCATCGACCACAAAATGTATTTAAATCTACTTATATCGCAGCCATCCGATGGCATCAAGAGTAGATTATGGTCTTGGTAAGTTAATTAATGACGAATTAATGTTTTTTATAACATTTAAGGCCTAAAAAAAGACCTGCAATAGGCAGATTTAGCTCTTACATAATGCCTGTTTAAGTTGGTGCTAGTTTGTCAATATCATCTGAAGTAATTCAAAATCTATCAAATAATAAGCAGTAGCTTTAAAAGAAACTGTCTTAAGCTCTACATAGTATGATTGTGTTGGCAATGAATCTATACTAATATTTGTGACTGTCATTTGCTTGTCTGTCCCAAAGCTAAAATTTTGTGTATAAAGGTAGCTCCGACCAGTGAGTAAAATAGCTCTGATGGTGATGGCCTACCACTTCCGGTTTCAGAGTCAAGACCCCCAGGCTTTCGGCCACGGCCGAATTTCAACCCCGGGTGAAGCCTGGCATCCTTATAGTGAAATCTATGTGTGAGATTTGAATACTACTAACTTGAACATCATAATACTTTACAATAGAATTGTAGTTTTCTTACCTTACATGTCCAATCTTCTGATATAACAACTATAGAGAAAAAAAAATATTACGCTTAGAATAATTTAAAAGAAACAGTTATTTTATGATGTCTTAAAATAATGGAATCATATTTCCATATTCAATTGACAGATATGTGGTATATGCACAAGGTCAACGACAAACATGAACACAACGTGAGAAAATGTCCCAAAAAATTACACACTTGATTGATTAAATTTGTCTTCTTACAGATTTCCAGGTCAGATCGCAAAACCTTGGCATTTGTTTTGAACATGCTCAAAACAAATGCTGTGACCCGGCAATCATTGGGGACCATGGCGACCACAGCACGATATTTGGCGTTTCCACCACACTTTTAGCACACTTATGGCGATCTTGACGTCCTCTGCGACCATTTTCCGTCGCCACAGCGTCGCAGTAAGTATGCCACTCCGTTCTGACGGGGGTATAAAGAGAGCGTCATAATCTGCTGTCACTCATTGAGTTTGACACTAGTTCACTAGCCAGGAGGTTTTATCAAGGTATTGGAAGAGAAAGTTTCCCATGTGTTTTGGATGGGGCTATAAAAAAGAATTTGACACTAGTTCACTAGCCAGGAGGTTTTATCAAGGTATTGGAAGAGAAAGTTTCCCATGTGTTTTGGATGGGGCTAAAAAAAAGAAGTTCAGAGCACACCATCTCTACAACTTGGGTATCATTTAGTTGTGTTGTTTTAGCAGGAGTTTTTGTATTTAATGTTTAGTTTCAAACCAGGGATCTTAATAGGCTATTTTTGTCGACTTTAGCCGCCTGAAGTTCAATCAAGCCGATTGGTAAAACAATGAACCAGCCACTATAGTATCATGAATCAATCTACTTTCAACTAAATTACAACAGGTTAATTATTACTTGTTAATTAAGTAGTCAATCAACTTGCTTGTCGACTAAAATAACAGTCATACCTTAGTGAGAATCAGCCATGTGGTTCATAATCCAAGTAATTAACATAAGTAACAGTAATTTTGATAATCCAGTAAATAACCAAACCAAGCTTGCTGATTATTCATAACAGGTCCAGTAAGTTACCTTTAAGGAAATAAGCCACGTGGCATTCGAAGGAAGACGATCTTGGCATGGATTGTCCATCTATCGCGCGCCTTCGACGCTCTGTATGAATTCCAGGTGTGCCGGTAGATATTAAAATAATAATTGGATCATAATTTAATGGTTTCACTGACTAGTTGTTAGTTAAATTTAAATCTTAGTTGAATATAATCCTCGGATAAAACACTGAATACACAGAGAAACAGTCATTAATAATATGGATCTCCAACGCCAAATCCCTCGATGATTATGACATCGATTTGAATTAGGTCAATAAAACAGCGATGCTAGTTTTACATGTAGTTTTAAATAGTGTGTACCATTACAATGTTTTATTTTATACACATGCTGACAGAGGCTTATTTTTTAAAACAATATTGTCATTATTGTCATTGAAAGCTATATGGCACAGTCGTATGGAATTTAATTTTAAAGCCATTTCAATTATGGTTATCACGTGATCACTGTGTGTCTATCATGGATGGACGAATGAATAAAACATTTGCAAGTTAGGTGATAGAAAAACACCCTACAAATTGTGTTCTGAAGAAATACCATGGTGTCGAATCAGCTTATATCCATCGAAAAAAACGAATATAGTAATTTATTCAGGAATATTACTGACATGAATTTCTAGCGGGTACATAAATAAAATATGGAAAATTTTCTGAACGGTGTACCTATTGGTCGTAATTTTTGTGGTAATTACATACAGAAGAATACGATATTCCTCATAACAATTACCAAGAATTATTTTTGTTGAAGTCTGGTTAAAAACAAGGGAATAGAAGCTTAAAATTTTAAAACACAGTTCCTACAGGGATCTCATTTAACTCAATTCTGGCTGGTTCATTTCACAAAGGATTAAGAACCCTGTTTCAAACCATTGTTTGAAATCTAATCAAATCTGTTGAGAATCATAAAAAAACATTTAGTTTCTACTGTTGTGTAGTTTAAAGGGTCTGTTTAGATTGTTAATGAGTGTTAGGTTTATAACTGTTACTCAACACCTTTTTGAGATACTGTTTAGTTTCTCGAAAGGTGTTCAGTAATTAACAGAGTAATTAACAGACCCACAACACCTTTTGAGAAACTGTTTAGTTTCTCGAAAGGTGTTGAGTAATTAATTAGTCTATTAAATACTCAACACCTTTTGAGAAACTGAACAGCTTGATACCGAACATTAAAGATGGGTTCCCAGAAAAGTATTTATCAGTTGGTTATTTCCGATAAAAGTATGGCAATTTTGGTATATATGGAAAGTAGAGATATCCAATCTTACTAGAAAAATACTAGATTCCCTGAAAAACACTCATGGAGCGTATACAGGACAAAAATGTAAGGGTTCCCCTAATCCTGACGATTAGGAATTTCTGCACGCGTGATGTCAAAGGTCACACGCGAACGTGGGTAGTGGATAATGCGAGAATTTAATTACGATTCGATATTTGTAATAAATAGTAAGCGATTAAAGACAACATCGTCTTATGTATGCAATGAATTCTCCTCTGACTTCCAAGAGAGGTAAGTCACGTGACGTAAACATGACCTGGTTTGATCGAATTTTTATAGCAGGACATTCCTTTGCAATTACAATGTTTGAGAAGGATTTGAAGCAAAGTTATGACAAATTAATTAGTTTGAATATGTTTTTAGTCCATATATACCATTAAATCACCCAGTTTGTACGTGGGAACCAATTTTTAAATACAGAAACAACATAACCAAATGATACCTGAGTTGTAGTGTATGGCATGCATGTTAAAAATCCCCCATCAGTAACATCAGTTGGAAATTAAAGTAAAAGTAGGTTGTAGGATATGTTGTCTTCATTACACCAGTTGGTGCAGAGAAGAAAGATGTTAAGAAGTTAAAGCCCATTTCATTTCAAGTTTTACTAACAGCAACTAGTGATTTGGGGTTTTTATGAACACTGAAGAGCCCTGTTATCCTGGGTTTATTTTCAACACAAAGATAAAAGACTCTGAAGGTTTATTAACAGCAAGATAAAAGATTCTGAATTTATGAAGAATTAACAGAACAATAATATTCAGATCCTTAATTCAAATACATGGAAGCACTTTGAAACTTTTCTATGTGATAAAACAAAATATCTAAACTATGATATCTTACCATTTTTTGATTTGAGATCTCTGTGAATTACTTTAACTGGAGCTTCACAGTGGAGGTAGTTCATTCCTTTAAAAAAATATCAGTAACTCTGGTAAGCAAGGTGTCAAACCTCTAACATATATTTGTATTGAAAAAAAAAAATTACACAAAGATGTTAAGAGTTTTCAGCCAACACAAACATTTTTAATACATGTTAATAATACATCTCCAAATGTTTCTCTCATCTGTTTCTTGCTTTTACTAGTCCCTGATCACCTCAGCCCATGTAGGAGTACTCCCAACTGATCACCCCAGCCCATGTAGAAGTATTTCTCCCAATTCTCTAGCTTTTACTATTCCCTGATCACCACAGCCCATGTAGGAGCATTTCCCCCAACTCTCTCTAGCCTTTACTATTCCCTGATCACCCCAGCCCATGTAGGAGCATTTCTTTTAACGTTCTGGCTTTTACTAGTCCTGAATTTTGCTATTCGTGTAATCTAAGTTTATTTCAGTTAAATGTCTGTATTTTCTGGCATGTAATTTGACTAAGAGGATTGATTACCCAGCCTGTAAAATCTACCAAATTGAAAAAAAAAATACAATTCATGTTATTACCTGTAGCAATTTCTCGGGCCCATTTTAATATTTGGTTAAAATCTAGCTCATTTTCTGGATTTTTCAGATAGGCGTATAAGGATCCATGAGCAGCATATTCTGAATAATAGGAAAAAACAAAATTATGAAATAAAACAAGATGATGATGAAACAAAAGGATTCATAAGGAAAGATAAAAGAGATCAGCAAAGACTTGAAAAAATGACAGAAACAAATGATATTTCACACTAACACTATTTATGGAATAATTTGCTTGATAAAGACGAGAGTATTATGGTCGAAGCGTTGCATGTTAATAAATCAGTAATTGTTATTCCATAAATAGTGTTAGCGTGTTACTGTTCAATTACTAAATGCCACTTGAAGAAGAAATGATATTTCATTTTTATTGAATTTTACTTGGAGGATTTTAAACACCTGGCCCTGTGTTCACAAAGTATTAATTTAAGTTAAGATTTTACACAAAATTGTTTGTCTTATTTAAACTGAAATATAGCCATTTATAAAACTTTTGCTGTTTTAATGTATCAAATACATCAATAAGAAACTATGTGCGGAGTTTGGTGTTTCTGGATCAAAGATATTTCTCATAAACAGTGATTGAAAGTTAAGAATGCTTTGTGAACTCAGGGCTCGGAAGTATAAATAAATGGAGTAGAAGCTCTGATTAGATTTTGAATATCTTATACTCTTAAGAAAACTTTTAATCACTCTATTTTCAGTCTCCAAATGGCAAGTGTTAAAACAAATTCAAGACAATTACTATTGGTGATACAAAAAAGGTCTTCAAAAGAAACAAGATAATTTCAAGAATATTTAAGTTTCGATTCCATTCATTTCGATTCCCTGTTAAGACTAACAAGATAATATTGTATGAAACATATCAGGGAAAAAATCACTGGGTTTTATTCATGAAAATATATAGTAAGCAGTTAGTGTATATGTATAATTATTAAGATGATATTACAAACAGGTAATATAATTTACTATAGTGAGGTACCAGTGAACATACAGTCAACACAAATTAGATCATTTAGGGACTAACATATATCAATAATAGGGTCTTAAGGTGTAGGAGGAAATTGGAGGATCCAGAGAAATCTCAAGAGGTTGGGCAGGTGACTTTACTCTTGTCACATACAAGCTTCGCTTCAAAACAATGCTCGTTGACTCGATGGTGGACTATTATGATCTAAAGCATTTGCGTTAGACCACTCTCCCACCCATCCCCTCAATATTAGAATAAGATAATTTTACCTGTTATAAGACAGAAGTTATGATCATCTGTAACAGCACCATAAAACTGTATAATATTACGATGACTTAAAACACTTAAAACTTGAGCCTGGAAAACAAATTAATTTATTGACTGATTTAAATCTCAAGAGTCAATCATCATTACATGCAGGAAAGAAAGAAATAGTCTTTAATGGTAAATCAACTCGAGCCACGCTGCCCTGATGATTTTTACACTTTATTACAAGAATGGCTGAAATTTTTAATCATTTTACTCACCTCTTTCTCTAAAACTAACAATCGCTTGACAGCAACTATCATATTTTGTGATTTCCATAATGCTCTGTATACACTGCCAAATGTACCACCCCCACATCTTTCATAGAATAACAGATCATCAATATCTAACTCACAGAATATATCTGTCATCTTGATGTCCACATATCTTCACGCATACAGTCTGAAATTAAATTTAAAATCAATACAGATGTTCAACACAAAAATTTGGCAAAACTGTACCATTGGCTGTGCATATAAGTTCATTAGCATCTATAATTGTGCAGTGTTTTTCACAGCTTTATGTTAATTACATCCACCTTGCACGATACTGTGTGAAAACAAGAGCTTCCCTAATAATGAATGCATCTCTATCAATCAGTCACTTAAAAAAAAACTCTGCTTTGATTGGCATAGAGTTGTCTTTTTATCCGCCAAGTACCAATGTCATGTATTTAAACTCAATGTGAGTTTAGACAAAAAATCAGATAAATAAATGAAATGGTGTTTTAACTTCCTACTGTTCTGCTCCAACTGGGCTAAAGAAGAGAAATTTTGCTTGGACAGCAATGTTACAGCCTAATTTGATATTGAATTCCAATTGCCAAGGAATCTTTTAGGTGCATACCAATGTGTACACAGGACCTAAGTTTTTCATACCATCTGAACAACTAGACTGCTGTCCTTGCCAGACCCTCCTCCATGCCAGAAAATTTTGAAGAACTTTATCTGCTAACACAGGGAGCAAACCCGCGACCACCAGGCTAGCAAGCCAGCGTCTTACTCACTTAGCCACCATGGCTCATCAGATAAGTACTTTTAATAGGCCTAAAGAAGCATAGCCTACAGTTTCAATAAATATATATTTCATAAGAACCGATTTAAGATCAAATTTTGTTCGAAATTAATATCCAAGCGATAGGAAAAAGCACCAAGTTTTAGCCACAGCCTTCCTCCTCACTCACCTCACCCTTGGCCTTAACCATGCCCCGGATTGTCTACTATTATACCATTCCGCTACCAACTCATGGAAGGTGCATCCCCATCATCAAATAATAAACCTTCTTGTGGATCACGGTCATGCATGATAATAAGACAAAGATAACCTACTTGACACCTGTGTACCGTTATGATTATGTCAGTGGTCAGTTTACTATCATTAAAATAGGACTAATCGGTCTGGCTATTTTTGCTAAGTAACTGTCAAGACTAGCAGTGTGCCAGTGAACACAACACTGTCATCCGCACACAAACCAGCCCACTCACTTCGAGAATCCGGATAACCTAAAATTTATCCAGAACGCACATTTTGAAGATTTTCTGCAATGTACGCAAGCATTCTATAGGTCTATGAAATTAAATATATGACACTCTATCAAGTGACTGACAAAACAATTCTTTTACCTTTTTTTTTATGAAGGCCACTATTTTCGTAATAATCAGCTGGCCTATGTCCAAACCAACACGAGAGAGATAGAAAAAAAAAAAAACTAAACTTTTACAACAGTTGTCGTCATTAAATTGTTTTCTTCAAATTATAATATACATACGAAATTTTACATTTTACTAAAACAAAATATTGTTACTAATTAACAGAGTGTCAAATATAATCAATTTATGTTCTAAAACGTATATATTTACGACATTCATTTTCTGGTCGTTTCGTTGTAAACAAATCTGGTGATAACAACAACAGATTTACAGAACACGTGGTGAACTTAGGTCAGCTGTCAAATATACACCAGTGCCACCAGATCTGCTGTCACTGTCATTTTTAAGTGCTTTTGCGGTGTTGATGAGACTTTTTAAGTTCCTGGGGTATTTTTTTGTTGGATGGAGGGGTATTAAAATATTGTCTCGCAATATCAATATAGAAACTGTAGGCCTAATCCTAATGTAATATTAAAGGGACAATAATAACACTCTGGCTGGCTTGGCAACTCCAGAAAATAAAAAATAGCCTTATTCTAAGTACTAGATGTGTTAGTGTCTTACCTGTTGTGTAAATTATCCATTAAATCCTATTATACTTGTCCAGAGGGTTCAAAAATATTTTTAAATCCAACCAAGTCACATTTGAAAAGCTTTTACGTCAGACTTTTCAAATCATTTAGTTGAATTTTTCCATTTTTTTAAAATTAGGTGTGTTAAAATGAAATTTGTATCATCAATTAATTGGAATATTGTAAAATAGTGCAATTTGTTGACCAGAATAAAGATTGGGACATATTATTCAGTTACAGCAAGAGTGGTATTGAGCCTTAAACCTTACTGACAGTTTTCAGATTAATGATTTACCGTACCAGGGTTTCTAACAGAATTGAGGCGCTATTGCACTTTCGCACCTCTACCAGTTCCTACTTTTTGCATATTTAGTTTGGCTGTTGTTACATGACATATCATTAGCCAGCGCCTTCATGACATAACTAAACGTCAATTTAAAATATCTGGCAAATCCAGAAAATATTGCTTTGATTTAAAAGGGATGGTTTGTACCCATGTCAGGTTGGATTATATGCTTAATTATAGTTGAATGTTGCAGAAGAAATGTAATAAATACCAATAATCAATCATCATTTTGAAGCAGAAATTGGCAGTTTTGCTTTTTGAAACCCGATCTGATTGACAAAGGGGTTTTACCAGGTAAAACTATATAGTAGTAGGCCTACCATTTCTTACTCCAAACACGGAAGGTTTGAGAGATATGGTTTCTTATCTAGTATATATAGTCCAAAGTCAAAACTAAAATGATAAATTAATTCAATTCATTAAATTATATCTTTATTTAGTTTCGTCTTTCTTTATGGTTCAAATTTTCTTCTGTAATCTACATAAGGTATACCTGAGCCTCTTGTATTGTGCCTTCAAGCACGTCCGTGATCTGATGGGCGAAAACTGTGCTCTGATAAATAAAAAGACATGCTCTCAGGTAGTTTCAATTTGGGCAAAAAGGGCGTACCTGATATCACTGAGGATAGGTCCATCACAATCGGATTAAAACACAGATCCTATTTCGTTTCGTTTTTTTATAGTTCAGAATTTCGTTTTACTTGTCTTTACTACACTAGGATCTGGAAGAGTTGATATATAACCTGCATTTTAGTTGATGTAAGGAATTAACCAATGAAACAGTCTGTTACGGCGTTCTTCGCATAAAGTGCACAGATCTGTGGGTATCCAACTAGATACATTAACCCTGATTGGTTAATCAAATGTCTGACGTCATAGAATCAAAAGCCGTGCATATAACCCCTGACGCAACCTTCTACTACAACAGGTCAGATCTTCATGTAATGGAGGCCATCGAAAGTATAAAAAAACCGAAAAGAAATATAGAACTGTGCTTTAATCAGATTGGTCTTTCATTGTACCAAATTCATATTGTTTTGAAAATTAGAATCTATTAATGGATGTCTACCTCAATGTGTACATCAACATGTCTGCATGGATTGAAAAACGTCACTTTTAATCAGATTGTAAATAAATCTCCAAACTAAGACTCCAAAATTATTACACCATTTTTATAAGCCAATCGGAGATATCATTGATATCACATGATCTCAAAATCGCTTCAACATGATCAACATAATTTACATGCAGAGTGGCATATGCTCCCAAACTCCCAAGACGAAAGCTGCGTGTGTCCGTTCATGATCAGTGGTAAAAAAATCCCTAGCTACTTGAATTTGTCGCGATCAGGCGATAAAGTTCGCCCTTCTGTCCTAGGCTTGACCAATAATGTGATTATGAATTTCCATGCAGTGATTTTTAATTTTAACAAAAAATAATTTAAGGTGCCCATTTTAATTAAGAAATTTTATTTCAACCCTCATCTGTCGTTTTATAATGTTATAATCCCCACCGCCACCCCTAAATAAATTATTGGATTTAAGCTTTAATATGATACGAAAGAATCATCTTCAAAATCCTGTCCTTAACTTATCAGTGTGTAAAAGGCTTAGCTCCAAAATACTTATCGAACCTTATGCAAATACATGTTCCCTCACGTAATTTCCGATCAAACAGACTTCATCAGTTGTGTTGCCCAAGGTGGAAGCTAAAATCATTTGGATACAGATCGATCGCAGTTAATACTCCTAAAGAGTGGAACAATCTACCAGAAATCATTAAAGCATCTCCAACTCTCTCTTGTTTTTAATCAAGACTTAAAACCCATCTTTTTGAGAAATGTTATCATGATTAATCAAATTATTTAACTGTATGCGCTGTGAGCATGCCTCTGTGCATGGAGTACTAGCGCTTTAAAAATGTACATATTATTATTATTATTATTATTAGATTAAACTTCACACTGCTTCTCAAAAAATCATTCTAAAACTATCAATGTATTCCTTTAACTCAACATTATTCATAATATTTGGAATTAGAAACATGAATTAAAATTCAATATTGGTCTGCTTTATATGGTACAATATGGGTAGGGATCCTAATATCTGTTCTTTAATACACAATCAACAGTTTAAAATGAGTAAACAATGTTGTGTACTCTATGGTTTTGAGCTCCATTTGTAATAAACAAATAAAAAAACATATCCCATAAGACAATATAGAAATAATTTAAAAATGGCCGATACACAAACAACAAAATAATAATTTTAAAATATTGTAGGACGGACTTAGAAGATGCAAACGACTGCTTTTCAATTTGGACTGGTCACGTATATCACCGAACATCATTGATTAGAAATTACAATAATAGTTTTAAGAATTGAATGTAAATCACTTTATAAACACTCATGGTTTTAGACCCATTTTGTGTATTTTAAGGATCCAAAGAATAGAGCTATATGCCCTTTAAATGGTTGAAGAACCCCTTTAACACCTCAAAAGGGTAATCCAATTTCTATAAATGAAAACATAAAACATATTAATGAAGATGGCTAATTTTATAAGCTTTCTTTTAACTTCTATTTAATATATTTTTAATTGCCCTTTAATAGTTTTTTTCTGACTCCGATTAGATGTTTGATAAAAAAAAACTAAATTAAACCTCATTAGGCCAATGTTTTGAAAATTTTAAAATTAAAAGAAAAAATCCAACAAAATCTATTGAATGTGCAGCAAATTTTTTTAAAAAGTAAAATGTATATATTTCCTGCATGAATATTATATACAGTATGGATGGTTTATTGTCTTAAAGTTACAATTCCATATTTTCTAAGAAAGTCAAAACATAATTATTTCTATGTCTTTTGCTCAATAGGTTGTCAACTCACTATTATACGATCATAGGTTATCTTTCTCACTCTTAAAAATCTTCAAACCGGAAATAATAACACAATTACCTCCCAATTATCTCCCTAGCTTTCCTATTCTCCACCATGGAATAGCTATCTTCAAATGTTTGAATTTGAAATTAAAAATGATATTTTTGCCAATTTCTCAACTGGCTATAGTGAATTATAGGATTAATAGGATTATTCTTTAACAAGGCAGGACTGTTTATAGATACCATCTATTTTAGGGCTTTATATTTTAATACATTTTAAAAATATAACTTAAAAATATGAAATTGTAACTTTAAATAATAAAAACCTGCCAAAATTTGAGAAAAATTAGCTTATTTATTATTGTTAAACAAAGTTTCATTTTGGCATGGCCTTAATCTGATTTACCTCTGCATCGTTTTAGGTAAAGCAGGTGTAAAGACTAACTTGTGCCAGTGAAAGCGGGAAAAGGCGTTGCGTAGTTAAAGACAATCATCATGTAGCCTGCTAGACTAAATATAGAACATTCCAAGTTAGTCAGTCACAGCAAGGTTTTAGTTTACACATATATATATATTGGCTTCAGAACTTGTGAAGATGGAAGGCAGACGGACCAAATTATATCTTTTTGAGAATCCAAGTTCAGGTATTTACTATTTACGTTTCCTTATTAACTTACCGACTGTATTAAATAATTATAGCCATTTATTCCATTGGTCAGAAGTTATTCGATAATTTTTATCATTGAGTGTATATTAAAGCTATGAAACACATTGATCCACATAACTCCAAGCTTTGGTTGTTGTATGTCATGATCACCATTGGCAGAGGGTCTAGGACCAAGGGGGGTGGGGGAGGGAGGTTTTAATGGTCTAGATCATAAGGTCTGTCTTTGAGTTAAATGGCGTTGTTCGGTTCCTAGCTGTCCAAATTTGTGTGTTTTCTCCATGTTATCCAATTTCCTCCCACGGCTAAATGTTAGTCCCGAAATGACCTAGTTGGTTTCGAGTGGACATTAAACCCTATTTCTCTCTCTATATCTGTATTATTTTTATTATTTTGGATAAATATACTAAAATATACACAATTGTGAGTTTTTTTGACAGGATGAATATATAGATACTATAAGATAAAGACTTGTAGAAGTTGAGTGAAGACCCGAGAACTTTATTTGTATATATTTGAGTCCTTTATAACTTAGTTGTATATATTTGAGTCTTTATAACTTAGTTGTATATAATTCAGTCTCTATAACTTAGTTGTATATATTTACGTCTCTGTTTGTTGTTGTTTTATTTTGGTTGATGTGTTTACATGGCGTGCGTGTGAAGCCAGAACTAGGTTGTTAAAAAGACTATGTATTTTTTATACAGATATATTGAATTCTAGGTTAATATAACTACGCTATATATAGAGAAATAAATACTAGCGCTGTACCTGTGTGATAGTTGTAACATTTTTTTTTTAAATTCTAATTAAGTAACTGAAAGTAGACACATAGAATGGAAGAAATGCTTGAAGATTATTAAAGATGCACTATGTAAGATTTAGATAAAGAGAGGACATTTCTTGCTATAATAGTTAAAAATAGATAATGAAACGGAATATGTTGAAAATTTCAGTTGAATTCATTCTGTGTGGTGTTATGGCCGTGGCAAGAACAGTGTAGTCTCAATTGTCATTGCTACCATCTCGATTAACCTTTTTTTAATTAAATTATTAACTGGCAATAATGTTTAAATCCAATGAAAATCAAAACATCCAATGGGCTTGGCATGTGAATAAAATGTCTAATTAAAAATACATTATGGGAGATTAGATAAAAGAGCTGGCAGGTCTAACTATAATAGTTAAAAACTAAATAATGTAAAGGGAATTTGCTGAAAATTTCAGTCAAATTGGTCCACACTGAACCGAGAATTTAGCAATTGAATTTTGGGCTTAGCCTCGATCATCATTACTAAAGTCGGTACTATAAAAAAAAGTCTCAATTATCCATTTTTTGAATTAATCATCAGTGAGTGTTGAGCAGCAGATTGGGTTCCAATCCAGTAAATATCTCAGGCTAGCGATGACATCGAGAGTTGATTGTGGTCTGGATAAGTTAATGAATGTCTAATTAATAATTTAGATAACAATTCAGGCCTAAAGAAAGACCTGCAATAGACAGATTTAGCTCTTTCGTAATGTATGTTTAATGATTTATATAACATTTAAGACAAAACAAAAGATCTGTATTAGGCAGATTTAACTCTTCCATAATGCATCTTTAAGTAATGAGATCTCTTTTGTAACTGATTTAAAATCTAATCTGGACTTCAAGTATAGAATAGTACATGTTCCTGAAGCAACGACTACAAGTTTCACAACTTCTGGCCTTGATAAGATGTACGTAGTTAAAGCGAGATCAAGCCTTCTATTGAAGATGAGAATAATATGTCCCTACCCCACCCTACTTTTCCTCACCTCAACCCCTTTTATTGTTTGCCAATGTTCTCTGCTTGTAAAAGTTTTCCAGCTGAGTGTGGGTTTGGTGTATCTCAGTAACTGAATTGGAGAAGAACCTTCAGAATTTTTTGAGCCTAGTTTCCCCTCTTTAGGGGATAAGGAAAGTGTCTTGTCCTTTGGTTGGTTTAGAAAAAAAAAATGTCTGGAAATTAATAGGAGGAAACTAAAAGATGACTTGGGACTATTTTCCTCCCTCAAATAGTAGCCTATGTATATAATAACCATATGTTAGTCTCTAAATGCCCCCACCCCTCTTCATTCCCTTCCTCTCTCCACCCCACTCAATTTCCTTTACCAATATTCATAATAGGTGTATGCTGGGGCGTGTCCAGGAATTTGAGCCGCCGGGAGTGGGGGGGGGGCAAATGGTGTCAATGTCAAGTTTGGCATTAGGTCGAGGAGAACTATGTGCAAATTTGATCAAATTAGAAGTTTTGAGACAATATTTCTGCTCATTTAGGTTTTCTCCGAGCCCTCTGGTTTCCTCCCACTGCTAAAGACCCATATGCGCAAGCGAATTATTGAAATAAAATTAAACCATATGTTAGTCCCGAAATGACCTAGTTTGTGTCGAGTGGACCTTAAACCCATCTCTCTCTCTCTCTCTCTCTGTATAAGATTACAGTGGATTACAGCGTTATTTCCATGAATGCAGGAGAGAGAAAATAATCTCTGTGCCAGCACATGGGGGTCCAGACCTCCTGGAACCCCCGTCTGGACACCTACCTGTATAACTAATAAAGGTAATTTATCTATCTATGCCAAAAAAACGATAAAAAAACTAATTGAGCTCATTTCGTGACTTCTATTTGAGTGTTGATAGGTCTGTACAAATTTAGACTATGACGTCTGTCTGTGGGTGTTAAAGGTATTGGCAATGTTTGATCTATTGCATGTGCTGACAGTACAACGCTTCCTATCTTTCTATATAAACCCTTGAGATGTTTTGAATAACGCCTAAACGTGTGTTCGATCACATACGGTTATCTGCATAGCTTATTTACCTTTCTGTATTTGGATGCTGAAAATATCGAGTTCATATATGTATGTGTTTATACTGTGTCCCTGTGGATTTTCTGTCTTTTTTATATCTACACAAAACATGCAAGAAAGCAGAAAGTTTTAGTTTATTATTCTGAGCCTCTGAATGCAGACATAGCTAAACAAACCTGTGATAAATAGGGGGTCACGGTGGCTAAGTGGGTAAGATGCTGGCTCGCTAGCCTGGAGGTCGGGTGTTTGATCCCTGCATTGGCCGGGAAAGTTCATCCAGATTTTCCGACATGGTTCCCCCTTGTCAGTGATGCAGGACGGAGGGCCTGACAAGGACAGCTGTCTAGTCGTTCGGATGGTACGAAAAACCGAGATCCCGTGTACACATTGGCGTTTACGTAAAAGATCCCCTGACAGTTGGAATTCGATATAAGAGTAGGCTGTAGTGCCGCTGTCTGGGCAAAATTTCCCTCATAGCACACTGTATGGCGTATGCCCGTCATTAGCCCAGATAGGGAGGAAAACAGTAGGATGTTAAACCCAATTTCATTTCATTTCATTTCTGTGATAAATATTGACATTATTATTAGAGAAAGGGAATGGAAAATTCTTTATTGATTCATAAACACTTAGGTCATTTTAAGACTTTTTCTCTGTGTCCTCTGGTTTCCTCCCACTGATAAAGACCCCTACACCCATAAATACTTTAAGACTTTATCTCCGGGTCTTCTGGTTTCCTCCCACTGCTAAAACCCCTACGCACAAGCGAACCATGTGTTAAGTCCCAAAATGACTTAGTTTGTGTGGAGTGGAGCCAATCCCCCCCCTCTTTCTCTCTTCTCTCTCTCTCTGGTCAACCAGAAATGCCCATGTTAGACCTGACAATGGGGAACAAGCCTTGAAAAATCCCGAATATTCTTCTGAGTGCACACCAGGATAACAACCAAAGATTTTTAGTCCAGACTCCACAGTTACTAAAATAAAAGTTGTCTGAGCTAGTTGATGGATCGTCCAATTTGTTGGTTTGTCTATGTGTAGGCACTCATGTTGCTTTCTTTATGTTATAATCTTAATTCATACCACATTTTCTTGATAACAGGAAACAAAAAATTCCTAAGGGTTAAATTTATCTTTTAAAGGACAATAAGGTACACTTTTTGTGCCAACTTCTTCTACTGTGTTGCACCATAAGGTAGAGCCTATAGATTTGTAAATTCTACTGTGTATTATGGATGATATCTGTGTATCTCTTATCTAATGTTTTATTATTATCTGTCTTGCAGACCAGCTGAGAATAGAAAGTTATATCATATTGAAATAACACACACATATGTTTTGAGAATTATCTTACAATAGAATGTTTTTAATTCTATGATAAGGTAAAGTTTATGATGAGGTAAAGTTTCTGATATAATATGGGGGGTTGGATGACTGAATGGTTAGCACGTGAGCACTGTATCATAAAGTCTGTCATTGAGTCCACTGGCGTGGTTTCGATTCCCTGGTTGTACGTGGCAAGGAGTAGGGTCGCCTGTCCAACCTCGTGGGTTTTCTCCTGGTCCTCCGGTTTCCTCCCACTGCTAAAGATCCCTACGCGCAAGCAAATTATGGAAATAAAATTGAACCATATGTTAGTCCCGAAATGACCTGGTCTGTGTTGAGTGGACGTTAAACCCCATCTCTCTCTCTCTCTGATATAATATTTGATCAAATTAAGCATAAGCCACTAACATACTCAACTCTACACTTCCAGCTGGGGTAGATCTGAGGAACAGATCAGTTTTTGTCCTGCACTGGTGTACTCAATAGCTTCAGAACACTATCAGGATACTGTTAGTGGGTTAATTTCTATCAGACAAACCCCCAGTGTGTCAATTAACAAAATTTCAGGATCTTCATGATTTAACAAAAAAAGTGAGTTTGGTGTAAGGCATATATAAACTGTTTATGCGAGTTATGTGTAAGCAATACAAACTGTTTATGTGAGTTATCTTTAAAGATACATTATGGGACATTAGATTTAAGAGCTGGCAGTTCTCACTATAATAGTTAAAAACAAGATACTGTAAAAGGAATTTGCTGAAAATTTCAGTAAAATTGATCCATGAACTGAGATTTTAGTGATTGAATTTTCGGCATAGCCTTAATCATCATTACTAAAGTCGGTAGGATATAAAACATAGTCTTGATTATCCATTTCATGGTTTAATTATGAATGGAAGTTGAACAGCAAATCGGAACCTAATCCAATAAACATCGCAGCCTTGCGATGCCATCGGGGGTTGATTATGGTCTAGATAAGTTAATTATTGTCTAATTAATAATTTAGATAACATTTCTGGCCTAAAGAAAGACCTGCAATAAGTAGATTTAGCTCTTGCATAGTGTATGTTTAAGCAATACAAACTGTTTATGTGAGTTAGGTGTAAGGAATACAAACTGTTTATGTGAGTTAGGTGTCAGGAATATAAAATATTTGTACGAGTTAAAGTGTAAGGTTTATGAAATGTTTATATCAGGTGTAAGGAATATAAACTGTTTATGTGAGATAAGTAAAAGGAATACAAATGTTTATGATGTGAGTTAGGTGTAAGTTTATGAAATGTTTATATGAGTTAGGTGTAATGGTTATAAAATGTTTATATGAGTTAGGTGTAATGGTTATAAAGTGTTTGTATGAGATAGGTGTAAAGAATAAAAAATGTTTATGTAAGTTATGTGTAAGGAATATAAAATGTTTATAAGAGTTACATGTAAGGAATATAAACTGTTTATGTAAGATAGGTGTAAGGAATATAAACTATTTATATTGAGTTAATTGCAAGGGTTATAAAATGGTTATATTGAGTTATGTGTAAGGAATATAAACTGTTTATGAGTTACATTTAAGGGTTATAAAATGTTTATATGAGTTACATGTAAGGGTTAAAAAATGTTTATATGAGTTAGGAATATAAAATGTTTATATTGAGTTAGGTGTAAGGAATATAAACTGTTTATATGAGTTACATGTAGGGAATATTTACTGTTTATGTAAGATAGGTGTAAGGAATATAAAATGTTTATGTGAGTTGTGTGTAAGGAATATAAAGTGTTTATGTGAGATAGGTGAAAGGGATATAGATATTTATGTTAATTTGCCAAAATTCCTCTCTTAATGTAAGCCATTTCCTGATTTAATTTATATAAAATACACGTTTATATCATAATTTGATAATTCTACCACAAATTGTGTAATATTGATTGATTTGCAAGGAATTAACAGAAACTAAATCTAAGTTTCTAGTACCACACATGTAGAAACCGTCCACTAATCAAGGTTATGTTGCCATTCCAGTTACTTGTGGATCTTTCTTGTAATTCAGGTATAAACACCTTACAATTTTAGATCCTGAAAGAACTTATTGTTTTATTACTAAAAACAACCCATGTCCAGTAAAAAACAGTATGACTGTCCACAAGGTTATTAATTTTATAAACTTCCACATTCCTCAAATACAACATTCTTAGACTAGTTGGCAACCAAACTAACATTTGTTTACAGTAAGGGATGTTATCGAGTAATAAACAAGAATATTGAAAGAACCGAAGCTTATATTAACTGTTAAATTTTCTTAATAAATATGTATATAGAACTGATTAATTATTCTGGCGGGCTCATTGCCACCCATAAAATCTTAAATGCTCATTTTCCACCCCCAACAGTTTTTAACTGTGTTTATTTTACATTGAGTGATAAAAACAAACATTTTAAATCAGTTGTGAAAAAATGTTTCCTTTTGCTTTTATCAAAGATATTTTTAAATGTTATTTGTTTTTTCGAAAGTGTGCCAGGATGTTAGTAGATCATATCGAATGAGTTCTTCAGAGATGTTTCTGTTCTAGATAAGTTATTTAAAGAATGGTTTATATTATAATGTGTGAATTTATGTAAAACTTGTTCAACTCCGGTGCTATGTAGGTGAGACATATAGATAGACCAGGTTAATTGACTCCAGCTGTCTAGTAAATACAGAAGATAGTATAATAGGTATACTGACGTTCTTCTTACCTACTTAGTATATACCTACAGGTAATTACTAAGACTATTAAATATATAGGTTGGGGATCTCATTTCACTTATACCGGTAGGTAGGTAGGTAGGTGACCGATTACTTTGAAGTTGACCACTTGTAAAATGTTCTTTTAGGTGCACGGCAACGTGTACGACTGTACATACACAGGACCTCATTTTTATCATCTCATCTGAATAACTAAACGCTTTTCCTTGTCAGGTCCTCTGCACCACTGACAAAAGGAAACCACGCTGGAAAATTTGGGGGCGTTTACAAGACCAAAACTTGGATCAGATTCCGGTCCTTCTTGCTAGTGAGTCAACACATTATCCACTGAGCTCCCATGGATTTCCAGTCAAGTGTACAATGGAATTGAACCATTTTTGGACTGACATTCCAATTACGGTAGAATTGAACTTTTACAGTATCATAGTTGAAATGAATTCCTAGATTGCTCAAATTACACTCAGGGATTTTTAGACTGATACACAAAACTTTTAGAATTTTGTAGTTTGCAATAGATTTCTATATTATTAAAAAAATCTGGGGGGGGGTGGCTCTAGTGGTTTAATGTGTGCACATGAAATAACAAGGTCTTTGATTGAGTCAAGTGGTGTGGTTTTAATTCCCTTCTTGTACAAGACAAGGAGTAGGGTTTCTCCGGTTTCCACCCACAGCTGAAGTCCTATACGAGCAAGCGAATTATTGAAATAAAATTGAACCAAAATGTTAGTCCTGAAATGAACTAGTTTGTGTCAAGTGGAGGTTAAACCCCATCTCTCTCTCTCTCTCTCACACACACACACACACACACACAGATATGTTCTACCCATTACTGCTAGAAGAATCAGGTAATTATAGAATGTTTGTCTAAAAGTGAGATTTAAGTCGTAGTTTGGGTGTTATCTTGCTGCTGAAAATAGCTCACATTGTATGTACCATTTGTTACTAAAATGGCATCAAGAATGATTACAAAATCAACTGTTCAAGTAATTATGTAATATTTTTTCATTACAGAATTTTGGACAATTCATAGGACAATAAAACTAAAATGTTAAAACCACTTTGGTTCCTAGCTGTCTTCATAATTAACGCAGATATCATCTAATGTGAGTATTTATACTATTATCTACTTCTTATACCTCATACTCTGGGGATGTTGGGATGTACACTTTAGATCGTGAGGTCTGTCATTGAGTCAAGAAGTGCTGTGGTTTCATGTCAAGGATTATAGGGTCACCTGTCTAACCTTGTTGCCTTTCTTCAGGTTCTCCAGTTTACATCTACCTGTACGTGTATGCAAATTATTGAAATTAAAATATAGAATGTGTCAGTTAAAAAATGACCTAGTTTGTTGAGTGGAAGTTAAAGGGAATCTTTCAAGTAAATGGTAAAATTATTTTCTACATGTGCGATTTAAATGGTAAATTTGGGCAAATGTGGATAGTCATTTTTCTTCTATTCATAACATAAGGGGTCAAATTCAAACAAAAATCTTCAAGACTAATATTCCATTCTAGAGGAAGTCTACCAAGACTAATATTCCAATCTATAGGAAGTTTAATGTTCCAATCTATATAGGAAGTCTACCAAGACTAATGTTGCAATCTATAGGAAGTCTATCAAGAATCTCACTATAGGAAGTCTATCAAGACTAATATTCCAATCTATAGGAAGTCTATCAAGGCTAATATTCCAATCTATAAGAAGTCTGTCAAGGCTAATATTCCAATCTATAGGAAGTCTATCGAGATTCCAATCTATAGGAAGTCTATCAAGACTAAAATTCCAATCTACCAAGTCTAATTTTCCCTTCCAATCTATAGGTTAGGAAATCTACCAAGACTAATCTTCCAATCTATTGGAAGTCTACCATAATCTCATTAATATTTTCAGTATTTTTATCTTAAAAAAAAAACATGAAAAATAAGTTTTAATAAATTAGACTCAGTGATATTCAGGCAAAAATAGAGAAATTTGGCGCCCCCCCCCCCTCCAAATCCTGGCTGAACAGATTTGTGTTATTACCTGGTCATGTCCACGGCAATTTTGAGTCCATCTTTAGTTGGAGATTGACAAGAGAGTTAAATGGTACCAATAACTCAGGTCGTAAAATATGACATACTAGCCTAGGTTATAACGTAATAGCCTGTTGATAGATTAACCTAATCTTGGTAAACCCCTATAGCAACATAATAACCACATGACCTTTAATAATAATGTTTGTGTCATGTATTGCTACAACAAAAACAACCTATTATTTATTGTTAGATGTTTTTATTGGAGGAAATTCCTGAAGGGTCATTCCAGAAATAAACCAAAAAGATGTATCATTGGAGATCAAGTGAAGAGGATAGATTCTTAACTTCTTCACAAATCTTCAGTTTCTGTGTACACATTTAGTGGGGAAAAAAATGAAAGTAAAATGAGATGCATTAAGAAGTTAAATATGCCTTCAAATACATGTTGAATAACAAAGTTATGTTTTTTGGTACCAGGTGTACGGGTTGCTATTTATAGAAATTCTCTTTAAGAGCTATCAAATGTCAAAATGTAATTTTTTAAACCTGGAGATAAATAAACGAAATAATCTAAGTACTACTGATACCGTTTATTGCTTACTGTTTCTGCCAGCTGCATAACAAATTGGAATTTTGCTGATAGTCGTAAAATAAAAATTGATTTATCTTTTACGTAATATTGTACTGGTTAGTTATTATGTAATTCTAAGCACATCTCAGTGTAAAAAGAACTTCATGAAGAATGGGCTTGCTTGTACAAAAAAACATAGCTAAATTGTTTTAACTATTTTTGTCTAAGAGAGAGAGAGAGAAATGGGGTTTAACGTCCACTCGACACAAACTAGGTCATTTCGGGATTAACATATGGTTTAATTTTATTTCAATAATTCATTTGCGTGTAAGGGTCTTTAGCAGTGGGAGAAAACCGGAGGACCTGGAGAAAACCCATGAGGTTGGACAGACGCCACTTCACCTTGTCATGTTCAAGCTGGGAATCGAAACGCCACTTGACTCAATGACAGTCCTCGTGATTTCATGTGCATGTGTTAAACCACTAGACACCCCTCACACCACCCCCACCCCCCCCTATTTGTCTAAGAGATATAAAGATGGTGGTGTGAAAAATCTGTAGAAAGCAATGTAAACTTCAAATGACCATATATATATATATATATAAAAAAATTCAAATCAGTATCATTGTTGATAGCAGAGAGGGGGGTGGGTGGATGGCCGAAGTCGCGCTGTATCATAAGGTCCGTCATTGAGTAAGCTGGCTTGGTTTCGATTCCCTGGTAGTATGTGAGACGGAGTAGGATCGCCTGTCCAACCTCGTTGGTTTTCTCCGGGTCCTCCGTTTTTTCCCCCTGCTAAAAACCCCAGCCTACGCCCATGCAAATTATTGAAATAAAATTGAACCATATGTTAGTCCCAAAATGACCTAGTTTCTGTCGAGTGGACATTAAATTCCATTTTTCTCTCTCTCTCTTTCCCCATTGATAGCAGACTAGTTTCTCCTACCTATATAAATAAAGATACTTTCTATAACTCTCATCTAATGGTGGGTATATATTTAGCACCACTGAGGAGAAACAAACAGTTGTAGAATCAGATTTCACACACACATGATTCATAAATTTCTACTTGTCTGGGCTACAACACACCATTTTATACTCAATGAGTCCACGTAACAGCCGTGTGTGGAATAGTATCAGGGTATTAACAACATCACATCTCATCAATCCATAGCCAATAAACTATAAAAGGGTGTGGCTATTATTAGGTATCTAACTTGTATCCTACACATTCCACATTTTTTACATTCTGTAGCATGTGCTCTATTTGTATATATCGACTGTACCCGTCTGACGATTGGCTTGTACGTCTGTTTACATCTTACACATGTGGCAGTGGCGTACAGAATGTGGTTACGAAATGGTCAACAATTTTGGGAATTAGTGATCTAGGCTGTTATGGAATTTCTAGTTACTAGAATCCACAATAAGATAAATTTCATTGATACCAAATATATGTTCCATATATGGTCGTAATCATATTGGGATTTTGATCAGCCCATCCAAGATAAAACCAAATTGTTATTCAAAAAGTTGCACAATTACAAACTGTAAATATAAGCATAGTGGTTCTTTTCTGTTTTGAACTATTTGATTTGGGTAGTATGGATGCCTGAATATCACAAGATACCAATTAAGCCGAATACACCAGAAAGTGACTTTCTTAAATTGTTTTCAAAGGTTATATAGTGATACTATAGACTGGAATATTTGTATGGCAGATTCTGGTTTGAATTTGACCCCTTATCTTCAAAAAGTATTCAACAGAATAGATACAAATGTAATGATTGCATGAATTTCTGTAACTGCCTAGCTGTGTCGTCCCCTTCCTCCCTCCCCCGTAACATTAGTATGCTGACCCTGCCTGGAACACCCAGTATCACTTTCTTTTCTCATGGATCAGATCTGTTTGCTATTGCTTACTTTGCCAAATTCTTGAAGTATAGCTAGGTAGAAATGATTGAGCTTCATATTTCTTCAGTCTATTGTTTTTATTTCTGTTTTTATAGGTTTCCAAGACAAGTGATGTTTCAGATATATTCTACGGAGAAACACATGCAGAATTATGATATGTATCTTCACCAGTGCTAACTAATAGGAATATATACATGTAGATCAGATCAAGATGTGACTGAACAAAGAATTGTGAATTACTGAGGTGTGAAAATGATCAAAATGTGACTGAACGAAGAACTGTGAATTACTAAAGTCTGAATATAATCAAAATGTCGGATGAGGAAATGACATATTCATCCCGACATATAGAACAACTTTTACAATGTTCTATATGTCTGGATCGCTTTAAAACACCCAAACTGTTACCATGCCAACATACATACTGCCAGTCACCATGTCTTGAGCAACTTGTGAACCCCAGAACACGCATGATACGATGTCCAGAATGTCGGGCAGATCATCTTGTGCCACGGGGCGGTACAGGATCTTATCCAAACAACATCACGATCATGGGTTTCATGGATTTACCAAGATTAGCTCCAGGTATAGAATCAACTGCTACGACAACCCATCGAGATGAAGGAGGTATCATGCCGACTAAGAAAGTAGAGAAACCAACTGACACAAGTAGTTCTGGAATGATGTCATCAGTATGCTGTTCAGCTGGTTATAATGATGACTTTTCTGGTACGTTTATTTCTTTACTTTAGGGGGTGGGGGCCAGTAGTCGAGCAATATGGTCACTGAATGCTCAAATAGAATGCCCCAGCGTGGACCAAGAAGTATCGGGGTAGAGCCTGTGAAGATAACAAGTAAAGTGTTACCTGGTCATCCGGATGGGACAGTAAAATGTGGTCCCGGTTGGCATGCATGTAAACGAACCCTTGACAGGTGGAATTACTTTCCTTTTTTGGGAGGAATGTCCAGAAAACTTCACCAAGATTCTTGCATCATGCTTTACGAACGAGAAAAAAAATCTGGAAAACCTCTGATTAGTGAGTCAGCAACATAGTCAAAGAGCCATCGTTGAATTCCTACTTTTCATGATCTAATATGCGCGTTTGTTGTTAGTGGTGTCTGTATATTGTGTCTTGTCAGTCTTTTACGTAGGTTTCTCTTGTGTAATTGTTTCTTTGTGGTCCAGTCCCCCAGCATTTGCTATTTCATGATAGGTTTTAAGAGGTATTGTCAATGTACAGTATTAAGCTTAGCATTGATTCCATCCAAATGACTGTCCGAAAAGCACGAATGGCAGTTTAGCAGGTCTTATGTAAGTACTGTATGATCCAAGCTAGGTACTGTAGAAATTAAGAATGCAAGACCAGTTCTAAAATTGTCCAGCTCCCTTTTCATATTCTTAAAAAAAAATAATTGTCTCTGTCATAGATTTCCTTTTCTGGTAATCATACACATATTTGATTAAAATTGTTTTTTTTTCTGACATGATTTGAGGCATTGTTCATTGTGTTTTGTAGGTGGATCAAGCTATGAAGCACCAGTAGTAGTAGCACCACCACCACCAAGGACAACCTGTAGTGGATGTTTTCGAAATAGTCGCCTGAGTGCCTGTAACCATTGTCAACAACAGCTATGTGAAGCGTGTTGTCGTCAGCATATGGAACAAATCAAAGTTGAAATTGAACGAATGATTTATAGAATCAAACGTGCCTTACCAAAAATATCTAGTGCCATTGATGATATCGGTTATAAAGGAAATCAATCACAACTAAAATGTCAAAATGCCAAAACCGAAATTACCGATATCTTTGAAAGGCATCTTCGAGAGTTTGAAGCGCGACAAAGATTTCTTATGGCAGAAGTAGATGCCTTTCTTTTCGCTGAACTAGAAAATCTAAGAATACAACAAGAGAACTTAGAAGTTGAACTTGCCAGTATGGCAAGTTTTTGTGACTCTTCAGAATCTGCTATTGGTCATGGCAGCCGTTTAACAGACACAGAATTAATGCAGCTTCATGAACAATGTCAGGAAAATTCAGACACCATGCAAAGTTTCGAAGGCAGTCAAATTCGACGGACTGGTTTGCGGCAGATTGACGTCAAAGCAGAAAACCAATTGTTGACTGATGCCATTGCAGCTTTTGGAGAAGTTGAAATTATAGGCCGACCTATATCTGCTCATATCAACAACAGAATGGATGGTCAACGCTCCTACGAGAGTCGGTTAGCCAGCAGATTAGTTGATTTAGCACGGCCAGAAAGAAGTCTTTACCAAAGTAGACCATCTTCAAGAAATGTAGATACTGATTATGCCTTATCTGTGATTGGGAATCAGAGTCCTTTGGCTGTGTCACCTGCCTCACAACGACGTCAGACATATCTCAGTTCCAGAGACCAGCATCTTTCCGCAGATGCAGCTGATCTGTACGAGAGCAGAAGTGGCAGAAATACAGGTGGTGCTGTGTCAAGAGTTCCAAGACGTCGTCCACGGCGGGAACACCATTCGGATACTAGAATAGCAGGAATAATGGGAGGGGATGATAGTGCGTATTCCAGATACAGACGCAGAAGTCTTGGTGGTGCCCTTTCTCCTCCACGGGAAGCAGAGGATTTTGATGATGAGGAATCACCTCTACCTCTAACCAGAGGCCAGACATTTTCTAGAGATCCTTTACAAATATCTCCTAGGAATCCACGACGACCTGTTCGTTATGATATCGCTTTCGATAATGGATCTTCAACAGAATCACTTGATGATGACAACTCAAGTAATTCACGTCTGCGCCCAAATCCTTACCCCAATACAAATAATCGCACACAAACCCAAACTCAAAGCCAAACTCAACCTCAAAATCAAACTAACAGTCGTAGCAATAGAGGTAATGTTGAACCGCGTAATAAGTACAATCAAAAAGGACGTGCAATAATTCGATTCGGTTCTCGGGGAAACGGTCAGCATGAATTCACATGGCCACGAGGCGTAGCTGTATCTCCAATTGACGATACTATATATGTGGCCGACAGTAGCAATCATAGAGTTCAAGTTTTTGACAATACTGGCCGATTTTTACGAAGTTTTGGATCCTATGGAACAAACGATGGTGAGTTTGATTGTCTGGCTGGAATAACTGTCAACACCTTAGGTCAGGTGATTGTCTCAGATCGCTATAATCATCGTATTCAAGTGTTTGATCATAATTATTCTTGCATCACATCATTTGGTGAGGAAGGAACGGCAGAAGGACAACTGAATTATCCATGGGGTATTGCGTGTGATAACATGGGCTTTATTTATGTCTGTGATAAAGAAAATAACCGTATTCAGGTCTTTCAATCAAACGGCAACTTTGTTCGTTGTTTCGGTGAAATGGGAAGTAGAGATGGCCAATTTGATAATCCCCAATATGTTGCTGTTAGCCCTGATAATAAAATCTACATAAGTGATAGTAGTAATCATCGAATACAAGTATTCAGCATGTATGGAGATTTCTTATTTAGTTTTGGTTCGTCTGGAACCCAGAATGGACAATTGAAATATCCCAGAGGAGTAGCGATTGATTTTCAAGGTTTTGTGGCTGTGTCAGACAGCGGAAATAATCGCGTACAAATATTTCGACCAGACGGAACATATTATTCCATGTTCGGTAGCTGGGGTAATGAAAACGGACAATTCAAAGCTTTGGAGGGATTAGCTATTCTAGCCAATGGAAATATAGTAGTGAGTGATCGAGAAAACCATCGAATTCAAATATTCTAAAAAGTGTCTGTGATAATTTCTCGAATAATCAACTGCTATAATGTAAATCTAATCTTCCAATCTTGTGAATTTTTAAAGAATTGATTAATTTATATAAGAGTATTGAATTTGAGACTTGGATATAGATTATATTCATTAACGTATGTATTATTTATATTAGTGAGTTTGGACAATTTGATCTCTGATATTTTATGAGTGCATGAAAGTCCAAAATTGTTGACAAAGATACATCTTTTAACATTTATATAGATAATCATGTAAAATGATTTCATCTAATGCATTTTGTTTGTGAAAAATGAAGTTAATTTGAAATGTCTGCTAAAATATGGAATATCATTATACAATAGTACTTAGCATTACTCAAAATTAAAAAGCTCCATGTTAAGTTGCCTTTCTGTTGATGCAAGGCAAAGAGAAAATCACTAACATATTTTTGTTCAAGTCTTCTTCAATAAGTGAAAGGCCCTGGTGTATTTCTCTGAAGCAGTGTGTGGGGTTGGGGGAATGGTTAGCGTGTGCGTCTTGTATCATAAGGTCTTTGATTGAGTCAACTAGCGTGGTTTCGATTCCCCAGTTGTATGTAACAAGGAGTAGGGTCGCCTGTCCAACCTTTTGTGTTTTCTCCGCATTCTCTCCGGTTTCCTTCCACTGCGAAAGACCCCTACGTGCAATCGAATTATTGAAATGAAATTGAACCACAAGTTAGTCCAGAAATGAGCTAGATTTTGTCGAGTGGACGTTAAACCCCATTTCTCTCTCTCTCTCTCTCTCTCTGTGAACCAGTCATGTTTTATAATGCACTTTACTGATATTTTATTGCAAATGGTTGAGTCAGCTGTAACAACCAAAAATTTAAGTATGTTTAGAAAAGTGGTTATTGTTGAATGAATATAACCATCCCATATATACAACAAATATAAATCCTTTGTATTATTTATAATCAACTAGTACTGTCCATTCCAAGTGTCTGATACAGGATTTTCATTTTAAAATTTTACCGGATCGACTATTTTTCACATTTTTTTGTTGACATGTATTAAGATTTACCAGGTTTTTTTTAGACTATCAATTTAAATGTCAATGTTAAGTGCTTTGCATATGTAACCTACAGATTTAATACAAGTATTTCTCTCAAATATCAGATGTTATTAATAACTACAGATTTAATATGAGTATTTTTTCAAATTATGTCTAAATTGACTGTGGGGAAAGTTTGCTAATGTTTACTCTCCTGCAATATTGAAATTTATTTAATTTGTATTGTAATTTTCTTCCACTATCATTGTGCTGTATTTGCTTGATCATAATAACTGCATGAGTTTTATTTATGCATATTTTAAGAAACAATCGAGACCATTTCTACAATTAAGTTATGATATAGACATGGTAGATGCTGTAAAGTATGAATTTATTGTCTGCAAAACAAATTAATTGTGAAAGTCCCATCTTTATTACCCCATTAGGGCAGGAAAGTAGGACGTTAAACCCTATTTCATTTCATTGTGAAAGTCAAACCGTGGCATTTTGATTTAAAGACCAACAGTTTTTATCAGAGTTATATGCCACTGCATTTAGAGATGTTCACAGATGTAATTCCATAACAAGGGGCCTTAATCCATGTAATTTTAACCACAGGCCTTTCATTTAAATTATGTAGAAACAATTAGTGTTAAGTGAAATAAAATCTGTGATAATTGAATAATTTGTTTAAGACAGTTACATGTAAGAGCTTGCTGTATTTTAAATTAATATTAATGTTTTTGAGATTCATAACATTTTGTTTTTACTTGCTTACTTGCTGAGTTTTATTATGAGTATGGTCTCTCTTTTGAAATAAATGTGTTGAGTAACAATTGCTTTGATTGCATCATACTCTGTGCAATTTATGAGACCTAATTGGTCATCATACACAGCTATTTTGGGTGAAAAATACAAATTTCAACCAATCATACTAGGTTTAACCAAACTAATCGGGAAACTGGTTAATTGAAACATGGTATGTCAAACTACCATGGTGGATGAAGTGCTCTAAAGATCTGTCAGGAGTTGAATGCTAAATGGTTATTAGCCTTGATGGCTTATATTAAATTTTTGGTTTATAGTAATTTTTTCTGTTATGATTATGTTGATGAAGCAAATGCTGATAAACATAACTAGTTAAAATAATTTGTTGTAGCTGTATACTCTTGTGGGGTAAAATATTATTTATTTAAAAAAAAGTCTTTCATGTTACAGAATTTGAATGGTTTACTTCTGCTGTTTAACATATATCTATTGTTTGTTATTGTTATGTAAATGTTCATTTTGTTTAAATCCGCATCAGCATTACGTTTTCTACTACCATAAAATGAAATTTTACGGTGAAAAACCTAATCAAAAGTTATTGTGTTTATTTTTATACTGATTACCGGTACAATTTATTTTCTTAGTCAGCATTATAAACAGTTTTATCACTGATGGAGAGATTTCAAAAACTACTTTTATCAAATGACCACATGGAAACACATGTAGATTTTAAAATTTTATTGGGCTGTAATCTGTTGTTTGTTATCCTCTCATCAGAATTTCTCAGCAATTCAACAGTACCACATTAATTCCTCTGCATTATTTAAACATAAACACAGGAACTCTTACAAATCCATATAACCAGTAATATTTGACAATGTAAGTTTTACTGTATTACATTAAAAGTTGGTTAACTTTAGCAGATACAGGGCCTAATAGAGTGCAATCTCTCAGAACCTACAGTTTCAACACTGATACGTGCAATATTCTTGAATAATGCCCATTGTGTATATTATCTTGTTAACGTCACTATCTTCTTTGCGTGGCTTTAGCAATTGACACACAAAAACATACTTCGAAGCCATTTTAAGAATTTGAGTTTTCAAAGGTATTTGGAAAATGTGGAGGTTTATGTGGTTGTGTGAGAGAGAGTTTAATATCCACTCGATGCAAACTAGGTCATTTCGGGACTGACATATGGTTCAGTTTTATTTCAGTAATTCACTTGTGTGTAGGGGTCTTTAGCAGTGGGGAGGACATAGAGAAAACCCACAAGGTTGGAAAGATGACCCTACTCCTTGTCATGTACAACCGGAGAATCAAGAGGTTTTTAAGAATAAGTTCGTAGTTGGCCATAATAAACCATGGTGTAACTCTGTGAAAAGACTGGACATTGCTGGTTTGTATAAACTAATAACAGAATTGCTACTTTCGTTATGATTTAAATCTCTTCAGTAGCAAAACGATTAATGCTATGATTTTACTGTTGACATTTATACAATATTGCTACTTTCAGTGTGATTGAAATCTCTCTAGTAGCAAGAAAGATTAATGCTATGAAGTTTTACTGTGGACATGAATACACATGGAGTCTGATACTAGTCTGATGTTATATAAATTATTTGTATATCTGTTGTTATAAATGTTGACATTTTTAAATGTGAGTGCCAAATATTTATTATGTAAATATGTTACAGTATATAATCATCATCATTAAAATATATTATACTAATCACTTGTCATTTTCATTACATTTGAAGCCTGGTATTTTAGATCGAATGAAGCAGGGTGTTACTTTTCTGAATGAGGAAGAACATGTTGTCTCATTTGAGCGAACAGATGCTGTCCTTGTCCGGCCCTCTGTCTTGCATTACTTACATGGGGGAACCATGCTGAGTACGTTGTTGGGCATGCAACTTTACTTTATTAATTACAAAAAAAAACGACCCTGTCCTTCAAATGTTTGCAACTAAAATTATCGGCCTACAATACAGTACTCAGTAGGCCCAATATCAGAGAATAAAAAACAACAAGAAACCAAAAGGATTAAATGAATAAAACCTGACCCAAGAATAAAATATTTCATGGTCCTGAGTTCTAGGGTTGTGGTGCGTTTTGAAAACAAATTTCAACTACTAATTATAAGAAGTTGCTTGTCATAAGTGAAGAATTGACTGAATGAATATGAATTACATTGGAAGAGAGAGAGAGAGAGAGAGAAATGGGGTTTAACTCGACAAAAACTAGGTCATTTCGGGACTAACATATGGCTTAATTTTATTTCAATAATTCGCTTGCGCGTAGGGGTCTTTAGCAGTGGGAGGAAACCGGAGGACCCGAAGAAAACCCATGAGGTTGGACAGACGACCCTACTCCTTGTCAGTTGATTCAATGACAGGCCTTGTGATACAGCGCGCACGTGCTAAGCATTCGGCCATCCAACCCCCCTTGCATTGGATGAACTCTTCATATTTCCCCACTGATCATGTTTAATGTAGGTCCTGTGGAGTGTGGACTATGAATGGAACTTGGAAGTGTAGAGACTTAAGATTTCGCTGTAAATTTCAAATGTAAGGCCATAGAAAAACTATAGCCTGGTTCTCATACAATACATCCCAAAAATCTGATGCGGGAGTGAGGAATTTTTCTGTCTTTATTCTCACAAACATCACATCTTGGTTCTACATTTATCTATGCTGTTTATAGGTATTGATTATTATACAGTGTCATTTATGATCGTCAATAACAACACATCAGGGTTGTGGACATGATAACTGATCCTACTAGTACACTTCCAGGTCATAAGGCTTTAAAAAAACAAATATTTTTTCTATATGGCCTAAAATGTCCCTCTCTAAAAACAAATTCAAAATATAAAAGTGGTTATTTAATAATTTATTTTTTCTTATTTTTGTTTTTTTTATTTTTTCCCCCTCTGAAACTGCTTTTACCTTTACCGTCATCCAAATCTAAAATAAAAATATAATTTTAAAAAAAAGAATTTATTAGTACCATAAATCATTTTCATCATAATGCTACATACTTGCCCTAGTCATAGGAACATAATGGGGCATACTTCCTCTAGTCACAGGTATAAGTACTAGGAACATAATGCAACGTTCTTTCTCTAGTCACACGTGTAAGCACTAGGGACATAATGAGACATACTTTCTCTAGTCACAGGAACATAATGAGACATACTTTCTCTAGTATTAGGAACATAATGGGACATTCTTCCTCTAGTCACATGTGTAAGTACTAGGAACATAATGGGACATACTTTCTCTAGTCACAGGTATAAGTACTAGGAACATAATGCAACGTTCTTTCTCTAGTCACACGTGTAAGCACTAGGAACATAATGAGACATACTTTCTCTAGTCACAGGAACATAATGGGACATACTTTCTCTAGTATTAGGAACAAAATGGGACATTCTTCCTCTAGTCACATGTGTAAGTACTAGGAACATAATGAGACATACTTTCTCTAGTCACAGGAACATAATGGGACATACTTTCTCTAGTATTAGGAACAAAATGGGACATTCTTCCTCAAGTCACAGGTGTAAGTACTAGGAACATAATGGGACATACTTTCTCTAGTCTTAGAAACATAATGGGAAATTCTTCCTCAAGTCACAGGTGTAAGTACCAGGAACATAATGGGACATGTTTTCTCTAGTATTAGGAACATAATGGGACATTCTTCCTCAAGTCACAGGTGTAAGCACTAGGAACATAATGGGACATACTTTCTCTAGTATTAGGAACATAATGGGACATTCTTCCTCAAGTCACAGGTGTAAGCACCAGGAACATAATGGGGCATACTTTCTCTAGTATTAGGAACATAATGGGACATTCTTCCTCAAGTCACAGGTGTAAGTACCAGGAACATAATGGGACATACTTTCTCTAGTATTAGGAACATAATGGGACATTCTTCCTCAAGTCACAGGTGTAAGTACCAGGAACATAATGGGACATACTTTCTCTAGTATTAGGAACATAATGGTACATTTTTACTCTAGTCACAGGTGTAAGTACCAGGAACAGAAGTGAGTTTAACACCTCATCAACATGATACTTTGGTCATTTTGAAACCAACATATTATGGTATGTTTCTTTCTATGGTCATGTGTGCAAAGTGAGGGGAGGATTTTTCTTGAGACACTAACATTGCTGTCTACTCTTAATCAAAAGGGATCTTTTACGTTCACACTGTGCACATAGGAAGCACCTTCGAGGGAAGGATTTTGCTTGAGATAACAACATTTCTGTCTACTCTTAATAAAATTCCAACTGTTGTGGGATCTTTTACATTAACACTAACACTAATGTGTATTTAGATGAGCCCCGTTTTTCTGTACCATCCAAAAAACTAAGCATACTTTCCATTGTTAAGTGAGAACGGGGCTTGAAACATCATGAAAGTGCTTCTCTCTCCCCACTGGAATCAAAGCCACCGACATTATGGTCGCGAAGCCAGTGGCATACTGCTATAATATTTCAGCAATTATACTTTCTACACTTCCATCTACAAACTCACCGACTTCAGACAAATAAAATAACAGAAAACAAACCTTCTGGGTCGAACGTTGCTGGAATTCGACCATTTTTTCTGTGGTGTGGTAAGATAATACTAGTATCAATTGGGTACCATATTCCATGGTTTTTAGTATCAATCTCAGATGGACCAAGATGACTAAAATGAAGATCATAAGTACCCCTGAAAAACAACAATCAATTCAATATAAATTAAAAGATTCAGAATTTAGACCACACCAATTTGAATTTTTGGTTTTTTTGTTGCATCTTAAGAAAAATCTTGGGAAAACAAATAATCAAAAACAAAAGTTACATGTTTGCTCTTATAAAAAGAAAATTGCCAATTATCTTCATTCAACAACAACAACCAAAGTAAATGTATCTTAAGTAAATGAACTGATAAGGTCTGCTATGGGTGATATTTTGCCAGTATGATAGCATTCCACCTCATCTACATAGAATTTCCAAATGTCAGTGGTTCTTTTACATGCAAGCCAACGTATACATGGCACCCTTTTTGTTTGTTCCGTCAGAACATCTAGACACTGTTTCTTCTAAGCCCTCTCTGTGGCACCACTGACAAGAAGGAACCACACTGGAAAATCCTGAGGACATTTCTCAACCAATATATGGAAAATCCTGAAGAACTTTCTTGGCCGACAAATGAATCTAAACCTGGACCTCCTCTTCATGGTTCCTTGTATCTCATATATAAGTTACATGTAGAATGATGAGTAATGAGAAGATTAATAGCCTACCGTTTATTGCCATCTGTTGGTTGTTTTACCTGACAATTAGGATTACCAGATTCATGATATAATAAATAACCACCTTCTTCCAGACTAAAATAACAAAATCATTAAATAAATTTTTTATTAGAAATACAATAACAATGGGTGTATTTACAGTATTGACAACAATAAAAGTTCACAATGAATCATATCATGCACCAGGTCTCAAGGTGCAGAGCAATGGAACTGGAAACTAGGGTTAGGATTAGCATTATGTTTAGTACATGAGTCATTTCTGAAATAAAATGGGGTTTAACATCCTACTTTTCTGCACCAACTGGGCTAATGAAGCCGGTTATGCACCATACAGTGTGCTATGAGAGAAATGGGGCTACATGTTACTCTTATTTCAAATTCCAACTGTCAATAGTTCTGGTTAGTTTTTCTCTTTTCAACTGTAGATATTCTCATAATTAGCAACAGAATCTATAAACACTATAATTAATTCTCAACTAAATTGGGTCAATGACTTCTCTAAGAAGCTTAACGAAGCTCAGACAATAGAGAAATGAAATGAAATGGAGTTTAACGTCCCACTGTTCTGCTCCGAACTGGGCTAATGAAGACGGGCATACACCATACAGTGTGTTATGAGGGAAATTTTGCCCGGACAGCGGCACTGTGTTCTACTCTTATATTGAATCACAACTGTTAAGGGATCTTTTACATGCAAGCCAATGTGTACACAGGACCTCGGTTTTCCGCCCCATCCGAATGACTCGATAGCTGTCCTTGTCAGGCCCTCCATCCTGCATCACTGACAAGGGGGAACCACAGTGGAAAATCTGGATGAACTTAGACAATACAGGGAATATACTTCATCTACTTACTTATAAAGGTTCATAAATATATTATGTAAACTACATAATGCTGCAACAGGACTGAAAATATACAAATAAAACAAATATTTCAAAATCAAATCTATTTCAGTAACCTCTTTAATATGCAAAATTAATCCAAGCCAATATTGATGTTAATATCCCTGGCATCAAATCACAGAATAAATAAATCATATTCATTTTACCTTTTATAAAGCATTGAGCAATCAAATTAATTATAAAAGTAATATGTCTCAAAGCATTGACAGATCAAATTGCTTATCTCTGCTTCATCATCGAAATCAGTCAAGTCATTCACATAATGATCTATCCAAGTTTGAACATTCTACTTCAACTAAACCCAGAATAACAGTATTCCAAAAGGTGTAACGGACAGACATACCCAGGCTAATAGTCCCCTGCTTTCTCTGAAAGGTGGGGGATAATACGTTGAAAGTAAAAAAACCAAAAAAACTAAAGTCAACGAACATATGTTAATTTAATAATATCAAATTGTATTCAATAGTTAATGTACATATAAAGGACCTGTCACATCTAAAGAATATATATATCTTTAAAGCTGCGGATCATCATTTAAGTTTTCAAACAATACTTAATTTTTCATGGTATGATCCAAGCAAAAACATACTCAAATTTAATTAAGAAAACAAAACAAAATATTAACAGTTGATAATCTACTGACTTGGATTTAATTGAATTGAAAAATAGACCTATGAAATGATTTCATCCAACACTTATAGGTGGCTCTGGCCTGTTTGTCTGAAGAGGATGCCAAATGTTGTGAATTTTTAATTCATCATATCTTTGTAAATACTGAATGGAACTGAATCATTTAAGGACCAATAATCCTTTAATAGTAAGTTCAACTTTCACAATATTGTAGTTTGTGCAGGATTCAAAATACCCCAAATGACAATCGTCAGTTTTAAATATACAGAAGTTTAAAGAGAATAAATAATGTCTCTTTAACACTTGCATAAATTTTTTTTCAAAGAGTTGTCCACTGACAAAAAATGACGATATAAAGTGAAATAAGATATATTTAACGGAAAAAATAGATCAATTATAAATATACTTACTTAAAATGATTGGCTTGTACCAATATCTGATTTAAATCTAAACTTTCTAACATATACAATTCTGATGAAGCTGCTCCAACTCTACCTTTAAATAAAATAAATACTGTAAAATATTAAAACTAGCAGACATACAATCATACTTACTGTGGCACAGAAAGAGAGAAAGAGTCTACTTGACACAAACTAGAAGTAGTTATATGACCTGTTATATGAAGTTTCGTAACACATACAGGTCATATAAGTACTTCTCTATTATTTAATAACAACGTATGAAACAGGTCACGTTTTCAAGTTCAAGTTAACTTGAAAACGTGACCTGTATGTGTTACGAAACGTTGTTATTAAATAATAGAGAAGTAGTTATATCCATTTATACCTTGTTTGTGTTTTGTTATGAATAGTTAACCGTGCTTCTAGATGTCATTTAAAGAATTCATTAACCCAGTCAGTGTAGAGAAATAGAAGGTTAACCCCATTTCATTTCAGTTGCATGTAATTTCATTACCTCTGATTAGTCGACTGTATGGCTTGACATAACAGGATATCCATGCATTACTAGCCTCTTCTAGAGACACTTGTTCTAAACCATATTTAACTTGATATTCAACCTTCGGTACAATATGTCCCTGATAATTCTGACAGGCATCCCGTACCATTCCGTGGGATGATGTTCTTATTATCATAGATAAGCCTGAAAACTTCCATAAACTGTATGCTATCTGACCATCAATAGGTTCTTTTAAATCTGAAAATGAACAAAAAAGGACTGGCATTGAAAATCATCAAATTTAAAAAAAACCAAACAAAAAAACCAAACCAACAAAAAAACACATTTCAAATGGGTAAAGGTTCAAACTCTAAGTGGAAATAATATGGATTTAGGGTCATCGATATGAGTTACCTCCCATTAATCACAAAACAATAATAATATAAGGCTACACAAACATAAAGAGCACATTGAATGACAAAACAAAATTTGATGTACTTACAGCCAGTGGTTAATATATAAACTTTTCGGCAAGTTCACACCAATTTGATTACAATTAATTGAGCCAAATTGGTGTGCAATTGGCTAACATGTTTATAATAAATACTGGTTTCAAGTGAATACAATGTGCTCTTTGAATAAAAATTAACAAATAAATTTCAATACCTGGATAAGGATTAGGTTTTGAGTCAGTTGTAGCAGATTTACCTAGAATACTATCTAGAGGATTAACTTTTGGTAATTTCTTATTTTGTTCTTTAGTTTTCTTTGTTGTTCCTGGAATAAGCATCACATAAGAACAAATTTGAGTGTAAGTGACATATTAAGGGAAGAATTAATGATGCATTACGTAAGATATAGATTCAGAGCTGGTCATTTGTTCTATAATTGTTCAAAAATAGATAATGAAAAGGGAATATGCTAAAAATTTCTGTCAAGTTACTTTATTCTGAGCATTTGCTACATATAATTAATGACTACCTTCGTTTCCAGACAAAATGAGCTCATCACTTTGAAATTTCTGCTTGTATACAATTATTAAAATGTTCACAGCTATAGATAATTAAATTAATGAGACTAGAACCTACTTTGTGTTTGTTGTTGATCTCCAGGTATATCAACAGTTGTTTTATCTTTCGATATCTGTGCGTTTTTATCTGTCTTCTCTGAATCAGCTGCCATAACATGAGATTTCCTTTCCTTGGACTTGGCAGTGGTTTTATCGAGTAATATGGGTTGTCTTTCCTTGTTTTGTTCTAGAACTTTTTCACCCATTCTTGATTTCTCTTCAACTTTATCTAATACAAACAGTGGGTTGTTTTTTCTAGTTTCTGATTTCAAGTTTACACTCATCCTGTCTGCTAATGTTGAATTCCCTTGGGAATCGTTGGTTTCAACTGAAATTGAGTTTTTCACTGGTTTTGTTTCTGTTGGTACATCATTTTGCATTTCATCATGCCTGTTGATTATTGTACCTGTCGTCATGGTTTCCATTTCCTGTCCGTCTGCTACATCTGGTTTGACATCAGTACTGATATTTTCTATTAAATTTAGTTCAACGTCTGCAGTAATAGATTCACTACAAAAACCCCAAAGAAATACCATGAATGTTAGTGTTTGGGTTAAAAAAAAGAACATTCAATATAGGGCATTTTGAAATAATGGACATAAAATAACAGAAATACAGGCGATAATTATGGACATATTTTAACCGTGTCTAAAACATTATTGACAAATATGGCAGTATTTTAAACATATCTTAAACATTACTGACAAATATAAATGGACAAGAAAGGGAACAGTATGGTATTTAATTTGGGTGATAATATATCATGGGGGGTGGGGGGCGAATGGTCATTGAGTCAAGTGGTGTGGTTTCGATTCCCCGCATGTACGTGACAAGGAGTAGAGGCGCCTGTCTAACCTCATGGGTTTTCTCTGGGTTTCCTTCCACTGCTAAAGACCCACACGCACAACAGAATTGTCGAAATAAATAAATGTTATCCCCAAAATGACCTAGTTTGTGTCGAGTGGACATTAAACCCCATTTTTCTTTCTCATTAACTACAAGTTTCTACATAGGCTGTTTTTTTTTTTGTTCCATCTAAACAACTAGTCACATTCTCCTTTTTAGTCCTGTAGATGCCAAATCTGACATGTGACAACTGTTGAAAAATCCTGCAATTCTTGTCAGCAACATGTATCTAATATTTACATCAAAATTAACAAGACTGACAACAGAAAGATAAAAAGACCACAACATACCAGTTTTCTACACGTTTCTTTCTTGGACGTCCACGTTTTCTTTTAGTAGGTAATTCTTCAGTTTTAATGTCACATTGTTCCATGCTTGGGACATTGACAATTTCCGGTTTTTCTTTTCTGTTTCTATTTTTAGCGATTGATTTCTGCTCATTGATAACTGGTGTTGTCTCCTCCTTAATTGACGTCTGTAATCTATAATATATTCAGGCCATATAAAAATAATATTCTGGTTCTTAGAAACCGTTTTATTTTTCATAAAAAACCTGACATTTTCATTAAAGATGCATTATTCAAGGGCTAAATCTGCCTATTTCAGGTTTTTATTTTGGCTTCAAATGTTATATAAATTATTTAGACATTTATTCACATGACAAGACCATAATCAACTCTTTAGACTGCTGGATGTCAGAGATTTAAACGGATTGAAATGCAATCGCCATTTAATGATTTAATTTAAAAATGGAGAAGCGAGGCTGAGTCTCGATCAATAAGTAAGGTTGCTACGGTAATAAACAATATTTGCCACATCTTGTGAAAACTTCAAATATTATCTTTTTGCATTTATTATGTATTTCAATTGCTAGATGCCATTCAAGAATAGATTAGATGTCTTTATTCCAATCAGAAATATTAAGCACATTTAAAACACACATGTAAAGTAGATTATAACAGATTTAAATTAACCAACAAACCTAGCTGATCTTCTCCTCTGTTTAACAACAGAATCTAACGACCCCTCGTCAGAGACAACACTATCACTCCCATCATTATCACCTGATTCTGTACTAATACTTCTATTACGTGATCTTAATATTCGTGGAGTCTCTTTCTCTACTGACGACCTGCGTACGCATCTTTTCCTCTTTGGCTTATTCTTCAACATGATGATTTGACCGTATTCCTGAGGATCAAGGGGGATAACTTTTACAGGAAATTCACTACCATCGTCTGGTGTAATGACGTCAGGGGAACATATTTCCTCCATTTTGCGTGGCTTTTTAGGGGGAGTGAAGACACTTTCAGAATCCGACTGACTCGTAGTTCCCACAGAAGACCTTTCATCCGCACTTGCGTCTGAATTGATTAATCGCCCACTGCGCAATCTAACAACATTACCGTTTAAAGGCGTACTTGTCTCACCACCTGAAGACAGCCGTCGCAACCTCCATTTTTGTTTGAAAATTGCACTATTATTTCTGTTCGGTACATTTCTATCTTTTTTAGTCAAGTTGATCACTCGGATTGGGGACGGATTACAAATAAAATTTTCATCCATGCTTTCATTGGGTGAGAATATTTCCTCCACTTTACGTTTTTTAAGAATTTTTTGATTGGATTCATCAATATCGATAACCAAATTAGCATCTGTGTCGGATGAATCTGTATCGTCCATATTTGGGACTATTTTCCTTGGTTTGTCACATGCTGGTGCATCAATTATTAAATTATCCATTTCCGAATCACATCCAGATGTCATAGGTGCATCGGACACAGTATCAATATGTGACTTTATTTTAGACTCAACACCGATCTTAATTTCTCTACCATCTACAGTGTGTGGCTCAATATCAGACAATTCAGAAAGACTTGATTCGTCAACTGGTAATTTCTTGTCTAAGTTTTTTCCAGCGTCATCCTCCGTAACGCCTGGTGTCTGGCTTTCTGATGTTTCTTTCCAATGTTCAGATTTCAATCCTATCTCCGGTATCTTATCTTGTGATTTTTCTACATTCTCTATCAGTTCTGTATTTTTAATGTTTGTTATATCTGAATTACCTCCCTTACTTACTGTGTCTGCTTTATCAATGGGACTTCTTTCACCCATCACACTTCTTGTGTCTGTTTCACTTTCAGATCCGAACAAATCTTTATTCAGTTCTTCAACATCTAGTGTGTTTGATTTATTGCTCGTACTTCCAGACGTTGAAGGAGGTGGTTCAGGGGGAGTCTTTGTACCTTTCGTCTGCTCGCATTTAGTTTTAGATCGGGTTGAAACTCTCAGTTTTAAATTTTCAGGTTTTACAGAATCTCCAAATGTCTCAATGTCATCAATATTCGTATCACTGAAAAAATCATTATCCCCTTTTGAAGTTTTTCGAGGACCAACAGGCTTTGGAGGTGTACATTTCTTCTTTTGCGAGAAATCTGTTAACTCTTTGGAGCTCTTATTTACAGGAGATACATCGCCTCCAAAAGTTTCGACATCGTCCATACACGTATCACCAAAAAGGTCATCATCGTCAACCTTAGACGTTTTAGAATTGTCACCTACTTTTGATTTCACACATGTTGTTGGCATGGTGTGTTTTAGGGGTTCTTTCGGCAAATTGATATTTTTTCGATTAACTTTGGCAAGGAATGCTCTAAGCGCATATTTATGATGCAATGTATTTTTATCACGCATAGTCAAGTTTTTTTGTGGTAAAGGTTTATCGAAATACACCACTTTTTGTTTAACAATCTTTCCTTGATCTGAAATGAAAAAATAAAACCTAATCAAATACATCAACATGTCCTCAAGGGCCCAAGCCTGATAAATAAGGCACCTGTCAGACAATGTCAGGCACAGATTCAGGGTTTGTCAGGCACTAAACCTCTGGTGCCTGTCATTTTGTCTGGCACTGATTTGTCTTTTTTATTGATATTATTAATACATGTCCGGCCCTAAGCTGAAAATGTCAGGTATTATTTCATTAGTGACTGACATTTTGTCAGGTACATCTAAAATCGTTGTTTCCAGGCCTGCTCAAGGCAAGGCTTTCTCATATAACATTCATCCCAGTGTTGGCCAAAACACTTACCACTAGTTAGTGGTGCATGACAGTGTCTAGTCATTTGGACGGGATGAAAAACCAAAGTCCTATGTACAAATTGGCAAGAACCCCAGACCCTTGGAATTCAAAATAAGCATAGGCAGCAGCGTCCTGCACCACTGACTGGGGGAAACTACTTTGCAAAATCCAAATTAACTTTCTCGGCCAACACTGGTAGCCAACCTACGACCTCCACAGCTAGAGAGTCGTAGACTTATACCCCCGTCTGACCGGGTTGGCGTACTTACTGTGCAGTTACAGTGACAGAAAATGGCCTCGAACACGTCAATATCGCCATAAGCGTGGTGGAAACGCCAGATATCGTGGTGTGGTCTCCATGGTCGCCAACTCATGGCGTTTGTTTTGAGCATGTTCAAAACAAATGCCAAGGTTCTGTGATCTGACCTGGAAAGCTGTAAGAACGCTGCTTTTTTTCAAGTTTGTAATTTTTTGGGACATTTTCTCGCGTTGTGTTCACAATTGCCAAGGATCTTGTGCATTTTCTGATCACCGTACAGTCCAACAGCACAGTAAGGATGCCACCCCAGTCTGATGGGGGCATTAACCACTGTGGCTTCCCTTAACCCCCAGAGAAGCATTTGTTTTAAGCCGGCATTAGTGGAATAGAACTGTGTTAGCCCAGATCAGTTCTACCAATCTATATCTTGAGATGAATCCTGCCAATCTTGTGAATTTTCAAATCTTTTCAAAGATGAATCCTGCCAATCTTGTGCTTGTCTAAAGAAAAGAAAACGTTTCTTACATTCCACGTCATGTACTTTAACAGTGAAGGGTATTTCCCAGGTACGACTAAAGTCTGGGGCGTGGTTATTAACTAGACATCGTAACACACTGGTACACACAACAATATGACTGAATGTTTTACACGCTAAAACCTCACAATTACTGTCTTTACTGCAAACCTAGAAAATAAAAAACAAAAAATCAACCTGGGTAAACTCTTTAACTTCTGTTCAGTTTTAATGTCCGCTCCATTGCCACGTCAAGATGTGTTTCAGAAATTCCTGCTCTAAGCCGTTAGTGACTTCAAATAGACTGTCAATCAAATTTCCGAGCATTTGTGGCTCAGTGGGTATGGCGCTTGCATGAAGCAAAAACTCAAGACCTAGTGAATATCATTGGCAGCGCCAATCTGATTAAAACGCAGATCCTATTTTGTTTTGATTTTTATAGTTTGAAATTTCGTTTTGTCTGTACTACACTAGGATCTGGAAGAGTTGTTATATAACCTGTGAGGGATTGGCCAATGAAACCATCTGTTACAGCGACTTCTTGGAATGCAATGCACGGAACTATGGGTAAACCACTAGAAACGTCAACGCTGATCGATTAATCAATGTCTGATGTGACCTTATACTACAACCGGTCAGATCTCCATGTAGTGTAGGCCATCGAAAAAACCAAAAAAAAACGAAATATAGATCTGTATTTTAATCAGATTGTTGTAGCATGTTACAGACAGTTGGGAATGGAAACAAGAGCAGGAACTAGTGCCACTGCCTGGGCAAAATTTCTCTCATAACACATCACAAAGTGTACACCCATCTTAATTAGTTAGGGTTGAAAAATGTAACCCTTTAAACCATATTTCATTTCCATGTCTAATTTCTAAAATCCTTTACCTACCTCGTGATTGAATTTTCCTTCAACTTTTTGAATATGTACTGGTGGATATTGTGCTGCTATTTTATCATACTCCATTGGAATCATTTTTTTCTCATTCACTATTAAAGTAGGTAGAGTTATTTTTGGAGCTGAACCCTGCAAAATTACAGGTATTGAAATATTCATTAATGTATTGTGGGTCAATATAGTGCTGTACCATAATCGATCAAATAAGCTTCCCTGTGCTCACAATTTCAGGAGGGAGCATCGGTGGCTAAGAGAGTAAGACGCTGACTCGCTAGCCTCGAGGTCGTGGTTTCGCTTCCAGTTGTGGCTGTGAAAGTTCATCTTTATTTTGTGGTTTCCCCTGTCAGTGATTCAGGAAGGAGGGGTTGATTGGGGAAGCTGTCTAGTCATTTAGATGTGATGAAAAACAAAGGTCCCTTGTACACATTGGCGTGCATATGAAAGATCCTTTTGCAGTTGGAATTTGATATAAGAGTAGGCCATAATGCCAATGTCTGGGAAAAGTTTCCCTTGTTGCACACTGTCAATCTTCATTAGCCTAGTCGCAGCATGTTAAACCACTTTTCATTTACAATGTCACACACATTTGATAATACGAGTAATACAGTCGAACTTTATTAAACATACATTATGCAAGAGCTAAATCTGTCTATTGCAGGTCTTTCTTTAGGCCTGAAATGTTATCTAAATTATTAATTAGACATTAATTAACAAAACAAGACCATAATCAACTCTCGATGGCATCGGATACTCGAGATTTTAACTAGATTAAAACGGTTCGCCATTTAAAAATGTAATTTAAAAATGGGAAAGTGAGGCTAAATCGCGAATATACCAGTGCGCTAGTTACCACTATGCACACATCTTGTCAAAACAATAAACAGTGATAATTTGGCTCAGAATAAAGTAATTTGGCTGAAATTTTCAATATTTTCTTTTTTATCATCTATTTTTGAATTATTATAGCAAGAATGACCAACTCTTTATTAAACTCTTAACTAATGTATCTTTAATACAAATGAAGGGAAACATTTCTCAATTAAGAGAACTGGGCATCCAAGTCTAACCTACGATATGATTTTACTTTATTTTACATACCAGTTCTGCTAATGTCTTTACAAACTGAAGTGTTGGTGGTGGTGTATCAATATTAACTTGTATTGCTAAAGGTAACGTCTTATTGATGTTGATATAGTGTCTAGGTAATTCTTCTACTATTTTCAGTTTTTCGTGTTGTCTTTCCTGTATATGAAACAACAGTAATTATTATCAGATGCTGTCTGTTCCCCAACAAAACATGGAACAAACAGTACATCTCACAGATAATCAAAAATCTCCATGTTAATCAAGCTGTTTTCCACCATCATGTTCATTCTTTTAATAAACAATGCAAGAGGGGGTAGAAATGCGGTTTAATCCCACTCAACACAAACTAGCTAATTTCAGGACTAACCTATGGTTTAATTTTATATTTCAATAATTCGCTTGCAGTACAGAGGGCCTGGGAAAGAATAGCATCTAGTTATTTGGATAGGACTAAAAAACATGTAGCATACACAGTGTGCACGTAAAAGAATCCTTGGCAGCTGGAGGTTGATGAAGAATTGGTGGAAACTTCACTGTCAGCGGGAAATTCTACTCATAGCACAGTGCAAGGCACCTTCTGACTTTCATTCACCCAGATGGTGCATAGAGAGAGAGAGACATGGGGTTTATCATCCACTTGACACAAACTAGGTCATTTCGGGACTAACATATTGCTTAAATTTATTTCAATAAGGGGTCTTTAGCAGTGGGAGGAAACCGGAGGACGAAGAGAAAACCTACAAGATTGGACAGGCACCCCTACTCCTTGTCACATACAACCATGGAATCGAAACCACGCCAGCTGACTCAATGACATACTTTATGATACAGCGCACACACACTAACGATTCAGCCATCCACACCCCTCAGATGGTGCAGAAAAGGAAGAGGTTAAATCCCAGCAATTGGTAAGAAACAGTATGGAATGAGAATAATAAAATATTTCACCTGAAAATATCTTCGACCGGCTGGTGATAAAAACGTGTAGACACCCTGGTTGTTGGAGACTTCTCTCAAATTGTTTAAAAACTGAGACTGTTCTGTTGTTACTCTGATCTGTAGGGCCTATAATAGAGGTGACTCAGTGAGTAAGATGTTGGCTTACTAACCTGGAGGTTCCGTGTTCAGGACAGAGGGACAATGTGTAGTTGTTCGGATGGCACGGAAAACCGTGGTCCCGTGTACACATTGGTGTCCACGTATAGGATCCCTTGACATTTGAGTCAGGTGGCTGAGTGAGTAAGACAGGTCCGCTAACCTGTTCGATCCATGCGTTTGCTGAGAAAGTTCATCGGGATTTTCTGGCATGGTTCCACCTTGTCATTGGTGCAGAATAGAGGGCCTGGCAAGGGACAATATATAGTTGTTCAGATGGGATGAACCAGCGGCTGCCAGGCAGGATACGCCCACATTTTCGAGAGATGGATAGAAAACAAGCTAAAACGAAAGTGATTTTTCCTACAATCAAGGGCCATAATTCAGGAAATTACAATTCGATATGCGCAAATATCGAAATGAACCAAGATCTTTGGGTTATAAATTTACATTTCAAGTTTTAACAAAATCGGATAAAAATTGTGACCTTTATAGGGTCCACAACCTTGATATACCATATTTTTACGCAATTTGAGAACGAGGGGCGGCCATTTTGTCTGTCAGTTTTGGGCCGATTTTCACGAAATTCGAACTCAGCCGTCCTTAGGGTGTAACAGTGATATATGAACACGTTTTTTTAAATCGGATAAAAATTATGACCTCTATAGGGTCCACAAGCGAAAAAACGCGTTTTTGCATACAATCAGGGGCCATAATTCAGGAAGTTACGGTCCGGTAAGCGCGAATATCGAAAGTTTCAACAAAATCGGATAAAAATTGTGACCTCTACAGTGTTCACAAGCCAAAAACGTGATTTTCAACAATCAGGGGCCATAATCCATGAAGTTACGGTCCGATAGATGCCAATATCGAAAGGAACCAAGATCTTAGGGTGATAAACCTATATTTCAAGTTTCATTGAAATCGGATAAAAATGTCCTTGAAAAAATGATTGCCAAATAAAATTTGGGGTGAAATTGTTGGTATTGGACAATGAATTTCAGTAGCTCATGATATGAGAGTCACATTTAACTGAAGAATCAACCATTTCTAAATGTCATTAGATGTATCGTAATTTGTGTCAGAGATTAAGATGAAAATAAAATGTGAACTATTTGAATCTGTTACAGGACATCATCTCTCCCACAGAGAGTGTAAAGTGGTATCAGGTGTTCCAGAAAGATTAAGTCTGACCTCATGCCAGTCTAGGGCTTTATTTCTCTTGTAAGATACAAACCTGCCAATATAAAAATATTACCTCAAAATCAGCCAATTCTTTTTTTTCAACATTTGACAGATTTTGACCAACTTGATATGTTTTGTGCCGTAACTTGAGAAAGAGATCGATGTATTTCCGTTGTTCAAATTTAGATAATGAGGATTTCTGTTGTAAACCAGCTCTGTAAAAAAAAAAGAAATCCTGTGGTCAAGTGGACACCATTTCTACAAGATCAATATCAACTCTCTAGATCATCGGATGGCTTGGATATGGAGTGTATTAGGCAATGCGCACCATATCTGTGTTAAAAGCTTATACGATCAGATACACTGAAGTTTTCTGAAAATGCATGAAATCACTACAGATACTGCCGATAAAAGGCCTAACAATACACATCTTCAGTAGAAGGTTTGATCCGCTTTAACTACGTACATCTTATCAAAGCCTTCACGTGATTTGAGCGTGTTTGTGTCACAACCTCTGATTAGACGCTACTGTTCACATGTATGCAGTAAATGGAAATAACGTAGCTATAAGTTTGGGAATTGTAAAGCAATCTAGCAACGTCTAGATGTTATAAAACTCACAGTCGTTGTTTCAGGAACATGGACAATACACAGCTTTCTATTCTTATATATTAAAAGTCTTATTTGGATTAAAAGTAATATATCTATTTGCATCCGCTGTCTGAAATATGATGAAAGTAATCAAAGATAGTTTGACACAGAATACAGTAATTTGACCAAAATTTTCAATATACTCATTATCTATTTTTGAACATTTATTATTTTATAGCAAGAATGACTAACTCATTCTCTAAATCTCGAATAATGCCTCTTTCGGGGAACAATGAGAAAAAATACAGAAACAGTCTTAAATTGCTTACTTTCTATGTGTAAGCATATCTTTATTTGGCAAATAATATTCTTCATCTTTCTCTTCTTGAAATTTATTCTGTGTGTTTTCTTCTTCATTATTTGATGCTTCCAATAATGCTGCCGACTTTAATTTGAGGGCATTTATACTCGACAACAATTTGCTCTCAAATGTCTCCTCCTTTACCATACGTCTATAACTTTCTTCGGTAAAAAATGTATTGAATCCATTGATTGGCTCTTTCCTGAAAATAAAATGACACTGTTTAAATACAACCGAGAATAAACATTCATTCAAACCATACACAATAAAAAGTGAAATGAAATGGAGTTTAACATGTTATATTTATAGCACGGCTTTCATGAGTTAACAGGTTTAAACATCGAGGCCGTAGGCCGAGATGTTAAACCTATTAACAAATGAAGCGTGCTATAAATGTCTTGTAACATTGACACCTACTCAACATGCTTGTTGTTATTGCAGAGAAAACCGACCCCACTTCTCTATATGATTTCTACTAAAACTAGTGTAAACCAGCAAAAGAATGCAATAACATTGAACATGTCTAGTTATTGCACAGTTAAGCTCCACCCAATCGACTAGAGGGAAAACAATCTGCTTATTCAATGAAAAGAACAAAGGAAGATTTGCCGTCCATGTTACAATTTACTTTTCTGCACTGACTGGGCTAATGAAGACAGGCATACATCATACAGTGTGCTATAAGGAAAATGTTTCCTGGACAGCAGAGCTACTGCCTATTCTTATATCGAATTCCAACTGTCAAGGGTTCTTTTATGAGCATGCACATACAGGATGTTGCTTTTTTCGTCCTCCCTCCATCCTGCAACAAATCCTCAATTGATTGTAGGCGTACACAGTAGAGACTATGGGAGGTCCCTATCTAGGTTATCTAGGTCTACTGTCTGAAAAATCATAAATAATAAACAGATCCACCACAAATAAAACATAGCACTATATAGGGTAAAATTTCAGGCGATCTTATACTGGAAAATTGGAATGAATGAATGAATGATATGGGGTTTAATTCATACCTTTCTGCACCAACCCAGCTAATGAAGACTGGCAAATGCCATACAATGTGTGCTTTCAGGGAAATTTTGTCTGAACAGTAAATGAATTCCAATTTTAACTGTCAAGGGTTATTTAACATGTACATGGGACCACGTTTTTTTCACCAATCCTAATGACTAGATACTGTTCCTTGCCAGACTCACAAGGGGAAATCGTGCAGGGGGCAGGTGACTCAAAACTTCATATAAAATCACCCTGGACCCTGTTACTAGTGTTAGTATAACTATAAATTAATAAATTGATCTATATGGATGATCTACTTTCTTCATATTTTATTGTTACCTTTTACTCTTTATCAACTCCTGTATTTCTTTTTATAGGGGGCAAAATGTAAGACAGGCCTCCTGTTTCAACCCTTTGAATTAAAGTTATTATTATTAAATATTATTATCATTAGGGCCCATTATTACACCTGGCAAAATTAGTTATACATGTATTTATGACAGCTCGCTAACTAGTCTGGTGAGTTGCCTATTAGTATTTCATTTATCTACTTTTATTTATTTTGTAATAAGAGCGATTGACAACATGTTAGATACTTAGATTAATAAAAAGAAAACATTTTAAAATGTCAACCATTTGATCTTCTCTTCCATTTCTTTTAGTTCATTCAACTTTCATTGACTTCTGGCACCCCATCAAGCATGGCTGATTGGACTTAATAATTCGTTTCTTTTCGTGGTTATAATTTCGTAATTTGCATGTTACCATACTCTCCAACCCGCCAGTCCGTGGTTGCTTTCATTATCCAGTATTTATTGCACCCTATTTATTTCTTTCGAAAATCAGTCGTGATGATCGAAGTTACACTGCGCTTTAGAAGTCACTAAACCCAATTGCATCGAGAGTAGAGAGCTGGAAGCCATTTGTAAAACGTTGGAAAAGTTCTGGAAGAGGATTTTCTTTGCATTGTTCTTCAAGAAAGCAACCAACTGTCAACGACAAACAAATCAAAATGAGTGAAGTATGTAGTAGAAATCCACGCATACTAACAAAATATTAGGTTGAGTGTAGAGAATAATATTGTGGTGACGGGATTTTTTTCGCGCTCTTTAGTTTTGTTTGTTTCAGTTTATTGTCGGCCATTGTTTGTTATTGATTAGCCTAGACGCTGTAGATTATTTACTCTAAATACACTAACTACCCTACCCTGTCTTCACTTAGCCTAGATCTTATTCATAAAAGCAATCTTTCAATAGGAAAAAAAATGTAAGCTTTATTTGTAAGCTTGAATATTTATAATTCGGCGATATTTGATCCTTACATCATACTATCATACTCCGGTAACTCCCTTTTCTATTTCTATTTCCATCACTTTTACATTTTAGGATTAGATTAGGGTTAGGATCAGGTATTTAAGATTAAAACCTATAATTTCAGGGTTAGGGGTTTAAGATTAAAACCACTGAGTAAGACAAAATCTTCAACAACAATAATTCTTACTGCAAGCAGCACTGAGTCAGTGAGTGTGACTGAACAACAGCTTGACGAGCAACAACATGATCATGATGATGGCCATGTTGGTGTCCTTTCAGATTGTACTGTCCATTCATTGGCAAATAATGAATAAAGCCTTTTTTTTTTAAAATAGATTGTTTTCCATTCCTTTAAATCAAGATGGGAATCGTAGTTATGTAGAAAAAGAATTGGCTTTACGTGTTTATTTGCTAAAATGTATTCGGGTTTAAGCTGAGAAAGGTTATGGCTCAGTCAGATGTCTGCTTGCTAACCAGGAGGTCACAGGTTCACTCCCGCTGTTTGCCGAGCAAGTTCCTCAGGATTTTCTAGTGTGGTTTCCCCTTATCAGTGGATGGGGCAATATATTGCGATACTTGACAAAAAGTATTGCAATATTTCGATAAAAAGGGTTTATCACAAAGCACAGTTTTATTTTGAATAGTTTATTGTTTTTACAACTTTGATCTGGACGCTTATTGTTTACTGCAAAGCCTATGCAATAAAAAAATAATTCAACAAAGCATTTTGGTCAAAATGGCCAAACAAAATTCCAAATGGTTTATGTAGTACTGTTATTCATTACCAATCAGTGATATTTATTTACATTAATTTAACATTGCAATGTCTACAAATATAGTGAAATGAAAAGGACACACTTAACGTAGAATTTCTCTCCCTCTGACATATAATCCACAAATATGTAAAAATAGTTATTTATTCCATCCAATGATATTCATTTATATCGATGTCAATTATCTACAAATATCAGCCAGCATGAAAGAAGTCTTTAAGTAATAGCTGAGATCATAAAAAAAAATAATTCAAAATGAAACTTACAATAAAATCTACTTGCAAGTCAAAGAAAAATATCTAGATCAAGGTTCAGCTCATATTCAGATGCAGTAATATTTAGATTGTTATGGTGGGGCACCCTACTAGCGACCAGAGTGGATTGGTTGAATGGAGGTATTGCATCATCTACTTTACTGATACCGGTACATGTAATAATAAAAATACATCATTAATTACCAACATATTTGACCATGCATTCTTCTTTGATGTTCTACCATTTTATTTCAGAACGGTTCTCCTGCAAGATCTGATGCTAAAAAGTCGGACAGTGATGGATCCCCGAGGTCAAAGTCACCAAGTGTATCCCGATCAAGGTCTCGTTCACCTCGTCGAAGTAGTTATAGACACAGATACTCAAACTCAAGGTACATTAATAACCTATAAATTTATTCATAGTATTAGAAATAAACGTAAATTGATTACAGCTTCATCAAAATATCCGTTCTTAATAATAAAATTGTTTATTCTCAGATTATGTTTGAAGAAATGTTTATGCCTTAAAACATTAAATATTATTTTATATTTAGATCTAGATCTAGAAGTAGAAGATACTCGAGATCACGATCAAGGACACCACCCCCAAAACATAGGTCAAGAAGAAGACAGTAAGTTTCCGTTTTAAATCATCAATTGACTTTAATTTGTATGAATTAAATTTGGTTGTCAGAAAATAAATAGTATCTAATATGGCACCATTCCAAACTTGAAGTTATATCTAACTATTTCTGGTAGATTGAGTTGCTAAAGGAATAAATGTTTTCTGTACAGCTACAGTACTCCACATTTTCCATGACTGTCGACATTCTGCTAGCATGTGATCATCGTCAGAAGACAGATGTTCTTCCGTTAATAGTTGTAATTTGGCGTAAACATAATTTTTGGCAAAACCAACCGAAACATCTATTTTGTGCTTATGTATGTAAAATGTTTATCTTGGTGACAATCTTCCTCTGATGTGTATTGAGTGATGATCTTCCAATTATGCACTGTATACAATATGATTCATACGGTCTGTCATTGAGTCAACTGGCGGGGTTTCGATTTCCCGATTGTACTTGACAAGGAGTAGAGTCGCCTGTCCAACATTGTGGGTTTTCTCCGGCTTCCTCCCACTGCTAAAGACCCCTACACGCAGGCGAATTATTGAAATAAAATGGAACCATGTGTTAGTCCCAATATGACCTAGTTTGTGTCGAGTCGATGTTAAACCCCATTTCTCTCTCTCTATACAATATGATGAAATAACTGTACATTTTGTTTCAATTTGAGCTATATCTTGAACTAGAACATCTATTTCAATATAGATAACTTTAATTTATATGAATGTTTCTATATGAAATCTTGATATAATTTGATATATTTAATTGGTTTTTTTTTGTTGTTTTTTTTAAGTAGTCGAAGCAGAAGGTAAGACAATGTATCCAATAAAATAATTTGTGGCCAATTTATCACTGGAATGAAATATTAGATGTATAATTAATTACTGAAAGTTGTTTTTACTAAAGTACGTAATAAATTTTTAAAAAGATACATGAATAATTATCATATTTAAAGTAGATAGTTCTCTGTGTAGAGAATGTGTAATTTTTGTACATTGTGGTATTCTAACATTATAGCCGATCTAGATCACCAAAACGATACAGAAGAAATGACAGGTATGAAAGGAGATCAAAAGGCCGAAGTCACTCACCGATGTCTAACAGACGTAGACACGAAGGAAATAGAGTAAGTAGAATAGTATGGAAATATTGTATTTTATGAACAACATGTGCCACAGTTAAGTTAAAGTAGAAAGTTTTGTTTTAGGTTTCACATAAAACACAGGTGTTGAAATAAATACATACAACATCGTCTTACTACCGCAGTTTCCATTATCAGACAGATTTCAGTGAGCATATGTCACTGGTGTTGGCAGAGAGAACTCCATAGCAATATCCAGTCAGATTTCCCCCTAGTCAGATGTGGGATGACATGCCCACTTTGAAAAAATGTCTAGCTTTTGGATTGGACAAAAACAAGTTGGTAATCCAGGCAAAATTTCCCCCTACACTGCTTGACATATGCTTCTCTTCATTAGCCACGTTTGTGAAGAAAGCAAGACTTTACCCTATTTCATTCCAGTATTGGGTGTGGTTGTGACAAAGGACTCTCAAGACTTACAGTAATAATTGTTGTATTAATAGAATCCCTTCTAAAACCATGATGTTTCGACAAGTATCCTCTTAGCATTACCAAGCTCCACGCCATATTGTTTAATCATTGGTTATGTATAGGATATTAACCTACCCGAGGTTGATATGATAGAGAACACGTGGGCGAAGCCCAAGTTTTCTCTATCATATCAATCCGAGGCAGAGAAGGTTTATATTCGACATATACAACGTCATAGTTTTAATCACCCTTAAATTAAATGGACTCTTCCATTAAAAGTCAACAATGATTCGATAATTGCTGGATAGTTTCCCCAAATAACGAAGTTTACCGAATTAATCATGTGAATGCATTGTTTATTCTGTCGCAATTTTGGAGAGGATATAAGTGCAATTGAATTGAAAGCAAAAACAAAATGGATAGTAATACGTTATCAGACGAATAATCAATTCTTTTTAGCCAAAAGATTGACGGTGGAATAGAAGTAAATGCAAATTCCGAAGAGGATCTGCTGCTAGTCAAAGACTGGAGAAAATTTGGATCAAAAGGCAGTCTCTTCCGATAATTCTGAATTTCTGACAGTGAACCGTGAAGGTTTTTGGTATGTTCTGAGAAGGATTTGACAGACTGTGTTAAGTGGACTGTACCCAAAAATACTTTACAAAGGAACTCTTGGGCTATAAATACTTTCAAGTTTTAGAGTGTGTGGAGAAATAATCGAAATGTGGACGAAAAGAAAGATATCTTTGACTTGGATAACTGATCTGCTGATAAGTACGCTGTCTATTTCGTTGCTGAATGCTACAAACGGTCAATAAAAAAATTTACTTGTCAAAAGATTAAAAATTTATTTCTGTGTTCTTTGTATTTCCATCATCAACATCATCAGCGGTTGATATGAACCGAATATATCAACGACATGACAGGTTGATATGAGATATAACTGCTATGCACATCAAAGAAAAAACTACAGCCAGTTGTATATATAGATAATAAATAGCCTTCTATTTGGTCTAATATATATTTAAATATTTCAACTGAACATGTCATAAACTATAATGTATGTAATATATTTTAGGATGATCCTGAGCCAACAGCTACATTAGGAGTATTTGGTTTGAGTTTATATACCCAGGAACGTGAATTAAGAGAAGTATTTAGTAGATATGGTACAGTGGAACAAGTTCAAATAGTTTATGACAGACAGGTATATATATATCATAATATAATTATTTGGAAATGATTGATTTTATTTATTTCAGAATTCCATGTGCCCGAGATGTCCTTGGGTCGAAATGAATGTTATTTACCCTAAAATGTTGAATATTTGTCAGAATGAAGTTTAATTATAGAGTTTCAGAATATAGTCTTTTGGGAATTATTAAAAGCGATCAATTCTAACGTTTTAAATTTACATTAGTTTCTATTGATGTGTCTCTGCTATCTTTATGTGTCTCAGACAAATATGGTAATAAGCTCTCTTTTTCATACATGTCAGCCAATTGGGTGGCCGAAAGGTTAGCACGTGCACGCTCTATCATAAGGTCTGTCATTGGGTCAACTGGCGTGGTTTTGATTCCCTGGTTGTAGGTGACGAGGAGTAGGGTCGTCTGTCCAACCTCGTGGTTTTCTCCAGGTCCCCCGGTTTCCTCCCACTGCTAAAGACCCCTATGCGCAAGCAAAATGTTGAAATAAAATTCAACCATATGTTAATCCCGATATGACCTAGTTTGTGTCCGGTCTAACAAAAAGATATACCAGGAATTCTTAAAGACCACTTTAATTGCTGACATTTTGTTAGTATTTATTAATATTTTTTATATATTTTTTTCTTTTAGAGTGGAAGATCTCGAGGCTTCTCTTTCATATATTTTAAGAAAGTTGATGATGCTATTGAGGTGAGTTTAAAGGGCGTAAAGCTTATCGAATAATGATAGACAGAGGTTAACTCCTGTGGGTGTGGTCAGTGGACCTCAGGGAAAATCTTTGCTGTTATGAAAATTCCATAATCAAAACAATAAATTGTAAGTTGAATCATTGGTTTCATGTTTTGAAATAAAATACATCACATACTAGTCTTGAACTGACTTGGGTTTGTTTTTTTTAACGGACTTTAAATCCTGTTACGTTCTCTATTTTATGTTTTTTGTTGTTATAACAGGCTAAAGAAAGATGTAATGGTGTTGAGATTGATGGACGAAGAATTAGAGTTGATTATTCTATAACACACAGAGCTCATACTCCTACCCCGGGTATTTACCTCGGAAAACCCACAGAACCGTAAGTTTCTACAAATGTTCATTTATTTTTTTTAAAAGTGGGCTTCAAAATATCTATGTATTTTTTGGGGGCTTCAAGATTTAATTTTGTTTGGAATGGAAATTAATTAAATAGAAGTAGATAGATGGTAGGTCTATAAAAAACCACAAGATCTTTATCAATAGAAAACTTGTCCGCAATAAAACTTAATTATATTTTGTTTAACTTTCTATTTTCAGACGATATCGCTCACCGTCACCACATAACAAAAGTCACCGAGGGCGATCACCCTCACCATACAGACGACGTTCTAGATCTCGATCCCGATCTTATTCACCACGTAAGTAATTTATCTTCTGTCCAATAGAACATCATACATTAGGCTTACCTCTTGTTTTATTCTCACGTTCCAAGGATCTTTAATATAACAAAATCTATTGCACAGTCAATGTTATTCAATTCTAGTTTTTATACATCAACATGCTAAGCAGGTAACCCACTTAGTATGGCACTTATGTCTTATTCATGAAAATTTGAACTGAAATATTTTGAAGATCAGCCTTTTCATTGGTTGATGATTAAAATCTGGTTGAAAATTTTAGTTCTAAGCCAATGAAAAGCCTACATTCTTAAAATATTTTAGTTTAAGTTTTCGTGAATAAGGCCACTGTGACTATTTAAACAGGAGGTCACTGGTTCAGTCCTAGTGTTGGCTAAGAAAGTTACAAGGATTTTCCAGCCATCGTTTCCCTCTTGTCAGTGGTGCAGAACAGAATATCTGGCAAAGAAAACGCTCTGACAAGAATAAAAACGAAGATCTCATGTATACGATTGGTAGCATGTAAACTGTCCGGGCAAATTTCCTTTGTGGCACACAGCTTGGCGTAGTCTGTCTTCATAAGCCCAGTTGGTGCTTTAAAGTTAAACCTCGTTTTATTTCCGCAAAAATAGATAAGCACAGTAGATTAAATCTATTTTAATTACTTCATACCATAGCTGTCTTGAATTATATAAATTGTATGCATCTATAATCAATTAATTTAAGCTTTTATGATGAAGTTGTGACATTGCTACATTTTTTGCCAATTTCTTAAAGCTTAAAGTAACGATGCACCATTTGCATTTTTCACCAAAATATCAAATTTCTCACTGCTTAATCCAGGCTAATATGTGCTCAGATTGATTATTTGAAATCAATATACTGACACAAGATAATGTCCTTGGCCCTTATTCACGAAAACTTAAACTAAGATACAATCGAAATTTTAAGAAATACTGCAATTCGATTGGCTGACCAGTAAAATCAATTTGCATATATCCAATGAAGTTGCAGTATTTCTTAAAATTTCGGTTGTAACTTAGTTCAAGTTTTCGTGAATAAGGGCCCAGGCTTGGATTCAATCGGATTTAAAACGGGCTTACCAATAAATTTTCAAGGACATCAAAATGGCAACAGGCTTATTATATAGGGAAAGCCACCCAGATCAATGAAATTTCAGTTCCACATATCTTCGTAAATACTGATTGGAATTGAACTGATATTCCAATTAAAGATTCATATTTTATCATATTGAAAATTTTCGAGGACATCAAAATGGTGACGAGCTTATTACGTAGGGAAGGTGCCACCGTACATTGATGAAATTTTTATTCCACATATCTTTGTAGACAGAATTGAACCGATATTCATATTACCGATTCATTTTACACAATATTATAGTTAGCAAGTGATTCCTATAGTGCTAAAATGGTGCATCGGGACTTAACTATTTCTATTTTTTTTTCAACACCTTCATGCTTTGAAAGTTCCTAAAATGGGTACAATAATGATTGGTAGTTAGATTTGATTCTTGAATTTTAATCATATAAAATCAGGGTTTTTTTACAATGTATTATTTTTGTTACTTTTTTTTCTGTTACCAGGTCGATATTGAGGAGTGCTGTAATTCCAGTTTAAAAATTTTAGTCATTTTACAAAATCGCTTTCTATTACATTTATTATAAGATTCTGTTCATTTTAAATTTATTGATAATAAATGTCAGGTTTGTGTAAAATTCTCAAATAGGATTTAGACAAATCTTAAAATCTAGATTTTAAAATTCACAAAATCTACGGCTTTCTTATTGAGTGTTTTCACACAAAAGTCTTATTGGAATACCTAAAACAGATTAAAGTCTTATTGAAATACCTAAAAGGGATTATGTCTATTGTTATTAAATTTGATGCTGGATTATACCCAATTTCTGTTTCTACTAAATGTGATTTGGGGAATAGGAAAGCTGTAGAATAGTTAAGATTTGAATTTCATGATTTCAAGAATTTTCCTAGTTCAGTTTGCATGTATATTGTCACTACATTTAAAAGTAAATTGTATTCAAATTCTCCAGTCTCCATTTAACTGTTTCAAATATTAAGTATCATATATTATTGTCACCAAATGTTTCATGTTGTTAGAACACAAGTACACGTAATTTAAAAACTGATATTATGTACTAATGTTTTAATGATTTCATACAATCGTCAAAGATAAATATTGTTCATCGATTGAAATATCATAGATAAAATACTAGCTTGAAGTTTGGAACGCTTTAATTTTGTATTGTTAAGTTTACCTCTTTAGTTTCCGTCAACAACATTTGTTGCAGTGTGTATTTAATTTGACAACACTGGCATTTACGTAAAGTAGCTAAATCTCTATTATTATTATTATCATCCATAATCTTCAACATTAAAACATGAATTAGAATTTAACATCGGTCCATTTCAATCAATATTGATGCTGTTATCTTGCCATAAAAATGTGGGTTCCTGATATCCAATATTTCAGACACAATGAAAGTTAAGATCAGTCTGTGACATTGTTTAGTGTATACTATATGCTCTTGAAAAATGTTAAATGTCAAGCCGTACTCGCGATGTAGATTGGACTAACCAGATGCCAATAACTGCCATTCCATGTGGACGGCTCGCATCATAAGCTTATACTTTGATATTAAATTAATATCTGCTTTTGGACCCAATTTCGTCCGTTTTAAGGTTCCAAGGAATGGAGATTTAGCCTCTTTATGACTAGTAATTAAAACAGTACTACAAGCAGACTGTAATTAAAATAGAAAATCTGTCATATATAAAGAAACTTTAAGAGAGAAATTGACAATTCAAAAATGTTAAAGTAGATGTTGATAATATTTGCCTGTGTAAAATTAAGATTATATTTTAAATTGATTGTAAACACATCGTCGTAATTCCATCCTACCATTGTTTTTTTGTGTTTGTAGTTTTAACATCTCCGAATAAAACAAATCAAGTATATCCGTTCTTAAGTTAATCCTGTTTTTCTTGAATTACTTATTAAAGGTATTGAAGAAAGAAAAATGAAGTTATTTGGAAACGAAACTCGAAGAGAAATTATGACATATTGAAGATATGACATAGAATTGAAGAAATGCGTAGAATATTCAATTGGTTTTGAAGAATGAAAATTTTGGGTGGGACGAATGAAAATTGAAGTCGGAAAAATGATATTGAAGTTCGAAATATGAAATTGAAGTCAGAAAAATGAAAATTGCAAGTCCGAAAAATGAAAATTGAAGTGAGAAAAATGAAAATAGAAGAGAAAGAAGAAAGAGTTGGGTGAAGATTACACAATGGTTGACATGAGCAATGGTATAGACTAGACATTGGAAATGTCAACTTTGTGGTGGATGGGTTCTCCTTCATTTAATTTACTCCAGTTGTATCTTCCTACCTAGGTCAAAATTTCTTGTTTTCTTTTCCATGCACAAGAATTAATTCTGGAAATTAACAATCGACTGTTTGGCATTAATTCTGGAAATTAACAATCGACTGTTTGGCATTAATTCTGGAAATTAACAATCGACTGTTCGGCATTAATTCTGGAAATTAACAATTGACTGTTTGGCATTAATTCTAGAATTTAAAAATCAACTGTTTGGCATTTTCATGAAAGATTTCACACAAAAAAGTATGAGAATTTTCAAAATATTTCATCTGTTGCTACTTCCGTTGCTATCTTCGTAATAAGGGCTAATGATATATTCTACTTCAATCTAAATTTGACATCAAAAATTTAAACCAGATAAGATTCTGCTTCAGCCAAAATATTCCGTCACCGACTCATCCCCCAAAAATCCTCATAATTCTACTTCAACCTCCCATGTGTAATTTTCAGCGGGTGTGGGATGTCAGGTGGTTGTGTGGCCGGGGCTATGTGGGATTATATCATTTCAGGTGATGTTAATTAATGGAACTGGTAATTGGACGATGTGTGAAGTAGGATTTATATTGTTAAATAAGCAATTAGATCAGATTTTTTTTTTTACAGGTAATTTTTATGCTTTAATTAGGTTTACAGAAGTGATGGTTTTATCAACCCACCACTTGATCTGAATCTACAAAAATATATATCAAATGATCCTGGGGAAATAAGTTATAGATTCTAGATTCAATTAACATAACCAAATTAAATTGAGAAGGTCAACCAGTGTATCTGGCATTGGTAATTCTGAGTTTCTACTATAGGCACAGTTTGCTTGTCAACATGGCTGCATGTTGTGCGCGTTGTATCGTAAGGTCTGTCATTGAGTCAACTGGCGTGTTTTTCGATTCCCCGGTTGTATGTGAAAAGGAGTAGGGTCGCCTGTCCAATCTCATGGGTTTTCTCTGGGCCCTCCGGTTTCCTTAAGCTGCTACAGAACCCTATGCGCAAGCGAATTTGTGTCTAGTGGACATCAAACCCCATTTCTCTCTCATGCGGTATTTTGGTAATTTGGCTGCTAGTTTTTATCAACGATTTTCAAATCAGATTTAGTACAAAATTGTGGGATAGGTTATTGAGATGTGGCTCAATAAGCTGAAAACAAGTGACTGTCAAATATATCAGATTACAAAACATTCTGTAGAGACCTAAAGAAAAACTCCCCATCAGCTACTAATTTTCACTGTTTATAACAATTCTTCTCAACTCCATCAGTTATCAGGTCCAGCAGAACTCGGTGGCAACAATGCAATGCCACTGAATTACTGGGAGCCATTGTGGCTCAGTGATTAAAGATACTGGCTTACTAACAAGGAGTCGTGGGTTCAATCCTAGTGTTAGCCAAGTGGCTTCACCTGGTCAGTGGTGTTCAAATAGATGCTAAACCAGGTCCTGTGAATGTAGACGTGTAAATATCATTGTGCGGGCAAAATTTTCCCTCATAGCACATTGCATGGTGAATGCCTTTCTTCATTAGCCCAGTTGATGCAGACAAGTAGGAGAGAGAGAAATTGGGTTTAAAGTCTACTCAACACAAACTAGGTCATTTTGGGACTAACATGGTTCAATATTTTACTTAAAGAAGTTGCTTGCTCGTGGGGGTCTTTAGCAGTAGGAAGGAAACTAGAGGACCCTGCAGAAAACCTGCAAGGTTGGACAGGCTGCCCTACTGCTTGTCGCGTACAGGAGGGAAATCGAAACCATGCCACTTGACTCAATGAAATACCTTGTGATCAAACGTGCGCCATTAACCATTCGGCCACCCACAAAAAAAGTAGGAAATTTAACACAATTTCATTTAGCGAATGATATTGTGAGTAACTTATTTCTTGTATTTAATTTTATAGGACAAGAACATGGTAGGACAATGGTAGAAGTTTATTAGACACAACTTTTATTGGTAGATTAACAGATTTTATTTTATTCGAATGTGTATATTATGTAATAAAGAAATGGATCAAATTTTATTTTTGTGTTGATGGATCGATGAAAAATGTGAAACTGTGTTGACGTTACCCACCACCAGCTTTTTGAAGGGTAACCTTGCAAGGATGATTGTGGATTTCAATAGGGTGCATACTGCATACCAAGTTTCAGTGACACCATTAAACTATCCTACGATTCAGTTTGCAACTCAGAATCCTTTTAAGTTACAGTAGGGAGCCGTGGTGGCTTAGTGAGGGAAGATGCTGGCTCGCTAACCAGGTCTTAAGTTTGCTCCTGTTGTTGACCGAGAAAGTTCCTCAGCATTTTCCAGCGCGTTTTCCCATTGTTAGTGGTGCTGGACAGAAGGCCTTGCAAGGACAGTGTCTAGATCTTAGGATGGTACGAGATGCCTAGGTCCCTGAAACACATTGGAGTGCACGAAAATGTGTAAGACTTTCGTCCTTAAGACAATATTGGGTCTTTGAAAAATTGTTACTTCACTCTTTCTATAAAGTCAAATCCCACGTGCTAATAAAAGCGTGGGGTATAAAATGTGTCTTGTAAAGCTAATGGGGTCAGTACACCTACTACAGTTCTGCTGAAAAGGATAGGTTGACACCTGAATGTACCATTGTATTAATTCAAGAGGGTATGAATTGCAGCATTTGATATCAGACCCCCAAGTTCACAAAGCATTCTCAGACTTAAGAATTTACTCAACTTTCAATCACTGTTTTTGAGAAATATCTTTGAGATCCAGAAAAACAAAAATTTGCAGTTTCTTATTTGATACATTAAAACAAAAGTTTCATAAAGGGATATTAAAGGCAAACAATCTTGAGTAAATTCTTAAGTCTTGAGAAAGCTTTGTGAACCAGAATAGCATTAATAGGAATGGTGATCACCTTGCTGTGGATTTGATCAGAATGGCCCATGTTTGGGTTGGTCAAAGATTTGTCGCACTTAAAAAGGGAAATCTGAATGGTGGATCCTTGAAGGTTTGTAAACTCTCCAAAGGGGTCTGCGTGTGGACAAACGATGGGAAGCATAAAAAACAAATTCCTTGTATATACTTTTATATGTTTAATTTATGGTTGAACCATCATTTAAATAGTGCTAATAAAAGCTATATTATTTTATATCACAATATGTGTTGAGGCAAGACATCTGAACTACTTGAATTCTACATAATCAGTTTACATGTTGCTTATAGACATCAAATCAGCGTGTACATAAACCTTCATTAATAACTGAAATAAATGTATCTATGGTACATCCACTGCCCCATCTCTATTGAGAGGGGAAGGAGGGCAACCCATCATATACATTACAAGTGAATATAGTACACTTTTGATGGTCCAAATTTAAAAAAAAAAAAAAACTCTTGAAAAATGGAAACCGAACACTATCTCTTCCAGTTAATGAATGTCTATTTATTGTCTTTTTCACTCGATGTGCACCCCCCTTTTTTCTTTATCAATTTTTGGAAGTTGTGCAATAATGCCATAGTACAACAAATATTTGTTAACTCAATGTGGTATCAAGTGTTCTAGAAATCATATGCATAGCCAGATCAGTGCACCGACCACTATTATACTTGCAACTTACTATTTTCATGTGTGGCAGTATTCATATCAGTCTTTACGAAGGGTCGATTATGGTGGATTTGTAAACCACTACTCGACAAACTATGATTTGACAGCTTAGCCACCAAAGTCAATAGCTAAGCAAAGCAATTAAGGAATTTATCGATGAATTAAAACCCAAATACCTTAAACCTGTGAATCAAATATAAAAACTTGAATTTATTTTCATGTGTGGCAGTATTCATATCAGTCTTTACGAAGGGTCGATTATGGTGGATTTGTAAACCACTACTCGACAAACTATGATTTGACAGATTAGCCACCAAAGTCAATAGCTAAGCAAAGCAATTATGGAATTTATCGATGAATTAAAACCCAAATACCTTAAACCTGTGAATCAAATATAAAAACTTGAATTTATAAGTCTTATCCAACACCTAAGCTTTTCATACTGCGACTCATTTTAAAAAAAAAAAATACAATTTGATATAAGGAATGTGATTAATATTAATAATAACAAATGTGAAAAAGGTAAAAAAGAATACAAAGTTTTATCAAACTAATTATGCTTCAAGCTAATACTATGTATAGTGCATACAATTAAAAAAATATGGGGCCAAATTCACAAAAACTTCAACTAAAATATTTTAAGTATGGAGCCATTTCATTGGTTGAGAGTTTAAATTCTAGAACAGATTTTAGTTCTTGGCCAAAGAAAAGACCGAATTCTTAGTATATTTTAGTGTAAGTTATAGTGAATAGGGTCCCAGGTCTAATTAGATTAAGACATAAATCAAGGTATATAGCTATTAATGAGATCCATGAATCTTGGGCAGGATAAAAGGATGAAGGTTTGCTCTATGTATCAGATCTATAAATATAGTATATATCTACACAGCAAAAATGAAATCTATCTGGAAGCCCAACTGAAGAAAGATGGAGAAGATACAGTGGCAGTCTAATCATGGACCTTATTATAAGGTCCATGGTCTAATCCAATCAAGAGTGGAATTTAAAAAATTGTGAAATTATGACTGTTAGCTTTGTTTTTTTTCAATTTAAGGAAATGCCATGAGACTTGGCAGGTCTGTGTTTCAGAATAATACTAGGTGATAATTTTCATATTCTACTTCTAGCCTTTTTTTGATATCAAGTATGCTCTGTCAGAAAAAAAGGTTGTTGCCTGGCTACACCTTAATGCTGCAAAACACTTGAATACATCCAATCTATCTATCTGATTAAAACACAGATCTATATTTATTCTTCGTTTTTTTTTATACTTTCGATGGCCTCCACTACATGAAGATCTGACCGGTTGTAGTGGGAGGTTGGGTCAAGGGTTATATGAGCGGCTTTTGACCCTATGACATCAGGCATTGATTAATCAATCGGCGCTGACATTTCTAGTGGTTTACCACGGAACTTCAAGAACTCGCCGTAACAGACCGTTTCATTGGCAAATTCCACACATATACCACATATAACAACTCTTCCAGATCCTTGTGTTGTGAAAACAAGTAAAACGAAATTTTGAACTAGGAAAAAACGAAAACGAAATAGGATCTGTGTTTTAATCAGATTGCCCATATATGGGCGATTATAACATTTTGGTTTTGTAAAATTATGGAATGACTATAAATTATAAATTGAATTGCATATTAAACATCTCTTTGTGATGCCAACTAATTTCTTATAACTGAGTACAAAAGACAGTTTTTCCATAATAATAATAATATTGCATAATTCAGATTCGAATGACTGGGTTATGCAGCCTTTGATCGTAACCCATCTGCAATGCATACAAACATGCATTTACAAACATGAATGCTCTTGACTTGAAATGTTTTGTTCCAAGTTAGAAATTTTTTAAATTCAGGAACAAAGCTTGGAATGATGCAGTTAAAAATTTAACAAATAAATGCTATTTAATAAACAAGAATAACAGCCTTCAACAATAACAAGCAGCAAAACACATTTTAGAACAGAAACATGTAAAAGAATAAAATATAAATACTCTAGAAACAGATGTATTTTTCAAGATAAAAAGATAAAAACCATCTTAAAATTTAAGAAAAGAGAAAGACAATGATTAACAATGGTGGACAATAATATTTAAGAGAAATTTATAAAACTTGAATTATAAGAGAAATTTATAAAATTGAAATATATAGAGAAATTTATAAAATTGAAATATAAGAAAAAATGATAAAAATTGAAAAATAAAAATATACAATATGGCATACTAAAATACACAACTTTATTGAACTCTCCTGTGCTACTCTTAGTTCAGTCACCGTCTTCATTAGCTTTCATTAGCCAAGTCGAGCAGAACAGCAGGCTTTCATTAGCCAAGTCGAGCAGAACAGCAGGACGTTGAATCCCATTTTATTTCATTTCTTAGTTCAGTTATATCTATCAATTATGGCCCAAAATAAGAAAAACTATATAATTATATGGCAGAATAAAATGTATAACTATCTCTCAGTTCTATTTGTCAAATAGTTTATAAATATACTGACCGGTTAATTTATATACTCATGTATATGACTGGGTTACATTAATTTCAATACACATGTTTATCAACCCGCTTTTCTGGTCACTGGTAGTGGTACATTCTTGTAAAAATAGGTTGCCAGGCAACGAAACATACGCCCACAGCAACTATATCGTCCGGGCAGTCAACAAGGGTTGTCGCATATTTTTACTTTTTTCGGTAATTAAACATTTATAATACACTAAAATCTGATTAAGAGCAACAACTCACGAAGTAATTATCAGAAAACTATTAGAATTTGTTTGGTTTTTATAAAGTTCTGCCCCCATGCTAACGTTTTGTATGCAAAGCTTTTAATATCATGGATTTAACTGTTCAAGTCATAAAAATTCATTGAAAATCAATATACTTGTTCGTCTCAAGATCTTAAACTCTGTGTATCAATCTGAAGTCAATCGGATGATAACTTTAGCCTTTAGAGCGTCACAAGATTTTGCAAAGTGATCAAGGGCCATAACTTTGGCAGTAATTATTGGAAATCGTTGAAAATCAATAGGAATCCTCGTCAGTCAGATATTAACTTTAGCCTCTAGAGCGTCCACAAGCAATTGTGGACGCCGGACCGACGGACGGACGGACGAGGGCTACGACAATATACGACCACATTTCAATGTGGGCGTATAAAAACTTACAAGTACTAAACAGATCAATCTGATATTAGTCAAAACACATCTTCTAACAGTGAATTAGAAACAATTTATATAAAAATTATATACCGGTAATGATTTACAGTAACTGAATAAAACTCTAAATTAATGAATCTATATACTGTATATATATGTAAATAACTAACCCTAAGCATTTAACAACATGTACTATGAATAAAATTATAACTATTGATTTTAGAATCATAAAATTATATTTTGGAACACACTTAAAATATTAGGGAATATACTTAAGATACATTAGGGAATAGACTTCAAATATATCAGCCTAGATTTAAATATTTGGAAATAGATTTAAAATCTATTTTTAGGGAACAGATTTAAAATGAATTTGATGTTTGTACATCATTAATGTCACTGAATTTAGGTAAGAAATAACCTGTATATATTATGGAATAAAAGCATCAATGATATAAATCCTATGTTCTTTAATACAGAGACTGTATGTGTCATTTAAAACTATCTTAATAATAATACATTGTATTTAAAACTATCTTAATAATAATACATTGTATTTAAAACTATCTTAATAATAATACATTGTATTTAAATATTTGTAATATCACAACGCTACACTAATGCACAAACTATAACTCAAAATGGAACAACTAAAAATGCACAACTTATACTTCAAACTTCAATGCACAACCTATATAGTATATGTCAAACTGCAATGCACAACCTATATGTCAAACTACAATGCACAACCTACATTTAGAATTCAAACCGCAAAGCACAACCTGCATGCAGGGACGGATTAAGCCTGCATGGAGCCATTGCTGAAAATGTCACTGGAGCCCTTGCAACAACAATGAAAAGGAGGCATATATACCATATTTATTTATCATCTCCAACATTGTTGTTTTAGAACTAATCTAGGAGCTCCTGGCTGGAGCCCAGTCAGCCCCCACCCATTTCATTAGGCCCTACCTACCTACAATGTATAATCCAAACTGCAATGCTCAACCTATAACTACAACTGCAGTGACTAAGAGAACTGAAGTTCAAACTAAATATCTACTTAACTATGTCAATATATTAAATACAGTGTGTGGGGTGGAGGGTATATATATATCTCTTGGCTATATACCATATATAGTTTGGTTGAAACTAGAAACAATTTACTAACAAGTATAATGTAGTCTATTATAAACTGAAAACAACATATGTAACATATTTAATTTATGAAAACAATAAATAGAATAAAACTAAAGCACATATTCAATTTGTCAGCACCCATAATTTTGTGTTATAGATTTGTTTCTAAGCCAACTTCACGATATTACGGTATACATATTTCAAAGTAATGCTCACGTTACAATACATGTATCTTGGTAGTAAACATATATTTAGATATACTTTAGTTTGTACCGCAGGGCATTGTTACGTAAAAAGTACGTAACTAAGACTTACACAGTATATGTACACATCTTTATGCATGCTACCAGAAACTTGTAATGATGAAGTACAGGGGTCATAAGAAAACTTAAAGCGGAATTACATGTCGGTAAGATTTGACAGTACTGACAGTACTTGCTAAAATATTTCAAAAATAGATAATGCAAAATTAATACATTGAAATTTCATTTCAATTACTTTATTCTGAGTGATGATATTAGCCTTTGAATGGTTGACAAGATATGCGTACTGGTTGTTCGAGACTTAGCTTCACTTCACTTTTTGAGATTAAATCATTAAATGGCCACGGCCAAACCGTTCTATTCAACTTATAATCTAAACCATCTGATAATGGTCTTGTCATGTTAATAAATGTCTAATTACATGTAATAGTTTATATAACATTTCAGGCCTAAAAAAAGACCTGCAATAGGCAGATTTACCACTTGCATAATGCCTGTTTAAGCCAATCTGATTAAAATACACATCGATACATTGGCCAATCCCTCACATCATCCAGAATGTGGTTTATATAACAACTCTTCCAGATCCTAGTGTAGTAAAGTAAAAACAAAATTTTGAACTATAAAATGTGAAACGAAATAGGATCTGTGTTTTAATCAGATTGTGTTTAAGGATTAAGCTAAATTATTTTAATAAAAAATGTGTCCTTTTTGCTGGCCAAGAGTTAAGAATAATGACTATTTATTGGCAGAGCACTAAAATCATAGCACAAATTTTAGCGGTTAGCCAAAGAAAAAGCGAAATTCTTGAAATATTTTAGTTTAAGTTTTGTTGAATAAGGCCCGAGTGGAGTAAGGACCACAGATAAGAATTAGTAGTTAGATTCTTGAGGAAGAGCCATTAAGAACAAACCAATTTTACAAAATCCTGGAACCAGCGACTCACCATTTTCAAATTCATTCTTCTGAATATCATAATAATTTAAATTAACCTGTATTTGCTGATTATCTTTTGGAACGATTCCGAGAATATAAAGTTTACTTTCGTGGGGGACGACTGTCTTCAATATCATTCCAAATATATCGGGAGTGTTACATAACTCAGTCCACTGGTTGGTTTCAATGTCATAAACTTCGTTTGTAAGACAATTTACAAATGGACCCCCATCTCCTCCTTGACCCCCCTCTTTTCCTCCAATACAATACAACTTGTTGCCTACTGTTGTTAAACTATGTCCTAATCGCGGATACAACATCTCCCGAACTGGTTCCCAACCAACGTCACCAATTTTTAACTTGAACACGGACATGATGGGAACAGGGTCACTGGGATCGGCACTGATACCTCCGCTAATGTAGAGATAATTGTCATGGTAGGCTAAAGCTTGAGCAAACGAACCGTAGACTAGATCAGGTAATGGAACCCAAGCATTGGTGGATGGATCGTATGTTTCCACTGATTTGAGAATCTCCTCGTTTTCCGACTCATCCTTAAACTGATGATCAACCCCGCCACAGATAAACAGATGAGTGTTGGAACTGCACATGGCGGCAGAACTACGGGGACGTGCCATAGCAGCCAATTCCGTCCATGCTCTCGTTCTGGGATCAAATCTAAACATATTATTAGTGCTGTTGTAGTCATCCCCGTAGCCACCTACAGCATACATGAAATTACCAATCTGAGCTGTGCTTGCATATTCAAAGTCAATTCCTAAACCAACATCTCCTAACTGTTCATAACATAGTTCTTTCTGATCAAATGGTAAATATTTGTGTACTAATTCGTTATGTTCTTCTAAGAAAGCCATTCCAGTTATTACCAATTTGGAACCTCTGGCCTGAAATCTCTCTCCATTGTGAAGGCTCTGTGCAGCTATGTTATTCAAATAATGTTTAGCTTCTTCAACAGCATCCTGAATTTCTGGGAATTCCAGGAAGTCCTTAGGCATTCTTTCAATTCCTTCTGGATCAATTAGTGGAAATCGAATCAATCTTAGCAATGTCTTCAGATAGGGTTTTCTTTTTTCTAAGTCGGCTTTCACCCACTTGTGACAGATATACAGCAAAAAATCTTCCGTTGCTTCCACATAAATGTCCTCTTTTAGAAATTGTGTAAGAAGTTCGAGAGATAAATTTTGGAAGAACTCTGGAGTACCTGCAAGTTCTATAATATTGTTTCCAAGAAATCCAAATATATCAGTACGAAGATCACCTAGAAAATATTTATCTGAAAGATGGATGACTTCTTTGTAGTTATCAATACTGAGGTGATGCACCAAAAACTTACAGCAGACATCAACCAACCACTGAACCTGGAAAAATCGGGCAGCTTCCAGAATATCTTCTATGTTTTTTGGATCGATTGTAACAAACCCATGATAAAAATAATCAAATATGACTGAAATTCCAGCCGGACTAATACCATGTAGTTCGATCACATCTTGCTCTTTTTCTTTCATATTATGGCTAAACATGGCGGAGAAATAATCACTGGCCGCTGATAGTACATCGCGGTGAGCTTTAAAGTTGAGATTCCCACACTTCAATTTCACATCACATTTATAGTCATACATAATGGCCGAGACCTTCTTGAAGTTAGCATTGATATATTTTATTTTATTACGGGACACGATAACACTGTCCTGTGCAATGCTTGAATCACCTTTCGCTCCTGCACTTGAAGCCATCTTGTCTGAAATATACAGATAATTTAAAGATACATTATGGAAGATTAGATAAAGAGCTGACAGTTCTCACTATAATAGTTAAATAATAGATAATGTAACGGGAATACTCCAAAAATTTCAGTCAAATTATTTCAGTCTAAGCCGAGAAATACTCATTTTAAAACTTTGTAGCCTTGATTGCCATTGTTGCCGCTGTGACAAAATACAAAGATGGCATCGAGAGTTGATTATGGTCTTGTCATGTTAACAAATGTCTAATTAATAGTTTATATAACATTTTAGGCCTAAAGAAAGAACTGCAATATACAGATTTACCTCTTGCATAAGGTATTTTAGAGGTTTTTAAAAAAACATATACAATAAAACATACCATACACCCACATACGGCTTTGTCTAACAGACCATGTTACAATTTTAATGTTCAAACATGTGTAGCAATTTCATTAGTATTATTGAAAAAAATATTTCCTAAAAATCCAATCAGGAAATTTAACATTCAAAATTTCGTACACAAATGACATAACCTTGGATGGTATTAGGGGATAAAGTTCTTCCTTTTGTCAATCTGAAAATATTATTTAAATTTTATAAAGGATCCAATGAGAGGGTGAGAGAAATGGGGTTTAAAGTAGCTAAATCTCTAACTCAATATCATCCAAGGTCTTTGACATTATTGAAAACACAAATTATTTGTCAATTTAAATCAACATTGATGTTGTGATCTTACTGGGAAAAGATGGGCTTCTGATATCCAATATTTAAGACAAAATAAACATTTCACAATCGGTACACAAATCGTGTACCATAATGCGTTTCAGCGTCATTTGTAACAACAAGGGACTCGGAGAACAATGCTAGGCATATTCCACAAGTCATTTCAAACGGTAACGTCATATTCTTATCTGGAGAGGATGCACAATAAATACTATCGGTGTAGACTGGAATAACAAGACCCTAGAGATTGCCATTCGATTGAGACTTCTGGCGTATTTCGCCGAATATAACTGATTAGAAATTACAGTAAAAACAGAAACGATTGAATGTAAATCAGTTTATATACACTCATATTACATTATTATATGTGTTGCGACCCATTTGTGTCAATTTTTAGATCTCAAATATTAGCGACTTAGCTCCTTTAATGTCCTAATTTTCTGCTCCAACCTGGGTAATGCAGACAGGAAATTTTTCCTACACAGCAATTGAATTACAAGGGTTCTTTTACGAGCACCACTAAAAATGGGAAACCCGACTGAAAATTCCTGAGGTAATTGATCGACCAAGACCGTGGAACCTTCAGGTTAACATGAGTCAGCGCCTTAGTCAAGCCCCTGCGGATCCACAGAGAGAGAAATGGCAAACTTGGTCATTTCAAAATTTTGAAGTTGAGTTGGGAGACAGTTCTGCATTTTTACCCTAATGAACTCTCCTATCAAGTTTTAAAATATTCCATTGAGTCCATTCTCCTGTATAGGGTTCACAAAATTTGAAAGTTAAAATGTGACCAGTAAAATAACTCAGTAAAACATCTTCAAAATGTGCAACCCGAAAAATCTGGACATTCGATACATTTCTATTCAAATGAACAATCCCACTGAATTTTAGTTAGGGGCTTGTAGCTAATACACCCACCAGAGGCAAATACCACATGCTAGCTCTAAAATCCTTGTCAGCAAATCCCACGAGAGCAATTTTTTACAACTATCAACAGCCATGATGTTAATCATAAAAAAATGTAATAATACACTTTTATCTACTGTATATTAAGAATACACATGATCCATGCTTTATAATACACAATATGTTTAGTCATCTGTGTATTATATAAAATACACATATAACCCATGTTTTATAACACAGAATGTTTCAAAAATATGTAATAAAACCACAAATATACAACACTTTGTTCATGCATATAAAATCACTACTAACTAATAATATAAACCTACTTTCATCAATCTCCATTTTCCAAAACTGAGATTTCAACCCAATATATTACCCCTGTACTAATAACTATAACCTCACAAAGAACATTTCAAAAAAGGTTCAACTCTAGTGGGAAGCAAAATTATTTGATACAAATCCACATACATGCATCGTGTGAGGCATCTTGTAAAGGAATAGTCTAAAATGATCTCTTTACTAAATGAACCTGACATCAAGTGACTTGCCTAATGCAGGAAAAACAGGTTTTACAATGAATCAAAGAGAATGGTGGATGAAAGAATACTTTATTAACATTACACACCTGTATTCTATGCCTGATTTTACTAGGGTATTTTATTTCTCTGGTATGCAGTTGCTGTGGTCTTACATTAGCTAGTTATATTTTAATGAATATTGAAAGTAAAATTTAAGAATAGGCTATTATAACTTTGATGCCAATTAAAAATAAATATATGATAGGATAGCTAGGTGTTGAATGTCAAACATTTTTTTAATTCGAAAATATTAACATCAAATGCAAAACTGCTGATGGTCATTTGTTTTTTTAAAAATCCATGCCAGAGGATTATCTACCGTTGATAATCTTAATTAAATATTAAATAATAAATCTGAGTATATATTAGCGTTGATTAAGCTGTGAGGAAATTAGATATTGTAAGAAAAATACAGAGATAGAGAGAAAGAAATGGGATTTAACTTCCACTCGACACAAACTAGGTAATTTCGGGACTAACATATGGTTCAATTTTATTTCAATAATTAGCTTGCACGTAGGGGTCTTTAGCTGTGGGAGGAAACCGGAGGACCTGGAGAAACGCCGCGAAGTTGGTACGAAAAATACAAAAGAAAATCAGTGGCTTTAACAAGAAATCATATTCCATTCACTTGATTTGATATTTGTTTATTTAAGGTGCAATGTCTATTTTCTGTCTTGTCCGCAGGTTTATCTTGTAGACTTTTGTTCTGCGTGTAGTGCGGTCCTCCTGCACTTACTATTTGATATACATGTACAGTTTTACATGTAGTATACTGTTTGTATGGATGTATTGAGTTGTCTATGTAATATGTATTATTGAATGTATATGACTATGTCTAAGTGTATATGTATGCATGCTGTCCTTCATGGACGTTTTGATGCAATAAACATCTTATCTTATCTTATAAAGCTTTAAAATGGAGAAAACCACTGTATATAGCTATGGGTATAACTGATACATTTTGCCCTAGGATTAATAAGGCTACACCAAGATATGTATAGTCCATTGGGGTGAAACTTGTCATCCATACAAAATAAACTTGTCTACCAACTAAAGTCAGGGTTAATTGGTTTCAGGTCGCGTCAATCATGATGAAGGGATTGTTTGTACATTTTATGAATAATGAAATGTTTTCATATAGAGGTCTGCTTCAAAGAAAAACACTTATAAACCATGCAATATTAATAATTATCACATGTCCATTCAGATGACAGGTATGTTCTTTAATCTCTCAAGATCTGTCCTAACCTTTAAGTAATACAAGCAGTTCTGGAAATTATGATTTTACATGCACCTTTCACTAACTAATTGTGACAGATATAGACTACTGCAAAAAAATTAAGTTTTCACATAGATGTTCTCTTTTAGAAACTGAATTATATTCTAACCTTTGAAATTATTACTGGTATTCAAAAAAATTAATTGGCCTGCTACCTAACTAATAATTCCACAATTCAAAAAAAATGGTGAGTGTTATTTCAGCAAATGAAGAAATTATAAAGTAAAAACATACAATACCCTTTAGTAATAACACCTATACTATAAATACAGTCTGCTGTGTCAATAAATTTAATGTCATGTCACTAGTGAAATTCCTGAATAACTGTCCTAACCTTTCAAATCTTAAAAAAACGTGTCTTATATAAAGAAAACTAGGTTAACCGGCGAGTTGCGCTGTATATGTCTGGACCCATCCATACCGTATAATACCCTAGTTTATTGTAGTTATTACATTACATTTGAAGTAACACAATTGTTACGCAGAGTCCATTCAATACTTATGACAATAGCCTAACAAAAACTGTTTAATAATTGCATTTATTACTGGGGTATTGACATTCTTATGTCCACGTATTCATTGAATAATAATGCGACTTGGGCTACAAATATAACGGCTCAAGGGCTGGCGACCATAAAGACCGGTCATAAATAAATTACATTAACTCACCCTTGACAACAGTCGTCCTTCTTCAAGCCTTGGGAAATAATTTTGACATTAATAATCTGAACCTGTTGTGTGGCTTATTGGATTATTAATCACCGGAAACCACAAAGGTAAATTTTGGCAAGGGAAATAACTCCAATTTTCACCTTTACCGCACCGAGACACTCCTTTAGGACATAAAATAGGTCTGTTTTAGTGTTTAGTTCACATAGACTAGAAGTGGTAATGAAATGAAATGGGGTTTAACGTCCCACATTTCTGCCCCGACTGGGCTAATAAAGATGGACTAGAAGTGGTGGCCTACAGAAATGTCCTTTTAACAGAACCAGCCATTAATGTATTTCATTAAAATCATTAAGTCCAACCCATACAATTATCTTGCCTCTGACCTTAATGGACACAACGCAATTATCTTGCATCTGCCCTAACATCATGCGTTTATCTTACCTCTGCTCCATATTAATAGACAGCATGCAATTATCTTGACACCCCTAAATAGACACCATGTTGTGCACCAAACTTTTAACCCTTGTGAGAGAGAAGTGTGGTTTAACATCCACTCGCCCACTCAACACAAACTAGGTCATTTCGGACAAACACATAGTTCAATTTTATTTCAATAATTCGCTTGCGCATAGGAGTCCTTAGTAGTGGAAGGAAACCGGAGGTTGGACAGGCGACCACGCCAGTTGACTCAAAGACAGACCTTATGATACACCGAGCGCAGGTGCTAACCATTCGGCCATCCAACCCCCCTTTAACCCTTGAATGTCAAGATCTGGTTTGATGAATCTGAGTGACAACACCAGCATTAATAATAGTTAAAAATAAAAAGATGTCCCAGTGAACCTAGATAATATTGATACTGGAATGTTAATAGGGATCAATTGCATTTTAAAAGATAGTTAGTAATATTATGGCAAAACTATGATAATCACTTTCCTACTCCTCTCTCTATGAGAGTTCTCCAATTAATGGTGCGAAATGAAATGAAATGAAATGGGGTTTAACGTCCTACTGTATTGCTCCGAACTGGGCTAATGAAGACGGGCATACGCCATACAGTGTGCTATGAGGGAAATTTTGCCCGGACAGCGGCACTACGGCCTACTCATATATTGAATTCCAACTGTCAAGTCATCCGAATGACTAGACAGCTGTCCTTGTCAGGCCTAATGGTGCGAAATTTGTATCACATGTGATTTGGTTATGTCGAAGTGATCTTCACTCAGACAGAAGTCTTATTACGGGGCTGCCCTAGAGCTGCAAGCTAAAATGAGGTTCTGACGGAAAAATGTTCTGAAGCCCATGCTAATGTACTTAAAACTAAGCCTTATAGGCCCTATATATCACAACATTTGAATCAAATTTCACATTTGAGAAGTGTTCATCTGCCGGTGCAAGAGAGGGTGACACACCGGTGCAAGAAAAGGAACCTTTTGCTCAAATATCAATTGAATGAAACAAAAAACAAAAAAATCAGTAAAGAAGTAAAATGTATTAAAATTTCCGATAATGCTGAGTCAAATTAATATCACAGATGACTTAATTATTATTATATACAATATAAATTACAACAATTAATCAAAATAAATCTCTCAAATACATTTAACATAATATAAACAACTACATAATAAATATCTCTTGTTGATCACCAACATCGTTTTGATTGCCACAAGTCACAAACGTCAAACGTTGATATCATTACCTGTCCTTCAATACGATGGCCAGGTGCAATATATATATTAACAAAACACAGTTTGTCAAATCATGGTGGTCCTACATATCAGTATGGTAGATAGATTTATTTGGCAAAAACATATACAACATAATTAATGGCATATTTATTTATAGTACAAATTGATTTTCTGAGCCAATTTGGGGGCTCCTTTAATATTTCTACCCCTGGAGGCAGATTCCCCCCAACCCCAATTTAATCTGGTCCTGGTGTTATACTATGTATCTATCCTTCTTGTATAAACCAACAGTGAGGCTGGTGTCTTTCCGGTGTTTAAATATGTTCTACCTGATGCTAATAGGAACTAATTGATTAGGCTTAGGGTTGGATGAAAGGTTGGTAGTCGTAATGCTGTGAGGCTGTTGTCTTTCCTGAGTTTAAATATGTTCTAACTTATACTAATAGGAACTAACTGATTAGGGTTAGGGTTGGGTGAAAGGTCGATAGTCGTAATACTGTGCAGTAATTTAAAACAGATAAAATGTCTTGCTATACAGGTAATTAGTTACAATGTTCGATTCCTGGTTTGTTTGATTCCTGGTTTGTTCGATTCCTTGTTTGATCACAGAGTTCTAGTTAATTATATCACGTAAAGTCATGTTCTCCAGGCCTAAACCTTCCAGTTGAATATCAACACCCTGAGATGGCTGATGTGTTGATTTACTAGCAGCTGCTATGGAACTACTTTTAATCTGGCCTTGACGTCTGCTCGAAACTGTTGGAATTACCTCCCCTTGTATTGGATTGGTTCGAGGATTGTTACCTAAGAATAAATTCTGCACATTCTGGAAATAAACAAATCAATCAAGATATTAAGTTCAATACAATTAAGATGGGCTTATTTCTAAGCTATTCCATTAAAACAGCTGATGAGAGTGACTACAGAGAGAATTCAGTTGTACAAACCTCACCCTCTGCCTAACAGAAAATTTTGAAAAATGCATACGTCTCTTTTTCTCCAACAGTCTTTAGTTTGGTTTTTTTTTCCACTTTTTTTTTAGTTTTCACTATAACATTTAACAGAGAATGCTAATTAAAGGGACAATTTATTCTGACACTGCACCAAGTTATTTAAAACAACTCTTTGATATACTCCCCAGCGATCTAACCTTCTTTCTTCAGGTGATCGTAGCATTTTGAGGATTCCTAAATATAATAAACATTCTGGTGAACATGCTTTCTCCGTCAGAGCAGCTAAAATGTGGAATGATCTTCCAAAAACTCTTCGAGAGTCCTCATCCATCCAGAGCTTTATGGCTAACTTAAAAACATATTTATTTCAATAATGTTTTTGAACTATTTTGTTGTGAATGTGCTTAGAAACTCCCATGTGTAATGAAGGGCTATATAAATCAAACAATAATAATAATAATAATAATTTTTATCTTTAATTTATTAAATACCCACAGCTATCAGAAATTGTATTATAATTATGTTGTTTACACTTAAATATTTGTAAAATCATAAAACCTACCAAATCTTGTGCTTGTTGAATAGCTTGTGATAATATTCTTTCTCTTGATGCGGATCTATCTCGACTACCTGATCTACGTTTTAAATAAGGATGTTTAACATCATTAGTTGGCTTACGTTGAGTTGTTCTACCTCTCCGTACAGTAGGCGAATCTGTCAATTTAAATAAATCATGAATGAGAGAAAATTGCTTTAAAAAGATTATTACACTATAAACAATTTTCTCTTATTTTTTTTGGGTATAAATAATTTTCTCTTATTTTCTTTTGTACCATACAAGTGATTAGAATTATGGGTGCCTTATCCGTAAATTTTGCGCATATTTCGTGTAAAATCTATGCTTGAATTGAAAAATACAAGGATTTTCCGTTGTAGTTCCCCCTTGTCAGTGGTGCAGGATAGAGGGCCTGGCAAGAATGGTGTCTAGTTGTTCAGATGGGATAAAAAAAACCTAGGTCTCATGTACATGGTGACATGCACATAAAAGAACCCTTGACAGTTGGAATTCAGTTGCTGTCCTGGCAAAATTTCCCTCACATAGCACACTATGATGGTCTTCATTAGTTCAGTAGGTGCAGATTATTCTTTCATTCATTCATTTATTTATTCATTCATTCATTCACATAGTCCCTTCTATAACCACTCAAATACCAATTACAAGAAAACACACATACCAGTATTTGATTGATTTGAGATCGGTTGTCCTGCAGGTGGTTTTCTACTCACTAAGGGCGGGGCACTACTACTTCCAGTACGTAATATATTATTTAATTCTATATTGTGTGGTGCATTAATAGTTGGTCTAGTTTCTAAATGTCTATCTATCATTGACAACTGTTGATTTATCATTTGTCGCTGTTGTTCAGCTCGATGTAATAATCTGTTGCCTGGTAACAAGGATGATGGTGTTGTTTCTGTATGTACCTCATTAAATCTGTAATTTAAATAGAGAATGTTTATTACTCTTTAAATTTGTATGGTTTATAGCCAAGTGCATGTCTCCCTAGTCTTCTTAAAATTATTATGTCTTGCTATTCCCAATTATAGCCTATCAAAGCAAATTCTTTTGAATTTGAAAGACAATTCTGAATGTAAAATAACCTTCAATCTTATAGAATTATAGTGTATTGTCTGATGCAGGTTACATGTTTTTTCACACTTTTGTTGGGTTATTCTTTGCTTGATACTGCATAGTTAAGAGGTTATATTCTACACTTTATAATGCATGGTTACTTCTGTTCATTCTAAACTGTATAATGCATGGTTATTCCACACTTCACTGTTACTTTCGTTAGGTTATTCTTTACTTATAAATGCATGATTTGTTTATGGTCATTATTCTAAAGCAGTGGACACATTAGCCGAATCAATCGGCGCCAAATTTTATTCGGCCGAATGGGTGGACACACTAGCCGAATGCTTCGCCCGATTCAACCTATCGATTGCATCACCTTTCATATCACATGATTAAACATGGCAGCGTCTATGTCTTCAATCTATCACGTGACTTCTCGATATGAGTGGTAATTGGCTAATGAATTCTATATTCGGCCGAATGCTTCGGCGAAGCAGACACACCAGGCGAATATAATTTGGCCGAATATATCAAACCTGTTTGATTCGGGCCGAATGACAGTGGACACACTAGGCGAATTTCAACGCCGATTGATTTGGCCGAATCATTCGGCTAGTGTGTCCACCGCTTTAGCTTTATAATCCTTTGGTACTAAACAGTATATGTTTGAGAAAAACAAAGATGCCAAAAGTTGTTTCCAAAAAAATAGGCCCACCATGCATCAATATTTCTGCTATTCAAAATATGATTAAAATATATACCTTGGTTCAGAATTAAGAAACCTTGTTCCTGCAAGTTCTAAAGAGGATGGTGCTCTGTGATGAGAATGGTTTTGTCGTGGGGGTCTACGTAACAGAATTCCATTACTGCCTTCTGTTCTAGCTGCAGGTGCTATAGTTAAACCAAAACCAGGAATTTCCAGATTGACCGGCTGCTGTTGATTATTAGCTGCTACTATCCGGATGGCTTCAGATGAAGTACTACTACGCCTCTCTCTGAAAAGACGAAAGATTAAAATGAATTCATTAAAAATATTTCATAGAGTTACTTTCTGTAACTGGGGTAAAATATTTACGTGCGGTAATTAATGAGACTGCTGTTTTCATTTTTTATTTTTAAAAATAAAAACTTGTCATGCAGTCTTGTTTAAGTTATGCAGGATTATCTGAAAACCAGAATATTATTTTTATGTGGCCTAATGACCTTTCTGTAATTTCAATACAACAGCACATGTTTGTTCAAAGGTAGAAGGATTATTTTTAAAGTATCAGCATTTTTGTCTAAAACATTAAAGCAAATAAAAATGTCCAGAAATAGTTGGAATCTGCCTTGCAATCGCCAACATTTTCTTAATATGGGCCTACTTTTAAAACTACTATATTTCGTTAAAACAGAATTAAAAAATAAAGACTGATTGCACACATGAAGAGTACCAAGGACACACAGATCTACACATTAGATGAATATATGTTTACCTGTTTAGAGAGTTAGGTGATGAGATATCTTGTAATGGTGTTATAACAGATTGACCATCAACGGGACATACTGGACGTGTATGCAATAACCAATTATCTACACAATCTTTATGAAACTAAAACAAATAAATACAACAAAATATAACATAAATAAGATGTAACACATATAAAAAACAAATATTATTAACATTTATTTCCATATTGTTTAACAACAATTAAAGGCTACAGATTGTCATTTGAAGGGATTGTTAATTCCTTGAAAAGAGAGAGAAATGGGATTTAAAATCCACTCGACACAAACTAGGTCATTTTGGGACTAACATATGGTTCAATTTTAATTCAATAATTAGTAGGGGTCTTTAGCAGTGGGAGGAAACCGGAGGACCCGGAGAAAACCCACGAGGTTGGACAGGCAACCCTACTCCTTGTCACATACAACCGGGGAATCAAAACCATGCCAGTTGACTCAATGACAGTCGTTATGATACAAAGTGCACGCGCTAACCATTCAGCCATCCAACCCCCCCCCCCCATTAAGTTCTTCATAATCCAAATAAATCCTAGACAAAGGATTATCTACCTTTGATATTTTAATTTTGTCATTTTAATTTAATGTTAAATAATTAATATAAGTCCATTTTCGTGTGGATTGAGTCTAAATACTTAGATATTGTCTGAAAAAGATCAGAGAATACAAGTGTTGAAGATGATAACATGTTAATCCCTAACAAACCCAATCAAATTACCTTGTGTCGGCATGGTAACCTACGAACAACTTGACCAATTTCATAACCTCGTAAACAGATTCGACACTGTACACCAGGAGCGAGTAACTGTCCACCCTCTCGTACTTTTTCTTGTGGTAGAGAATTTACCGTTTCTTCAGTTAAATCACTGCCTTCAAATTCTTGATTACTAAAATTTGTAAAAGAAATTTGAATGAAACATAAAGATCTGATGTGTGTAATATGTGAGAGCCGAATTTTGCAACAGCTGTGGTATTAAAGTAGCTAAGTCTCTAACTCAATATCATCCAAAATCTTCAACATTGAAAACACAAATTATTTGTCAATTTAAATCAACATTGATGCTGTGATCTTACCGGAAAAAGATGGGCTTCTGATATCCAATATTTAAGACATAATAAACATTTTGCCATTGGTACACAAATCGTGTACCATAATGCGTTTCAGCCCCAGTTCTAGCAAGAGACTCGAGGAACGAGGCTAGACATATTGCACCAAACCAAACGGCGTATGTAGACTGGAATAACCAGACGCTAGAAATTTGCATTCGATTGAAACTGCAGGCTTTTTTCGCGGAACATAACTGATTTTAAATTAGAGTAAAAACGGAAACCATTGAATGTATATCAGTTTATATACATTTATATTACAGTATTATATGAGTTGCGACCCACTTGTGTCAATTTCTAGGTCCCAAATGTTAGCGATTTAGCTCCTTTAACACCTACTTTTGTTTGATTCTGATTAAGTTTACCCTACTAACGATTTAACTAGGGCTGCAAATGAAAGATGGACCTCACAATACGATATGTATCACAGTATTTTTCCTTTCCAAATTTACTTAAAAATAAAAATAAGTACATGATATTTAATGGTGACACATCACTTTATTAGCCATGGCTTTTCCATCAGACATTTTTAATCCAAAATGTTCCGATAATCGTGATTTGTGGTTCGCTGGAGACGAATGTTTCATTGCTGGAAACCATCTTTCCTCATTGCCACATGAACTACAGGGGGACATAACTCTACATGATAGTTGAATATAGGAAGAAAATGGAAGGTTAAAAAAATCTGTACTGTGTTTATCGAACCACAGTACCGTACGGAATTTAAAGTACAGTGAACCGAACCGCGGCATTATACTGTGGTATACCGTCTTGTTGCCCTAGATTTACTTTCATCATTAGACACAGTAACATTTGCGATTATTCCTGCACAGGCATTCACTTGTCAGGGGTGGTGCCTTCAAGAGGCTGACAAGGAAAATGTGGCTGGTCCTTTGGATGTGACGAAAAAAAACCTGATCTACCCATGTACAAAATATTGTTGAGGAGACGTTAAACCCCATTCCAATCTATTTAACAAATGGTTCATGCCTAGATTTAAACCTATGGCATTTCAGTTAAGATCGTCAATCTAATTGAAGAAGATAATACTATCTAATTAAAGAATATAATATTTTCACTATCTAATTGAACCTAACTAACCTATCTTAATTGAACCTATCTATCTGATTGAAGAAGATAATATTTTCCCTAACCTAGTTAATTGAACCTAACTAAACCTATCTAATTGAAGAAGATAATATTTTCACTAACCTATCTAATTGAAGAAGATAATCCTATCTATTTTAAGAAGATAATCCTATCTAATTGAAGAAGATAATATTTTCACTAACCTATCTAATTGAAGAAGATAATCATAATCATCAGCAGTAATATCTCTATTCATCATATTATTAACAACAGCTTCTGGTAATAAACCACCAGTCATTCTATTTACTCCACGCCATCTTTGATTTCGCTTCTGCAAACATAGAAAAACAAACATGAGATTTCAACAATTTTTATATGGTTCATGTGCAATATATTTTTCTAAGGAGGTTTGTTTCTGTTCCAAAAAATGATAAAACCGTTTCTGCTATATTCCTGTATCCAGTTACCTGTTGTCTGTATGTTTTGATAAGGTTTTGATTTTCCAAATAAATAATACTGTAGACAAACATAACCTTTTAAATATAGTTGTTTGTTATTTTTTTTTCCAATTAGTAACCACTTGAATAAACTCCTCTACTATGTGGAGCCGTGGTGGTTCAGTGAATAAGACCTTAGTGCACTAACCTGGATGTCCCGTGTTCGATCCCGGTGTCAGGCAAGAGAGTTCATATTCATCGTGATTTTCAGGCATGGTTCCCCCTTGTCAGTGGCGCGGGACAGAGATTCTGGCAAGGGACAAGTATTAAAACCAAGGATCAGAGAAAGAGAGAGAGAGAGAGAGAGAGAGAAATGGGGTTTAACGTCCACTTGACACAAACTAGGTCATTTTGGGACTAACATATGGTTTAATTTTATTTCAATAATTCACTTGCGCGTAGGGGTATTTAGCAGTGGGAGGAAACCGGAGGACCCAGAGAAAACCCACGAGGATGGACAGGCACCCCTACTCCTTGTCACGTACAAACAGGGATTCGAAACCACCCCAGTGGACTCAATGACAGGCTTTATGATACAGCGCGCACGTGCTAACCATTTGGCCATCCAACCCCCCACCAAGGATCAGTGTACACAGTTGGAATTGAAAATAAAGAGCAGGTTTTAGCGTCACTGTCAGGGTAAATGTTTCCTCATTTCACACTGCATGGCGTGTGCCAGTCTTCATTAGCCAAGGCAGTACAGAGAAGTAGGATATCAAACAAGCATTTCATTTCCTCTAATGTTGGCATAGAATGGAAAATTGTCAACTCTGCAAATTATTTGAATTCTCAAAATGACTGTTAAAGAGGACACACAGAAAACAAAATATTAATGTAATGAAATGAAATGGGGTTTAATGTGCTACTTTTTGCACATGAGAAAAATTTGACCAGACAGTTGCATTTCCCTTCTTTAATTCATCAATGGGACCTTGGTTTTTAGTACCACTCGATTGACTAGATGATTTTCCGGGTTGTTATATCTCCCCGGTCATATATTTCAAGGATTGCATCGGATTTAACTCAGATTAAAATACACACATACGAATCTAATCAAACACGTTTTATTAATTCCATACACGCAACTCTAATTAACAATAGAGGGGTACAACAATTGAAATAGTGATCACGTGATTAATAAGTAACCTTATATAGAATACATACATATTCATCAGACACTACACGGGTCAGGCCCTCTGTTCTGAAACTAAGCTGGATATTCCAAATGAACTTTCTCGACCAACACCAGGATCGAGCCCTGGACCTCCTGGTTAGTGGGTCAGGGCTCCATAAAAGCTGCTTTATGCATTGTTTAATACAGAATAAAATACCCTTTATACTTACATGTCTATATTCAAAGTTATGATGTGTATGTATTGGAGAGTTAAAACAAGACTGACATAGTTGAAAATCAGCACATACAACACACCTTTAAAAAATAAAAATAAAAAAGGTTTTCAGTAAAAAATTGCCATTATCCATTCTTAAATGAAAGTGAGAACCGTGTGGAAAAGAGAATGTGAAACTTTAATATTATTTATGAAACTGTTGAGTAACTGCATAATTTACTAGAACATTTATCTGAACAGCAAATGTTTAGATGGGCACATGCTTTACCCAAACAAACTAAATAGAAATGAGGCAGGTGCAAGCTTAAAGATACATTATGGGAGATTAGATAATGTAAGGGGACTTGCTGAAAATTTCAGTCGAATTGATCCACTCTGAACCAAGATTTTAGCGATTGAATTTTGGGCTAGCCTCGATCAACATTACTAAAGTCGGTACGATAAAAAACCATAGTCTCGATTATCCATTTTTTTATTTAATTATCAATGAGCGTTAAGCAGCAGATAGGATTCTAATCCAGAAAATATTGCAGGCTAGCGATGACATCAAGAGTTGATTATGGTCTGGATAAGTTAATTAATGTCTAATTAATAATTTAGATAACATTTTAGGCCTAAAGAAAGACGTACAATTGGCAGATTTAGCTCTTGCATATTGTATGTTTAATTCTTACTTTAGTTTCACAAGGATAATTAATTCTCTAAAAACACACGTTTTCTAAACTCCATTGCTGGCCAGTCTGGACCATAATCAATTCAAGTATAATTACTTTTAATCAGACCAATGATTACAGATTACATCAGAATACTTGACATAATGCACATGATTACAACTGATTACATAAAATAATGCACATGATTACATCAGAATACTTGAAATAATGCACATGATTAAAGCAATTTCCCTGAAATAATGCATGATTACCTGGAATAATGCACATGATTACAACTGATTACTTGCAGTAATGCACATGATCCGATCAAAATGCATGAATAGTGAACATGGTTACATTTGATCACATTAAATAATGCACATGATTACATCAGATTATTTGAAATAGTGCACACGAACATAGTCGATTACTTGAACTAATTATCCCAGGCCCCGAGTTCACAAAGCATTCTCAGACATAAGTTAAGAATTTACTCAACTTTCAAGCACTGTTTATGAGAAATATCTTTCACCCAGAAACACAAAACTTTGCACGTAGTTTCTTATTGATGTATTTGATACATTAAATAACAAAAGTTTTATAAAAGGCTATATTCTAGTTAAAATAAGGCGAAAAATTTTGAGTAAATTCTTAACTTAAGAATGAAAATGTTTTGTGAACTCGGGGCCAGATTAAATGATATCTTTGGTGGCAAATACATTGCATCACCGCTCCACTTAATTTGAAAACATTGTAACAAGCACCTGTAACATTTTCCTTCAATTGGAGCAACATGGCAACTCTGACAATTTGTACCCAGATGTCTGTCCATTCGAACCACAGTGTTTGTTTGACCACCGCCTGCATTTCTCATCTCTTGTTTTAATAAATTAAATGGCCCAAAATCTTCTCGACACATCGGACATTTAACGTTAGTCTCTCCTTTACCCTGTTGATGATCAGCCCAGACCTTCATACATTTTATATGTATACTATTACCACAACCAAACCTGCAAACAAATGGAAGAAAAGTTAAAATAAATATTCTATGTGGTTTAAAGGGGGGGGGGGGAGAAAGAAATGGGGTTTAACGTCCACTCGAAACAAACTAGGTCATTTCGGGACCAACATATGGTTTAATTTTATTTCAATAATTTGCATGCGCACAGGGGTCTTTAGCAGTAGGAGGAAACCAGAGGACCCGGAGAAAACCCACAAGGTTGGACAGACGACCCTACTCCTTGTCACGTACAACCAGAGAATCGAAAACCACGCCATTTGATACAGCATGCACATGCTAACTATTCGGCCATCCAACCCCCCGTGGTTTAAAGGAATCAATTAAATGTTGTATCCACCAACCAGAAATAATATAAAATTAAATTGTTTGAGCGGCATTTAGTAACTGGATGAGAATAACACATGCCACAATTATATAAAAAAAAAAAAGTTACTTGAAAGATTTATTTCTGGCGACGATTCGAAGAGGGTTCTCTCGTCTTTATCAAGCAAATATGAAATTAAATGGGGTTTAATAGTGTATTTACTACACCAAACAAATGAATGAAGCAGGAACCATCCGAAAGACTAGATCAGTGGTTCTCAACCTATTTTAACAATGGCACACCCTGGAACACATGAAAAAATAGCGGCACACCTGGCTAAATATATATGAAAAATATTTGAAGTTTGCAAAATAAAAACATGGTAAGTCAGACGGCATACAACCATAGACAGAGACTAGTCATAGACACATAGAATGACTCAAACTAAATAAAGGAAAACACAGCTATGAACTTATCAGTAGACACCAGTGAATACTCAGTTAGGATCACATGGTTTTTCACATTTTCTTAGTGTACCGTTCAAAATTTTGCGGCACAATTAGGCAGATCTAGCGGCACACTGGTTGAGAATCACTGGACTAGACCATCAAAACATCACCATAAACCTTGTGGGAATGAACGACCATGATGTACATCCAATTAATGACTGGATAACAAGACTATCATCAATCAAATAGGGCACAGAAAATTAAATCAATGCTTCATTGTTCATAGAATAGCCAAATTCACAAGGAGAAAAAACATATTATCTTTGTTCATTGATTAGTCCTTCACAAGAAGACAATATTTTCTGTATGTGCACATACTTGCAATACGTAACAGGAAGATGCTTGGCCAGAAGTTCATCCTGGCATATAGGACAGACGTCATCTTCAGATATATCTCTCTGACCAACCACAGATCGTCCATCTGCTGCTTGTAGAACAGTTCTATGAACTTTCTTCTCCTGTTGTCTACGTTGTTGCTGTTGAACTGTTCCTCTCAGTATCTCATTGATTTCTCTTTCTACCAATCCTAACTGCCATGTCACTGAAAATAATCAAAATTGGGTATCAATGGACCATTGAAGGTGGCAGACAGTGTATCATTTACAGCTATTAATTTATAGTTACATGTAATTGAAAGAATACAATTTCAATTACCCATCGTTGTGATGAAATATTATGGGGTGTTCCAAAAAAGTAAAATTTAAAGGTCACCAGAAAAGCTTTAAATTTTTTTTTAAATAATGCAAGTGATTATGTTAGCACATCCTTTCCATAAGTATAACACGAACCCGAATGTCAATATTACCTGCAACAGGTAAATTTCAATAATCTGTCAAATGAAATGAAATGGGGTTTAACGTCCTACTGTTCTGTTCCAATTTGGCTAATGAAGACGGGCATATGCCATACAGTGTGCTATGATGAGGGAGATTTTGCCTGGGTAGCGGCGCTGTGGTCTACTCTTATATCGAATTCCAACTGCCAAGGGATATTTTATGTGCATACCAATGTGTACACAGGACCTTGTTTTTTTGCCCCATGCAAACAACTAAACAGCTGTCCTTGCCAGGCCCTGCCATTTCATTTCAGGGATAATAATACATCTTGTGCTATACGACTCATCATAATACCTTATTACTTACATGGATTTTCCTTTGGTACTCGGAATTTCTTCAATAAAAGCCAACAGATATGTTTACACAGGTCTTTATCTTTTCTAAATTGAGCACATGTACAGCTGTGAGGATCTCCAAGAAAAGCCTTCCAGAAAGAAAAGATATGTCCATCCATGGATTCAATAACAATTTTATAGTATATCTATCAGTATAGGGGGTATCTTAAAACCAATGAAATAGGGCACCTGTTCTGATTGTTAAAGTCATTTTGCTGGAAGTGAGGTCTTGGGCAGAAACATTCTATAACTAGGCCATCCATTACAGTAGAATCTGTATGAGCAGCCACTCCTATTCAGCGACATCTCCTTGTAAGCGGTCATGATAAATTCCCCCCGTAGGAATTCTGTTGTTTCATCTCTTTATTCAACGGTCACTCCTCTAACGTGGCCAGCGGTCACTATTTGACAAATAAATTCAACAAAACATTGCCCATTCAACGGCCATTGTTGAATGATACCATCTTGTCGTTCTTTGTAACACCCCCGCTAATCCCGTGAGTAGTAGTTAATTAACTGGATCCCCACTGTTCAGGTAAAAAGAAATGTAAAAATAACAATCAACCCGGGATTATCTGTTAATTAATCTTTTGTTTTATTAAACGACTAACCTGATCATTGTTTTCACGCGTAACGACACATTATTTGATACTGATTGAATAAAATAAAAGTACCATCTTGTCGTTCTTTGTAACACCCCCGCTAATCCCGTGAGTAGTAGTTAATTAACTGGATCCCCACTGTTCAGGTAAAAAGAAATGTAAAAATAACAATCAACCCGGGATTATCTGTTAATTAATCTTTTATTTTATTAAACGACTAACCTGATCATTGTTTTCACGCGTAACGACACATTATTTGATACTGATTGAATAAAATAAAAGTACCGAGTTTTGTCACGATCATCTAGTATCTCTTTATTGTTAAACAGACGTTTTAGCGCCTCCTATAATATTACATACAGAGTTACACCCCCTGTAAATAGTGATAAAATTAGCGATGTTTTTTTGTTCATGTCTTTTTTTGATAAAATAAAATGAATTCATCGATTTTCTTCACAAAAATGGATAAATAGTATCGAATGCATCACAATGGTAGGCAGTAGTATTGATGGTTGGTACAAAATGACAAGTTTACAGAAGTTATGTCCGAGATTTGAGTAAAGAGTTTTCGTTCGGCGCAAGATTCAGCGACGGTCAAATTTACCGCTTCCAATGCATTCAAGCGTAATGTTTAATTTATGTCAGCACAAAAAGCACCAAGATGTTATTAAGAGGCCATTCCCGTTATGTTATGTCCGAGATTTGAGTAAAGAATTTTCGTTCGGTGCAAGATTCAGCGACGGTCAAATTTACCGCTTCCAATGCATCCAAGCGTAATATTTAATTTATGTCAGCACAAAAAGCAACGAGATTTTATTAAGAGGCCACTCCCGTTAAGCGGTCAGTTGTGAAAATTCCCTTGGGTGGCTGCTTAATGCAGATTCTACTGTATATGCAATTTGGTGAATTCTTATAATGGAGCCTATTCTAATTATTAAAGCAAATAAACACTACGTGCAAATTGGGATTTGGGGATGTGCTTACTTACAGTATCAAAAATAGGCCTAGAATAACATCAGATTTAACAGGGGTGGAGGTAAAACGTTATAATTTTCATATTGCAGCTTAATAGAGACGAATAGGAATGTTAATAGGACATAGTCTATATATATTACGCAGTTACCTTAACATTTTTCTGTTCTCCCTCTTCTTTTAAAAGAAAGGCAGTTGGTCCTGTTTCACGTAAAATATATATTGTAGCATTGCTAGCCTCTGCTTGCCTCCAACATACAATATCATTCAATGTTCTTCTCCATGCTACACTTCTTGCCATTCTTTTTCCTTAGACAACCTGAAATAACAGTTTAGGTCTGATCACTTGAGATAACTTTGAATGACCAAATTGGCACTAACATTAGTACAGATGAGAGGATGTGCAGTATATGGATATACTAACTATTTTCACCACAAATAATTGACCTTTCTATTACCGGAAGTGCATTAACCAATGACGAAGTGGTTTTAGAAAACTGGGGATACGCATATATCCTTATAAAGTTGTGTGGGTTTTTTTTATTGTTTTAAAACTGTTTATATTTTGTAAAAGGCATTTTAACTGGTTTGGGTTAGTAGATCTACTCCCTCCAATATTTGAGTGGGGGGTACATGGCTGAATGGTTAGCATGTGCGCGCTGTAACATAAGGCCTGTCATTGAGTCGACTGGCGTGGTTTTGAATCCCCAGTTGTACATGACACGGAGTAGGGCCGCCTGTCCAACCTCGTGGGTTTTCTCTAGGTCCTCCGGTTTCCTCTCACTGCTAAAGACCCCTACGCGCAAGTGCATTATTAAAATAAAAAATTAAACCATATGTTATTCCCAAAATGACCTAGTTTGTGTCGAGTGGACATAAAACCCCAATTCTCTCTCTCTCCAATAATTGGCATGCCCCTACAATTTCATCTTTTCCTAAAATTGTTCTCTTTGACTCCCAAAATTATAAACCGAAGACCATATGTCCCTGTATTCGTCTGAATGCACTAGAATAACCATCAAGTTCTGTTTAAAATTTAACACCTTTGAATGAAGTCAAATTCTAGGCCTACTCAAAACCTTTAAGGTAGGCCTACATGTCAAAACTAAAAAAAAAGGTTTTCTAAAAAAAACAAAAAAAAACACAAACAGCGCAAGTTTTTTTTTTTTTAACTAAACAGGTCTAGATATACTAGGACGGAATACATTTATCCAAATTACAGAAATTACCGAGAATGTAATAAAAACATTGGGGTTGATAACATACCAGTACTTATTGTCATTTTTGACACTTTATTTACATTTTCAAGACATTAGGTCAGCCATATTGTTTATGCCTCGTTTCCGTATCGTCAGGATATAGACAAAAGCAACCAGACACACGAAGTTCGGAGAAAAAAGAACACGCTTGGCATTTATAAAGTTTTTCAACGAGATATAATTCTATAAATGTATATCTTAAGATACAAGTAATTAAATAAGTAGCCTATATACTTTATTACCTTTTATTTATTCTATGAAGGTGAATCTACCTAAGAAAATTCTAAATATTTTAGAAATGTGTACTTCCAGTTAAGATTTAATAACGATATACATCCGAATATCCAGTCTCTAATTTTCACGTGACAAATTTCTCTCACGTGATCTTTCAAAATGGCGAAGAAAGAAGAAATGACAGCAACAAGGATGCTGTTAGTTTTAATCTTTCTAATCAGTTTGTTTTCCCTGTCCATGGTAAGTAAAATATGAAACTGGCAAAGCTGTTCATGATGAAGTCATGTAAAGGTTTTTCTGTTTACAGAGTCGTTTCCATAATTATATTTTAGTCAGTGCTATGCTTCCGATATCGCAAAATAAATGAAATTAGCAGTGCGCAATGCAAAAGCTTTTTTATATTTTTCAATCTGACTAAAACTGAATATTTACTAGCATTCCAACCCCCTTCCCATTTAAGAAACCCCCCAAAATTAAAAAATCGGTTAAGACCCCAAATTGATGGATGTCAGTATACATACACTTCTTTTTAAAATATGCCAAAAAAGTGACCGAACACCATTTCTCAGCAACTATTGAAGATATTGGCATCAAATTTTCAGGAAATATCCTTCTGACCATTAACTATCTATTGGAATTTTTAAATTTGAGCTGTATAATTTATTTGTTTTGATATGGGGTCTGCAACATGGATAAAACCCCAAAATTTGGTTAATTTGCGTTGAAGACTTTTTTAAGATAGAATTCACATATGATGGACCTCAAATTTCAGGTATTGCTATATTCCGACAGAATTAATCCTTATAACAACTTCCTACGCTGCTCTTCGATTTGTTGGTATCTAGGGATGTTTAATGTCTGCCGCCAATCCCTACGTACGACCTTGTTTTTCATTCAACTTATCATTGTCAGGTTCTCTGATCCGCAAAACAAAGTGAATTCTGGGGATGGAGCCTTGGACATCCTATACTCATCTAGCCCATTCTCTTTTCTGGCAACAGGGAGCCACGGGAGCTCAGTGGGTTGGACGTTGGCTCACTCAACTGGATGTGCCGTGTTCAATTCCTGCATTGGCCGAGCAAGTTCATTGTATTATACACACCAGCCTCCCCCTGGATGTACGACGGGAGACCTAGCAAGTGACAACATATTCTTTTGGATAGAATGAAAAACTGATGTCCCGTGTGAGCATAAAAGAACCCTCGACAGTTGGAATTCGAAATAAGAGTAGGCTGTTGCGCCGCTGTTTTGGCAAAGTTTCCTTCTTATAGCACACTGCAATGGCGTGTTCCCCTCACCCACGCCCCCACCGTCTTCTTTAGCCCAGTAGGAGTAGAACATTAAACTCCATTTCATTTACTTGTAACAGATTCCATATGGCTGTCATTTGATCACCAACAAAAGAGAAAGTAATCCAAGAGATAATTTTTAAAAAAAAATAATTTTAGGGAAGTGTTATTAGAATCAATAAAATATTGTAACAATACAAGAAAAAGAATTCAAACCAGACTATATACCCCTATAAAATGCACGTGAAAATCGTGCCCCTGAACCAGCCCACTGTTAGCAAAAGGAAAACTTGGTTGAACACATTCACAATAACAAGAAAGCGGCTGTGGAGTTATCTTTTCTTTTTGTCCACATGATTTGTTTTCCCGAGATCTGGCACTAGTTCCAACTGTTGGTGAATGAAATATAGGTCAATATAACAAGAAAAGGGGTCATTTTATGAGAAAATAGGTTTACTTCCAGTGACGAGCGTCGTTTTTGCCTTTTTTTGTTAATTTTATTTTTTCAAAATATAAAAAATCAGTCGTAAATACGTTTCTGAATGTCCAAACCACGCTCGACACAAACTCTTGTTTTCTCCTCTTCATGAAAAGTAAAAAGTCATCGGTGTTGGTGGTCATACACCTTCCCGAAGTCGCGGAACAAAAACAGAACATTTTGCGGTCAGATTTTTTGACACTGATGAAAATAGTATCAGTGGCGCCCCTAGCAAGCTTTTGCATTGCTAATGAAATGAAATGGGGTTTAAAGTCCTACTGTTCAGCTCCGACTAGGTTAATGAAGACGGACATACACCATACGGTGTGCTATGAGGTTAGTTTTGCCCTGACGGCGGCGTTACAACCTACTCTTGTCTTATATTGAATATTCCAACTGCCAAAGGATCTTTTACGTCATGCCAATGTGTACATGGGACCTAGGTTTTTTCATCCCATCCAAATGACTAGACAGCTGTACTTGTCAGGACCTCCTTCCTGCACCACCCTGGAAAATCCTGATGAACATTCTTGGCCAACACTGGGAGCGAACCCAGGACCTCCAGGCTACCGAGCCAGCGTCTTACTCAGAAATTGTGATAGATTAGAATAGAATATTGAAATAATAATCAATGATAACTAAATCAGTCCATAATCTACCAGCGTTATCAATCGAAAAGCTAATGTTTCCATTGCTTTACTTTCCAAACAGCTAGATGATCCAGTTTACTAAATGGTAAAGTACAAGGCATTCCAAAACCTTATCAAAACATTCAGGTGGGGTTGGATTGCCGAATGGTTATCATAAGGCCTGTCATTGAGTCAACTGGCGTGGTTTCGAATCCCCGGTTGTACGTGACAAGGAGTAGGGTCACCTGTTTAACCTCGTGAGTTTTCTCTGGGTCCTCTGGTTTCCTCCCACTGCTTAAGACCCCTACGCGAAAACGAATTATTGAAATAAAATTAAACCATGTTAGTCCTGAAATGACCTAGTTTTTGTCGAGTGGATGTTAAATCCCATTTCTCTCCCCCTCTCTCTCACAATTACAGAGATTCCAAAACAGCATTCTGCTATTAATCGGATGAATGTATACATAATAATACTCAGGGTACACTATTTCTATAGTATACTTTGTATGTGACAAGGACCCCTGTAATAAAGTATTAAAAGTCTATCATGCATACCAGTCATATCACCCAAAGAATATTTGATTCTCCAGCCATCTCTATTGCTTGATCAAGATACCTGTAAGAAGAGTATTGATGAATAGCATGAAATAAAATAAGAAATAATAAACTCATAAAGTTGTGTTGTACCTCAAGTTCTAAATGCCATTCAAGGATATTATTTCCATTATAGTTCTATCCCATAGAAGAAATCTTTTTTTTTTTTTGTTTTGTTAAGTGTGGGAATACAAGTTTTAGTATAGATTATAATGGGAACACCTTTGTGTTAGATGGTAAACCATTCCGTGCCATATCTGGTAGTCTACATTACAGTCGTGTTCATCCATATTACTGGCATGACAGACTTCTCAAGATGGTTGCTGGAGGTCTCAACACAGTTCAAACGTAAGTTGTTTTTAATGTAAACTTTTAGAACTAAACCTTGATCCATTCATTTGAGGCTCAGTGAGTAAGATGGTGGCTCGCTAACCTGGAGGGTACCGTGTTCGATCCTGGTTTTGGCCGAGAAAGTTCATCATATTTCTGACGTTGTTCCCCCTTGTCAGTGGTGCAGAATGGAGGGCCTGACAAGGGATAATGTACAGTGTAATCATTTGGAAGGTATAAAAACCGAGGTCTTGGCAAAATTTCCCTCATGACTCACTGTATGGCATATGCCCTTTTTCATTAGCCCAGTCGATGCAGAACAGTACAACATTAAACCCCATTCTATTTCTTATCTAATCCTTGATCCATTCCCGAACAATAGGGCGTGAAACCCCTTTTCATTTCATTTCATTTGATCCATTCCAATGGTTTGATTGTTCTTTTAATAAAATAATAAATAAAACTAGACAGCAATATCAATTCATTGTATACATTTGTTACATGTAAATGATCCTGACAAAATTACATTACTTCCGGTGATAATGAAAATGTTAAATTAGTTTTATGAAATCAGAAATGGCATAAGGCATCACATGGTGAAAATTTTATGTAAATCGAATAATAATTTCCACTTTCATAGACCAAAAACCTTGAACAGTGACTTATAGAAATTCGTTTATTTCTCTGCAACCGTACAAGTTATAAACCATTTTTTGGTATTTGTATGATCGTATGGGTTCAATCTATTTGTTGATTGGAATGAAATATCATAATTTTAAAAACATTACAAATCAGACTCATTTGAATAAAATATCTGTTTTAAAGGCTAAAAATACAGTTTTTGCCAAAATGACGTTACTTCCGGTGATAATGAAAATCTTAAATTACTTGAATGAAATCGTAACTGGCATTAGGTATCACATGGTGAAAATTTTATGAAAATCGAATAATAATTGACACTTTTATGGACCAAAAACCTTGAAAATTTGCCTGTTGAAAATCGTCCATTTCTCCGCAACTGAACAAGGTAGAAACCATTTTGTGATATCTATATGATCGTATTTTGCTTGAATACACTATTTTGCCTATAACGTTTTTTAGGACTTCGAATTCTGTCTTATGGTTTGGATTGTTCGTACTTGGTTTTATTTTATTTCATTCTATTAGTTGATTTGAATCAAATATCAAAATTTGAATCAAATATCAAAATTTGAATCAAATATCAAAATTTGAATCAAATATCAAAATTTGAATCAAATATCAAAATTTGAATCAAATATCAAAATTTGAATCAAATATCAAAATTTGAATCAAATATCAAAATTTGAATCAAATATCAAAATTTGAATCAAATATCAAAATTTGAATCAAATATCAAAATTTTAAACAAATAACAAATACGACTCATTTAAATAAATTATTTGTTTCGAAGGCTATAAATACAGTTTTTGCCCAAATTACGTCATTTCCGGTGACATTGAAAATGTTAAATTGGTTTTACCTAGTTAAAATTGACATTACGCATCAAATGGTGTCACTTTTATGAAAATCCAATAATAATTGACTCTTTAACAGGCAAATTAGCGTGACTCATGCAAAATTGCCATTTTCTCGGCAACTGCTCATATTACAAACTAATTTTCACATACATTCTCTTCGTATGGATTATTGCTACAAGTTTATGAAAGTTGCGAAGAAACATTTTAAAACATGAAAAGCCTGAATTGGTTGTGAATAGCTCATTTTTTCACCTTTTTTCACCTTTAAATCGAAATGACCTGAAAACGAAACCGAAATTAAAAAAACTGAGCCCGATGTTTTCTGCGCCTTTACAAGGCACACCCTTTCAGTCATACCATATATTTGAAAAAAAATAATATTTGCTTTCAAAAAGTGGTACCGAACTGTCAAAATTGTAGTTTTTGCTAAATTTACATGTCACTTCCGTTGCCGAAAGGCAACTTTAATGGCAACAAAAAAAAATGACATTTTGGACCACGGAGCATATGAACTTTGTTTTTGCAAATTGAACAATAAATAATTAATCGGGTTAAACCCACTTTCCCAGTAAAACTGACGACATCGAATCGATCCGACAAGTAGTTTCTGAGATACGCTCAAATGCAAAAATAATAATAATGATAAGAAGAAGAAGAATAATCCGAACAAAAACAATAGTGTTTCACACAAGCTACGCAGTGTGAAACCCTAATAATAATCCGAACAAAAACAATAGTGTTTCACACAAGCTACGCAGTGTGAAACCCTAATAATAATCCAAACAAAAACTAATTTTCACATACATTCTCTTCGTATGGATTATTGCTACAAGTTTATGAAAGTTGCGAAGAAACATTTTAAAACATGAAAAGCCTGAATTGGTTGTGAATAGCTCATTTTTTCACCTTTTTTCACCTTTAAATCGAAATGACCTGAAAACGAAACCGAAATTAAAAAAACTGAGCCCGATGTTTTCTGCGCCTTTACAAGGCACACCCTTTCAGTCATACCAGATTTGAAAAAAATAATATTTGCTTTCAAAAAGTGGTACCGAACTGTCAAAATTGTAGTTTTTGCTAAATTTACATGTCACTTCCGTTGCCGAAAGGCAACTTTAATGGCAACAAAAAAAAATGACATTTTGGACCACGGAGCATATGAACTTTGTTTTTGCAAATTGAACAATAAATAATTAATCGGGTTAAACCCACTTTCCCAGTAAAACTGACGACATCGAATCGATCCGACAAGTAGTTTCTGAGATACGCTCAAATGCAAAAATAATAATAATGATAAGAAGAAGAAGAATAATCCGAACAAAAACAATAGTGTTTCACACAAGCTACGCAGTGTGAAACCCTAATAATAATCCGAACAAAAACAATAGTGTTTCACACAAGCTACGCAGTGTGAAACCCTAATAATAATCCAAACAAAAACAATAGTGTTTCACACAAGCTACGCAGTGTGAAACCCTAATAATAATCCAAACAAAAACAATAGTGTTTCACACAAGCTACGCAGTGAAACCCTAATAATAATCCAAACAAAAACAATAGTGTTTCACACAAGCTACGCAGTGTGAAACCCTAATAATAATCCGAACAAAAACAATAGTGTTTCGCACAAGCTATGCAGTGTCAAACCCTAATTAATAAATAAACAAATAATATTTATACAAATTGAAAGGACGCACAACGTGGCATCATACACAGCAGAGACCTCATTACGCGCAAAACTTCTATTGAGTGTGCACAGGTCACGGTGAACCAACTCATATTTCTGTTGTTATGGTAATGAATAAAATCTACTCTAATAAGGGAATGACTTTTATTCAAATTCATCAATAATTATAACAATGTAAAAAAATAAGTAAACAAATAATATATATATACAAATTAAAAGGATGCACATCGTGGCGTCATACATAGCATACATTACGCGCAAAAATTCTATAGAGTGTGCAGAGGTCACGGTGAAATGCGTTCACTGCGTCCTTACAAGACTCGCTTCGCGCCCACACAACTTTCAACCACGTTGGCACCATGCCCTAGAAGACCGCGCCCAGCTGTCACAACGCTATTACAACAACTCCTCCTCGACCTGCGAATGCTTATTATATAGTTGTATAGGAGATCTACTGAGTCTCATCCAACAAGAAAGCTAAAAACAAAACATCTTCACACATAGACCACAATATTGCCGAAAACAGCATGGGTGTGGTGGTATTGTGGTAGGGACGTGGTTAGATCTTTGTAAGCGCAGTAAGAGTGTGGTGGGGTTGAGGTGGGAACTTGGAGAGCGGTTTACAGTTGAACATGCATTATATACAAATCATATCAAAGAGTTAATGTAAAAGTCTTAGCCCTATCTCCTATCTGAATGATTATTGTTGGGTCTTTTAAAGAAACTAATTTACTTACAGATAAAAGAACAATCATTTCGACAAATCAAAATAAAGATAAAATTTGGGATAAGAGATATTGTAACAAATCAAATCGACAGAGTTACATTAATATATAAATTTCCGTGGTTAAAGTTTCCTAGTAAATTACAATCAATAGAATCAGTTAATAAACTTTTAACCGTACATGGGGTTTAACGTCCATTGACATAAACTAGGTTATTTTGGGACTAACATATTATTCAATATTTTTATTTCAATCATTCCCTTGCGCGTAGGGGTCTTTAGCAGTGGGGAATGGAGAAAACCTACGAGGTTGGACAGGTAACTCTACTCATTGTCACGTACAACCGGGGAATTGAAACCATGCCAGTTGACTCAGTGACAGACTTTATGATACAATGCTCACGCTTTAACCATTCTGCCCCCCCCCCCCCCCAGGCTTCTATCCAAACCACACCAGTTGACTCAATGACAGCTCTTATGATACACCATTCGACCACCCAACCCCACTTAAGTAGACACCTTTAACCATAAAGTAAAAGCTTTTAACCATAAATGTAAAAGATCCTAACCATAAATAAAGTAAAAGATTTATCCACGGAATAAAAGCTTTTAACCAGAAATAAAGTAAAAGCGTTTGATACTTGATTGGTACTGGTCTGACTGTATTGTTAATTTTATAATCTTTGCCCAACATGTCTCTTTATAACCCTATTGGCACCCAAAGATTATAACACAGTCAAGGCCATTCTGGTCTAAGGCGATAGCGTGGTGGACGCTTTCCGAGGGTTGGGAGAGCGTAGAGGCAGTGTAGGGCCCGCGCCAATGAGCGTTGCCAGATCACCAATGTATACACTCGACCTTATTCTTAGTACAGTAATCATGTAAAATGGGCATCGTAATAAGATAAATAAATCATGGTTTATGAATATCAGGTCATGCTGAACACGCACATTAGTACATTTATGTAGGCCTATGTTTAATATTAATAGGGCCGCACTTTATATAACAATTATCTATGAAGTCACAATATTACATTTTGATATTAATAGGACCGCACTTCATATAAAAATTACCTATATAAGTCACAAGACTACATTTATATAGGGCAATATTACATTATATAGACCTATGTTTAGTATTAATAGGACCACAGTATATTTAACAATTAACTAGAAAGTAACAATATTACAATTATATATGCCTATTTTTAGTATTAATAGGACCGCACTATATATAACAATTATCTATGAAGTCACGATATTACAGTATATAGACCTATGTTTAATATTAATAGGAGAGCACTGGATATAATTAGACAATTACATGCAATGGTTATTATGAATATGCTATTGCAGAACGTGTTGACGCCCAAACACTAGAATTAAATGGCTTATATTATAGCTACCATTTTCAAATATTATTAGTGTCATGGATTACACAGGATTAGTTGGTGTTTCTTCTCGGTTTTTCTCTGAACAATGTCGATAGAGTCTGATCGTCTTCAAACTCTTCAATACTACCTCAAGCAGCTCTATCAATGTTAATACACTAGCTCCAATACAGAAACCCATGTAACCTCCAAGATGACTGATGATATCACTGAAGTCCAACTCTGGTTCATGTTTGATCTTAGTGACCATCATGTCTTTAAAGGAAATCGATAAAAATATTTTTCTTCTCGGATGATTACCATATTTATTCCGCCAAGAAGAAAGTTCATATTCATATTTGACTTCCGAACACGGTCTCTTACAGTCACAAAGATCTGTAGGATATTTAAAGAGGAAGGCTTCCCAAATTTTCAGGGCACAAGAATATCTTTCAGCAACAGTACAAAATACACTTGAGTTGTCATGAAAGAGGTATTCTGTAACACATCCACACAATGATTGTGTACGATTAGTCAGACACTTTATAACACAACTATTATAAGAGTATGGAGAACGATGTTCCCCGAATCCTTTGTGTATCTTGTTGTCTTGTAGGCAATCTTGACCCTGGTACGAATTGTAGGGATGACTTAAATATTGAAAGCTCTTTTTAGAGACTTCAACTGAGTAAGAATATCCTGAAGCAAGTAAAGTTGATGGAAAATGAATATGGAATGGTTCATTGGGATGGTGCAGTAAAAATCGAAAGCCAGAGGATGGAGACCTAGAAAAACACCTGTCATATTTAGTGTCCAGGCCAATAGACACGGAACTTGTTGCATGGAACATCAACGGTTTGTTGTAATATGTCACATTGGAATATCGCCAGTTAAAAGTGAAACATTTTTCCAAATGTTCTCTGTAACTGACAGAAAAGTCTTGATCGGGCAACAACATCCGTAGATTAAGATCTCCGTATATAAGTATATCATCAATCGCAAATCCTACCCTGGATATATCTGTCTCTTTTAGTCTCAACCCTTCCCATTTGGTACCAGATACATTAAAATATGGAGAATATTGTTTAACAAGTTCAAAATATTCTAACACTAGAGGATCCGATTTATTAAAATTATCGATGTCCGATCTATTAAATTTATTCTTGTCTAACATACATAAGTTACAGAACGTGACAGCCGGGAATTCTAATTCAGGATGATATCTTATACTGGTCTTGGTCACAAAATTAAACTCCAGATATTTCAGATAGAAGGTAACAGTCGTGTACACCAAAGTTCCAATCATTAAACCAAAAAATAAAATCCACAGCGTTCTTTTCAATGGTCCGTGCTGCTTAGCAAATGCATTTTTACATCCGTGTAGTGAGGTTTCATTCAGGAACTCTCCCCAAATAGTTGACAGACGATGTTTAATATCCGCCATTTTGAACTGTAAGTGTCACAATGTGGTTAGCCTAATATCTCTTATATATCACCCGTAAAATCGATTGATTTTTGGTGAGGCAATTTAGGAACTCCCCCTAAATAGTTGACAGACGGTGTCTAAGTGTCCCAGTGTGGTAGCGTAACATCTCATATACATCACCAGTAATATCGATTGATTTTTGGTGAGGCAATTCCGTGATATTACAGAATCATTAATCTTTCATAATCTGCATCAATTAGTTTGGGTTTTGTTAACGGCAATTCGTATCAAGTTCCTTTTTTCTATCTAGATGCCATTTGTAATCGTTTATATGAAATATAATATATTGTCCTATTGGGTATATAAGTTCCATTAATCTTCAGCTATACAATACCTTTGTGTATATTTGATAATTGTTTTATATTATTAGTCTACCTTTTATATTTTCCACTTCTACTCCTGGGCCCTTATTCACGAAAACTTAAACTAAGTTACAACCGAAAATTTAAGAAATACTGCAACTTCATTGGATATATGCAAATTGATTTTACTGGTCAGCTAATCGAATTGCAGTATTTCTTAAAATTTCAATTGTATCTTAGTTTAAGTTTTTGTGAATAAGGGCCCTGGCCTGATTAATGGATTTTAAACAAATGATGAAGATGTGTCGCGTTGACAGTCTAATGAAAGTGATTGGTCCAATAGGGAATGAAGAAACACAACTCGTAAATTTATACTTTTTTATTTTTCAACCTTTTCCACGGAAACATGCTTGGTGGATTTCAATCATATTTGGTTGGTGTGTTGATTGTTGAAATATATTAATGTCTTTTGGAGGGTCGATGAAAATAACACAATCATCAATAGCAGATAACTTGAAAATGCCCCCCCCCACCACCCCACCATAGAATAACCCAGGGGTTAGTGGATTTCAACCATATATGATTGGTGTGTTGATTGTTGAAATATATTCAAGTCTCTTATAGGATTACATTTAGACAGTGGTAATGTTTGAACGACATTGAATCAATCGCAGATGCTCACATTAGAAATACAACAATTCATTGAGATGTAATATACCGTAAGACAAGATCTACCCCAAGGGCGGTCTTAATATCATGATAGTCCCACGGGAAAATCAGTTTACGGGAGTCCTTACCTATACAACCACTCACAGGAATAAAAATGGAAATGATTGATAAAATTAAACATATTTATTGAAGATACACTGCATTAGTAAGTGCAGGAGGACCGCACTACACGTAAAACAAAAATCTACAAGATAAACCTTCGGACAAGACAGAAAATTAGTTATTAGTATATGTTATGATATTTGAAAGTGTTAAAATAACGGATACGTCGGTGTATTGGAGTCCATACCTACACAACCACTGACAGAAATAAAAATGGAAATGATTAATATTCATTGAAGATACACTGTAAAAATGTTTATTGTTGATTATTTATGTTATGATATTTGAAAGTTTTAAGATAACTATAACAGTTTAACCCTTTATAGTTCTGTTAGGTTATTATTAACCCTTTGAATCCAGAAAGTATTGTGAATGCTACCACTTTCATTGTTTCTACTGATCATATCATATATAATTTGTTAGACCTGTGATTTTCACTTGATGTCTGATCAACATGAAATCTATTTCCAAGCCTTGAAACGACCAGCTGTTTTACAGCTTCGTCATTCAAACGTAACGCATAATTCTGAGGCGCGGGTCAATACCTTCACTCATCTAAAAAAAAAAACAGTTCATATTTCTCCGGGTCATCCGTTTGCTCCCACTGCTAAAGACCTCGACCTCTCTCTCTCTCTCTCTCTCCGTCTGGTTATTACATCTTGACATCCGAGGTTCAAAGGTCATCAACCAAACATCAATAGTTAATTAATTCAGATTGTTGTAATTAGAATCAACGTCTAATTAGTACTCGTTTAAAGATGGTGGCATATTAACCTATAAGCCCCTCTACCTCCCCCCAAAGCCCTGTATAGGGAAAGTTACGACAACTCATTTACAGGCGCCATTGTTGGCCCCAACTATGGCGCCATAAAAACTATGACGTCATATAGCTTTACTTTACAAAACGTTTTATTTTTTCTTGGGGTAACGTTTTATGGGCTACAATTTATTCTAAACAAATTGCAAAAGAAACCAATGATAAATATGTCAGAAAAAAATCACACTTACGGCCAAGGAAAAAAAAAAATTCGGCGTTCTTCAGGAATTATCGGAGAGCGATATCTCGTAATCACTGTCTTTCAGTGATGGGAGGATAAATAATTTCTTTTTAAATCCGTTCAACACAGAGTGGTTATGCCAGCCAAATGTGCCGAAAATTCAAATTTGACAAACATCAATAAAAAAAAGGCATTTATAAATAAAATTATCACAGAATCCATATAAAAGTCTAAACTGAATCGAAGGTTACAAAAAATTAAAAATGAATATAGGGATAAAATTATCACAGAATACATGCAAGTTTGAAGAAATGTGTTTTTAATCTAGATTTAAAAACCGAGATATTAGGGCCCTTTTTTACATCATAAAGCAGTTTGTTCCATTCACAAGGAGAGGCGTACTTAAACGCTTGTTCCCAAGTCAACACTACTGATCATAGAACAGATTTTTCATTTTGTGAAATTAATAATTTGTTTGTGTACGACAAGCTAAAAGTTGTTAATGTTTTATAATTGATAGCTATGTGCCATGGAATATACATGAACCCAAGGAAGGAGAATATAACTTTGATGGTTTAGCTGATATTGAACTGTTTTTACAGACAGCCCAAGAAGTTGGTATCAAAGTTCTATTAAGATCTGGACCATATATTTGTGGAGAGTGGGAATATGTAAGAATTTTTTTTGATTATCTTCTTAGATGTTAGAAAAACTGAAGACACATCACTGACATATAACTGAAGACACATCACTGACATATAACTGAAGACACATCACTGACATATAACTGAAGACACATCACTGACATATAACTGAAGACACATCACTGACATATAACTGACATATAACTGAAGACACATCACTGACATATAACTGAAGACACATCACTGACATATAACTGAAGACACATCACTGACATATAACTGAAGACACATCACTGACATATAACTGAAGACACATCACTGACATATAACTGAAGACACATCACTGACATATAACTGACATATAACTGAAGACACATCACTGACATATAACTGAAGACACATCACTGACATATAACTGAAGACACATCACTGACATATAACTGAAGACACATCACTGACATATAACTGAATCAAAAAGAGTCTTTCTATTCTATAAGTACATTCACTTGATACTTTTCTTGTCCATGGGTTTGTCTTCTCAGTGTTGAAGGGTAGGGTGGCGGAATGGTTTAATGTGTGCACTTTAGATCATTAGGTCTGTCAAGTGGCAGGTTTTTGATCCCCCGCTTGTACGTGACTAGGAGTAGGGTTGCATGTCCAATCTCATGGGTTTTCTCCAAGTCCTCTGCTTGAACAAATAAGTTTGTTCTTTATCATGTAGAGACTTTCAATCCATTTTGTAAAAGGAATATAAGTCTAAAAGTGGTTCAATTCTGTTCAGTATTTACAAAGATTTGTCAACTTTCAGCATCCACTGCGGACGATACATAGGATATGGCCAATGGCACAAAATTTGACATGTCGGATACCAGTTATTGAGTGACATTTTATTAGGTACAACTAACATTATTTTTTCATGGCCTGCACCTCATACTCATTAAAGATTTCTGGGGAGATTCCGAGAACCTGAATGTTCATTATCAGATGCAATGCTATGATTATCAACAGCTGTAGTAAAAAAAATCCTTCAAGAATTTAATTGGTCCAAGCAAAGTCTAAAGGGCAGTATTATCACCAGCTGAGATATGTTTTATTATGTTTTTTTTTTTAATAATCACTGTTATTGTTATTTTTTAAGGGTGGTTTACCAGCATGGCTTCTATCTATTGATCCAAACATGATAGTACGTACTATGGATCCAGGTAACTACACCATTTATACTAACTACTGGTACATATACATCAATAATAGGTTACAGGGTTACATTCTTATAAATACTAAATACCAGTACATCTATATCAATAATAATCAAATCAAATTTTTCAATAGGTTACACAATTACATTTTCAAAAGTTATAGAATTGCTATCAAGGCTGTCATAGTCGAGTGATTCCCAGTATCAGATATATGCTGGTCATAGAAATGAAATGGGGTTTAACATCCTACTTTTCTGCACCAACTGAGCTAATGAAGACAGACATACGCCATGCAGTGTCCTACTCTTCATCGAATTTCAATTGTCATGGGTTGTTTTACGTGTTTGCCAACTTTTACATGGGACCAACGTCAACAGGATATCACACTGAAAAAAATACCTGAAGAACTTTCTCAGCCAAATTCTGTCTTCAGTTGATAGATAAGTGTGATTAATATGACTGAAATGGCAGTGTTGATAATATGTAAACTATGTTTGTATTACAGGTCATAGCAGCAGTGTTGATCAAATGTAAACAATATTTGTATTACATTACATTACAGGTTATATTGCAGCATCCATGATAAACAATTTTTGTATTACAGGTTTTATAACAGCAGTGATATATAACTTGAAACTTGATGATATGTAAACAATGTTTGTATTACAGGTTATATAGCAGAAGTGATGATATATAAACAATGTTTGTATTATAGGTTATATAACAGCAGTGATAATACGTAAACAATGTTTGTATTATAGGTTATATAGCAGCAGTGATAATATGTAAACAATGTTTGTGTTACAGGTTATATAGCAGCAGTAGATAAATGGTTTGATGTCTTGATGCCTTTACTGAAGAAATATCTACATGAAAATGGTGGACCAATATTAATGGTTCAGGTCAGTGATATGATATATACAGGAGGTTTGGAAAGCAAGGGATTGTAGATTAACTTGTCATGTCAATATTATGGACATTTTGAGACTAACAAACGTTTCTTTTATATGGCCACATGTGCAATGCTATGGGGGAGAATACCAAATTTTGAGGTGGTAGACGCTCAGATAACTGCTCTGAGAGTTTTTCTCAAAAATAAACAAAATGGATGGGCCTAGTCAGTAGTTTTTGTACTAAGCAAACATATAGGCTATTAAAGAGACACAGACAATTTGTATTAGATGGATGTGTTAGCTTTAGAGTGTGTTTATATATTTTATTGAGTATGATAAATTATGATTCACCCTTAAGCCTGTTTTACATGTAAAAGTTTTCGCAGCATTTCCGTGCACGTTTTCACCGGTTATATGGAAACAGTCCCATTACATGTACAAAATGCCTACATGGAAAACAGGCCTTATGTTGATATAACCTTATGAATATTTTTCAGATAGAGAATGAGTATGGAAGTTATTTTGCATGTGATTTTGACTATTTGAGGTTTTTATATAAGAAAGCTCGAGGGATATTGGGCGAGACAGCCGTTATTTATACGACAGATGGGGATAGCTCCGGAGATGTTAAATGTGGCAGTATAGAAGCCTGTTTCGTTACTATTGATTTCGGACCTTCTAGTACGTCTATAAATCACTACCTCTTGTGTATATTTTTCAGATCGAGAATGAATATGGAAGTTATTTTGCATGTGATTTTGACTATTTGAGATTTTTATATAAAAAAGCCCGAGGGATATTGGGCGAGACGGCCATAATTTATACTACAGACGGAGATGGTGATGCGTATGTTAAATGTGGCAGTATAGAAGGCAGTTATATCACTATTGATTTCGGACCTACTAGTATGTTGTAACTTTAAATCATTAACTCTTCCAACAAACCTCCATTTCTCAACCCTTCCCAACCTGCTGTCTTATATGCTGTCCAACCTCATGGCTTATCTCCAGGTTCTCTGGTTTCCCCCCCCCCCCATTGGGCATTACTGAATAATATTGAACCACATGTTAGTCCCACAATGATCTAGTTTGTGTTGCAAGGATATTAATGTCCTTTTAATGGTTATTTAAACGCTGTTTCATTCACACTTTTGTTTGAGAGAGAAATGAATATTCAATTTATAAGTTTACTAGAAGGATGCCTGGCTTTGCCTAGGGCCTAAAACCCGGGGGTCATAACTCCGAAACCGGAAAGATAGTCCATTGCCACCAAACATATGTTACTGCCCCGGTCGGAGCTACCCTTATACACCAAATTCCAGCCTCAGGACAGCCCTAGTGTAGCTGCCAAGCTTGGGACAGACAGACACTAATATTAGTATAGATTGATGCCCTTTGATCTACAGTATGTAAAAATTGATTAATTGATTTATTTTAGATAATCCAATGGCAAATTTTGCTGTTCAAAGGCAGTTTCAACCACAGGGTCCTTTAGTAAGTAAAAACATTTCTTAATAACTATTTTAAAAAAGAAATTGCCTTGTGACAGTCTTTATATAGAAAACCATGGTGCTGGTCAACCAGCAGCAATGTCAGGGCCGTAACTAGCTCAGAGCAACAAGGGGGGTGGGAAGTGTTCTATGCCCCCCCCCCCCCCAGTTACTGGCCTCATTAGCTCTAAAATAAATGTTTGTACTTTGCACTTATTTTAATACAAAAGAACCCAATAAAGTTTTAATAAAATAATTAAATACACCGACCAGGCTAATGAAGGTGGGAATACAGCTTGTAATATGCTATGGGGGAATTTGATTGTGTCCTAACAGCAGCACTACAGTCTACTGTTATTTCAATTTCTACCAGGGGATCTTTATCGAATGTTCTGACAAAAGCTGCAGATTGTAGAGTGTTCAAAAAAATGGAACAAGATGTAGGTGACTACAATATGCATACAAAAAGTGGTAATTGATTTAAACAACAGTTTATTAGTAATATTCATGCAAATTAGTCATGTACTGATAGTACAATGTTTCTGAAGACGTTAGATGCATCTTTTCATCTAGTCGTCGTATTTCTATGCCAATAAAAAAAGGTTTTATAGATATTGTTTCAAAATTTTGTGTATCAATATTAAGAGCTAAAAGAGTGTGTCTGTGTTTTACCAATCAAAACAAAATATAGCCAGTATTGTTTTATGGTTAGTTATGTATTATTGAAATTATTGTTGAGCCTCCACTGTGTGTGAAATCTATGAAAGTGAAGCAGGTAATGGTTAATTTATTCATAAGATATGTCTTTGCTGTATAAAATGGCAAATGACAAGATGTCACTCCTTATTTCTGCACTAGATATTTAGCGTGATATGTGTGATTATCTATAAAAACTGTTTAAACAACTACACATACTCATAATAACACAACTTTATGGATTTACTACTTCTTGGTTTATTACATGCAACGTTTCAATACTCTTACAGGTATCTTTATTGCTTGATAAATATACCGGTAAGAGTATTGAAACGTTGCAAGTAATAAACCAAGAAGTAGTAAATCCATAAAGTTGTGTTATTATGAATATTATACCTCTACTTCTAAATGTCATTCAAGGAACTACACATACATTTTTTACAGAAATATTTGAGAAAATCTTTATATATACCTAATTTTACATACAACATTTTTACGTGACGCTTCTGTCCGACATTTTGATTCTTAACCGTTATGCGATTTTTGACTCCCCTAGACAATTTCACAAAACCCAGATACATCCTTTTGACTCCCCACTGACGATATGCAGATTTTATGCAGATTCCCTCTTCATTTTCCTGGTTGGTGTAGAAAAGTAGGACGTTTAACCTCATTTCATCCTATATCCATATTCTACAATGCAGAGTAGGTATTAAATTTAGGTTTCTCATAAATTGTAAGCATATTGTAACTTATTTATCATTTATATTGAATGGTTATTTTTGTTTTATCTAGATGAATTCAGAATTTTACACTGGATGGTTGGATCACTGGGGAGATCCACATGCTCACACAAATTTAGATACTGTTTGTAAAAGTTTGGATAAGATTCTGGCTATAGGAGCAAATGTTAATATGTGAGTTAAATGCATTATTAGTCTTAATTATTAAGTATTGAATTATCATCTTTAATTGTTTATTTAGTACATGACAGATCATATTTAAACATTTGTAGTTGTGTGAAGAATTTGTCCTCATAGTCATATTGCACATTGTAATTGAACAACTGTACTCATGTTGGTCGGTGGCAACGCCCCTGAGATACCATCTACCTGGTACATGTAGCTTTGCTTTCTACAATTCTTGTCCAAACCATCGCTCTATAGGCTTAATATTTCTCAGACACGAAACGCTAACATGGAAAGTCACATAGTAAATAATTTGCTTGTGGGCCTACTTATGTAATCAGACAATTTTTGAAAACTCATAAATAAATAAGCTAACAGTTTTCCTACCAGACAAGATCCAGATGACAAAAGAACATATTTTAATTCAATCTCGAAATTCCAGACATGTTGTATTTTCTTTGATATAGCCATTCTGTTTTGTGAGTATGTTTCCCCCCAAAAAATAGATATGAAATTGAATTAATTATTATTACAATTTTAGGTATATGTATGAAGGAGGAACAAATTTTGGCTATTGGAACGGTAAGTGAATAGAATGACTTTTATTTAAAATGGACAACACAGTAAAATTTCTGTTATAACAAGTTTGTTATTTGTATTAAAGAAATATAAGAACTGAAAATTATTATTTAGACAGTAGTTAAATTTTGAATATTAAAGCAACAATCTCATGGTTGTTACAAGATACATTTCAAATTTATTTTAGATCTTCGCAAATGTATCAAGATGGCAATATGAAATAAATAGAAACTAATGTACATTTCAAATCAAATTATTATGTTTTTCTATAGGTGCAAATGCTCCACCATATCAACCAGTACCTACAAGTTATGATTATGATGCTCCTCTAAATGAAACTGGTGACATCACAGATAAATACATAGCCATCCGACAGACAATATCAAAGGTAGAATTCTATTTATTTATGTGAACTTTTGTTAAATATGGTTTTTGACATTACCTGAAAAGTCAGAGCTTTAATATTAATTAATCCACAGAATTAAATGCGTGTATTAGAGATAATGACTTGTGTATTAGAGATGATGATGCGTTATTAGAGATATATATTGTAGATGCAGATTTGTCTTAGAGATGATTACAGTTGGGATGTATAAATAGAGATGTGATGTGTATTAGGTATAAATAGAGATGTGATGTGTATTAGGTATAAATAGAGATGCGATGTGTATTAGGTATAAATAGAGATGCGATGTGTATTAGGTATAAATAGAGGTGTCTATATGGTATATATAGAGATGTGAAAGGTATTAGGTATAGACATGGGATGTGTATTGGGTATAAATAGAGGTGTCTATAGGGTATATATAGAGATGTGAAGTGTATTAGGTATAAATAGAGATGGGATGTGTATTGGATATACATAGAGATGGGATGTGTATTAGGTATAAATAGAGGTGTCTATTGGAAATACATAGAGGTGTGATGTGTATTAGAGATAAATAGAGGTGTCTATAGGGTATACTTTCTATTAGAAATGTGATGTGTATTAGGTATAAATAGAGATGTGATGTGTATTGGGTATGCATAGAGATGTGATGTGTATTAGATATAAATATAAATTTGATGTGTATTTGGTATAAATAGAGATGTGATGTGTATTTGGTATAACTACAGATGTGATGTGTATTATGTATAAATGGAGGTTTCTATTGGTTATACATAGAGGTGTGATGTGTATTAGGTATAAATCATGTGTGTGTATTGGAGATAATTACATTATACTATTATGTTTTTTTTACAATTTCAGTATCAAAAATTACCCGATATTCCTATACCACCCAATACCCCAAAAGGAAAGTATGGTACAGCACAGATGAATTTTGTGAGTTATGATTCTTTGTACAAATTATTTTCAAAAAGTAAAAAAAATTGTAAATTCCAACTAACATATTGTGGTCAAAACTTCCTTTTAGCTGGCATTAGTACTTTGGAGGTCTTCACACATAAATCTTTTTTTATTTGACATTGACAGTTACATTGGATATTTTGAACTAGCAGAAATTCATAAAAAAAATACTTGGCTCTAATTAGGTCAATGCTTGAGTTTCAAAAATTATCTGACTATAATTTTTTTTTAAATATCATAATAATAGTATTCAAAAGTAGGCAAGTCTATAACTCAATATCATCTAAAGTCTTTGACATTGAAAACACAAATTATTTGTCAGTTTAAATCAACGTTGATGTTGTGATCTTACCGGGAAAAGATGGACTTCTGATATCCAATATTTAAGAAAAAATAAACATTTTACCATTGGCACACAAATCGCGCCATTTGTAACAATGGACTCGAAAAACGAGGCTAGACATATTTCCACTAGTCATATCAAACGGTGACGCCATTTGGAGAGCATGCGCAATAAACGCTATCGGTGTAGACTTGAATAACCAGACGCTAGAGATTGCCATTCAAATGAGACTTCTGGCGTATTTCGCCGAGCATAACTAATTTGAATAAAGACAGAAACGATTGAATGTAAATCAGTTTAAAGACATTCATTTTACATTATTATATGCATTGCGACCTATTTGCATCAATTTCTAGGTCCCAAATATTAACGATTTTGCTCCTTTAAAATGTCTGAACCTCTTTCATTTGAATTCAAAAACTAATATTGATTTGTTTTTTTGGGTGGCAAGACGTATTCGTTGAAAATTTTGCATCTATAAATAATGCCATGATTTAATACTTTATTTAAATGGCTTGCTAATGTTTGGAAGAGTATAGAAATAATATTTATTTTTAGGTATCAACTATACAAGATGCTTTAGATATAGTCAGTCCTGATAAACCAGTCTATTCAACATATCCTTTAACCATGGAACAAATTAGATTTGTAAGTATTTAATGTGAATAACTCAAGACATTCAATGAATTTGTCTCAGTGTTTGCATTGTGGCTCGTATACAGATCGTTAGTATCGTTAATAACAATCAACCCGGGATTATCTGTTAATTAATCTTTTGTTTTATTAAACGACTAACCTGATCATTGTTTTCACGCGTAACAACACATTATTTGATACTGATTGAATAAAATAAACCGAGTTTTGTCACGATCATCTAGTATCTCTTTTCCATTGCCACTTTGTTTTTAAACAGACATTTTAGCGCCTCCTATAATATTACATACAGAGTTACACCCCCTGCAAATTGGTAATAAAATCAGCGATGGTTTTTTGTTAATGTGCTTTTTTGATAAAATAAAATTGATTCATCGATTTTCTTCACAAAAAGGAATAAATATTATCGAATGCATCACAATGGTAGACAGTATAGTATCGAAGGTTGGTACAAAATGACAAGTTTACAGAAGTTATGTCCAAGAATTGAGTAAAGAATTATCGTTCGGCGCAAGATTCAGCGACAGTCAAATTTACCGATGCAAGTATTGATGTTCACTTCCAATGCATTCAAGCGTGATATTTAATTTATGTCAGCACAAAAAGCACTGAGATTTCATTAAGAGGCCATTCCTGTTAAGCAGTCAGTTGTGAAAATTCCCTTGAGTGGCTGCTTAATGCAGATTCTACGTAGTTGTATTCATTATTTCTGTTGAATATGATAATGTTTTATGATGTTTTTTATATTTTAGTATTATGGTTTTATTTTGTATCGAACCAAGTTACCAAGAGACATCAACCAAGTTACACCTATATTAACTAAAGGTGTTCGAGATAGAGGTTACGTTATGGTAGATCAAGTAAGTTTAAGGCTATATTATATCTCTGTATTCTGTTCTGAATTAGATTCTTTATATTGTCTAAATTAAAATATAAAATCTAGTTGGAGTAACCCTACTCTTTGTTTTGTCAAACCCATGTTTCCACAGATATAGGCTGTGTAAAATTCTCAATATAAACTTTGCCATGCTAAGGACTGTAACATCTGCGCAACTGTGGGTTTTAGGCATGAGATCTGGTCGAAATAATTCCTTTAGTTGATTTGTATGACTGACAGTAGGGCAGTTCTTGATGTTAATTTCAAGTCATTGCCAAGGAAAATATAAATGTGCAGTCTGTTTTCACAAGCAGCAAACTCACAGAAAATAAATTATAGGCTTGTCATATTGTCAAATAAAATGGCTGACATAAGGGTGACACAGCATGTTAGTCAATTATGGAAAGCTCTACCCAGGATTTGATTTTTACTGCTTTGAACCCATCTATGAAAGAAAGACAAAAAACGGTCAACTAAGTACCAAATATATTGTCCACAGACTGGAAGTCAGTCAAGCATAGATACGATAGACCTACAATTAAAAAGAGAACAATTTTGATTTGCTTTATTAATATTACAGGTACCACAAGGTATATTTATACGTGATGATGTGATACAGGTAAATATAACAGGTAAACAAGGTCAGATGTTAGATATATTGGTAGAAAATACAGGAAGAATTGGTTTCGCTACACTCATGAATTACAATGTAAAGGTAATATCTTAATTATTATATTTTTATGATACTGTGATAGTATGCCATATATTTGACCATGGTAAATACAACTGGTAACATGGACAGGGAATCTTGTTCTTTTCGTTATTGCATACTTTTGCTAGTTTACGCCAGTTTTAGTAGAAATAATATAGAGAAGTGGGGTGGGTTTGCTGTGCAATAACAATGAGCAGGTGTCAATGTTACAAGTCAATTATAGCACTCTTCATTCATTAACAGGTTTAAAACCTTTTTAGGGTTAGGGTTAGGGTAAGCATTAGGGCTAGGTCCAGGGTTAGGGTTAGGGATGGGATTAGCGCTAGCCCTGTTTACATCTCACGACCTTTGACCAAACTTGAAGTTGACCTTATCAATTAGATCTGACCAATTTATATTTAGTTTATATTTTATTCAGGGTCTAACTGGAAATATAACTCTTGATGGTAAAATATTAACAGGCTGGACTATATATCCCATATCTCTAGAAAATATTAACTCAAGTATAATTTCAAATAGACATCTTCAAAGGTTAGTATACAATTTACTTGCATTATCCATGTTATTTTCACTGATTTTCGACTATTAACCCTTAACCGGTCGACGTCATGACGTCAAGTGGTCAGGCTAAATAAAGGCTGATGTGAAGTATTTTGTATGCCTATTTCAATCGACTACTGCCGAATAATTATAAGTGATAGACTCTTGACACCAATAAAAAACTTGAAAGGGATAAGTTGATCTATAATTTGCAAATCATTCTAAATCCTTTTCATCAGAAATATCGTCTTCAGAATCGATATAATCTGAGTTGGAATAATTCATAAGTATTTCAACCACTTCGAGCGTCTTTAACATTCCTGACATCGTTAAATTATGTTTTTCGTCAAAAAATGTTGAACAAAGACATGTTTTTTTCAATGCCCTTGACAAGACAAGTTCCTGTCTGACACACATGCGTGGTCATATCAATTAAATACGAAACTAAATACTCAAATGCGACTTATAAAAAAGGTTCTTGCTGTGGTTGACTTTAGTGAACCGTGACCACTTAGCTGTATAACGTTGTGGTGATTATAGTCGACAATGACCGGTTAAGGGTTAACTTTCCCGACATCGTTAAATTACGTTTTTTGTCAAAAAATGTTGAACAAAGACATATTTTTCTCAATGACCGGTTAAGGGTTAATGATAACTCAAGTATAATTTCAACATGACATCTTCAAACAAGGGTTAGTATACTTGCATTATCCATGTTATTTTCACTGATTTTCGGCTACTCCGATTGTCACAATATCCAGTTATTTTACAGCATGACAATTTGCTCAAATGTCATCGGGGGGGGGGGGGGGGGATTTCCATCCCAAGCTTGTACTACGTATCAGGGATTTTCTCCGGATTCTCCAGTTTCTTCTCACTGCTAAAGACTCTAAAATAATAATTGTAGTAACATGTTAGTCCCAAAATGTCCTAGTTTGTGTCGAGTGGATGTTAAGCCCAATTTCTCTGCTGTAATTGAGTGTACGGTACATTAAGTATTTTATCTTATAGTTCTGGACCTAAGTTAAACAACGGTTTATTAACACCATCTATATATATGGGTAAAGTACCTATACCTACCTCTGATCCTGAACCTAAAGATACTTTCTTAGATATGAGGCCCTGGGTCAAGGTAAGTTAATAGCTTAAAGATACATTATGGGAGATTAGATAAAAAGCTGGCAATTTTCACTATAATAGTTAAATAAAAGATAATGTAAAGGGAATTTGCTGAAAAATTTGGTCAAATTGTTCCACTCTGAACCGAGAATTTAGCGATTGAATTTTGAGTCTAGCCTCGATCATCATTACTAAATTCGGTACGATAAATACATAGTCTCAATTATCCATTTAATCGTTAAATCGTGAAGGAAAGTTATGCAGTAAATCGGCTCATAATCCACTAAAGAGATGCCATCTATAGTTGATTATGGTCTGGATAAGTTAATTAATGTCTAAGAAATAATTTAGATAACATTTCAGGCCTAAAGAAAGACCTACAATAGACAGAATTAGCTCTTGCATAATGTATGTTAAATGTTTTTGATTGATCCCTTTTGAATTAAATTTTTTTCAATGTTTTTCATTTTAGAACAAATGATCCCATATTCCCATTGGAATTGAATTTTTTAATATTTTTTGTATAGAACAAAAAAGTTGGGCCCTATGTTCAAATATTTTCCTCATTATCAAATCAAAATCATATTTATTATTTATGATATGATATACAATAAGATGTAAGATATGTATAGAATAGCCAGAGTCAAAGTGTAGGCACCGGGGTGGTTGCCCTTGCCGTAAAATTCTTAGAGGGCACAGAAAAAAAGGAAAGTAGTAATAGTTGGCAAAAAGAAAACCCTCACACAGTATATCTCCCAGTGTTCAAACATTCTACTCAGTTTACTAACATGACGGGGCACATAAACATTGCCATCATTTAACATTTGTAGCCTACTGGGATAATAGTCCAGTTCGAAGGCTAAAGAATAGCAGTAGTCCACCAGCCCGAAGCTAGTAGTTTTGCTGATAGCTACTAATATTGTTGTTTTGGATAGTCCAACAGACTTGTGCTAAATGGATTGAAAGTTGAAACCAATACCTATATTGTCACTGTGCACTTTGTGACATGTTAACTCTATATATACTGCAGTGGTCGAATGGTAGGACTCGAGTGATTTTGTGACATGTTAACTCAAATATGCTGCAGTGGTAGAGAACTGGTGACATGTATGATGTTAACTCTATATATGTTGCTGTGGTCGAGTGGTAGGGCAATGGTCACTTTGTGACATGTTAACTCCATATTATGTTGCTTTGGTTGACTTTGTGCATGGTGACTTTCTGACATGTTAACTCAATATATTCTGCAGCAGTCGAGTGGTAGGGAATTGGCCTCTGAACTAGAATGTCATGTGTTCAGATCCCAGCATGGGTTGAGAAAGAACCATTAGGACTTTGCAAGCTCTGTTCTCCTTTGTCAGGAGGAGGCCTGCTGGGCTGACAAGCAGTATGTCTAGTCTTTTGGAACGAACAAAAACCAAGGTCGCAGTAGTTCGCACATTAAATGAACAGTATGGTTTATTTCAAATTCTGCTTTTTTCAGGGACAAGCCTTGGTAAATGGATTTAATGTTGGACGTTACTGGCCAAAGATGGGACCTCAGGTCACCCTTTATGTTCCAAAACCAGCTCTAGTGTCTCCATCCCTGCCAAATTATCTTGTTATGTTTGAACTAGAGAACACAAGTTGTCCCCCCTCACAACCATGTAATGTGATATTTACTGATAAACCTTTTATTAATGAAATACCATCAGGAAGTAGTTCTTCGGTTAGGGAAATAAAGGAAGGTTATAATTGGAATCTACGTGTTTAATGATGAATTTATCAACGGTTTAAATGATTTAAAATGTTTTCTTATGATAAGCACCATTAAGTCTTTAGCACACAGATCACCCAACACTACTGTGTGGTTGAGTGCCTCAAATTGATCAAGTCACGTGAATAGCTGGGATTTTTTTATGGACTGTATACTAGTTTTGTGATTCGGGAAGCATGAGGCAGGTCTAAGGAGGCGTAGTTTCGTGTTTCACTTTTTTCTAATTATTTCTTGGAACTGCATTACTCGATATTAACTTATACCAGATGCTGTAACAGATTGGTATTGTTGGTATAAGGTTATACAGTGCTGTATAATATGGCTAATTAGACAATAGTCAATTGACCTCATGACTCATGTGTATTTGATTCCATCCAATTAATTAGCTAATGAATTCCATCTCTTTTTATTTATGCACCCTTAGTGAGTTTTTCTGAAATATATGGCAGGTTTCTGAATAATTGAGATTATTGAATGTACAAAAAATATTGTTATTAAATCTTAATACATTCCATTTTTAAGTGCTCATATCATCTAAAATCTTCTCAACATGCCAGAAATGAAGGTTGAATATAGAGTAAAAGGCCATATATATTTGATTGAGAAACATATTTTGGGAATATATGAGAACTATCAAATCTGATTAAAATACAGATCTATATTTCGTCTCATTTTTTTATACTTTCAATGGCCTCTACTACATAAAGATCTGACTAGTTGTACTGGAAGGTTTGGCAGAGGTCATAAGAGCGGCCTTGACCATATGACGTCAGACATTTGATTAACCAATCAGCGTTGCTGTTTCTAGTGGGTTACCAACAGTTCCGTGCACCTCACACCAAAAACTCACCGTAACAATCCTTTTCATTGGCTAATCCCTCACATCATCCAGAACACAAGTTATATAACAACTCTTCCAGATCCTAGTGAAGTAAAGACAAGTAAAACGAAATTTTGAACTATAAAAACGAAACTAAATAGGATCTGTGTTTTAATCAGATTGTGAACTATCTGGCTTTTTGTTTCTTTAATAGATTTATCTATATATTTGTATAATATGTGTTATTGTTGATGATTAAATAAATGTATTTTTATAAAAGAGAAATATAATATTTCTTTGTATTAGACAGGTACTACATATAGTACCTCTGTTCATATTTATTATAGTATAACAGTTACATTAAGGTTCAATGCAGGGCTGTTGAATTGATATTGTCTGTCAATTTTGTCCGATTTAGAAATCATATTGACCGAATTAAAAATGTTCAAATCGGACATCAAATATAGAGCAATTTGTAAAAACATTCTTGAAATACTACAACTTAAAATTTCAGATATTCACAATCTTTGCCTTGTTATTCAGCCTGCATTTTCATTGAGAATTGTGTTGGTACTTATACTACTACATGTTAAGTAATAATCTAAATTACTAAGAAAATTATTTTTATTTACATAATTGTCTTAGCTTACCAGTAATGAATGAAAATGAAAAGAAATGGGGTTTAACGTCCCATTTCCGGTCTATCACATAATTGTCTTAGCTCGTAAGTAACGAAATGAAAATAAAATAAAATTGTGTTTAATGTCCAACTTTTCTGCTCTATAAAGGCTAATAAAGACATGGATGGGTAATTTGGGGTATCTAGAAGAACATTGTCTAATTATTTAAATTGAGTGTACATACAATATTTTATTGTCTTGTTTATTAATATTTTTTGGTTGTATTAAATCCTTTTTTAATGTTTACACAGATTCAAATATGATTTTCAATAAAGATTTTGAAAAAAAAAATTGGTTATCAGTATTTATTTTTTTTTTTGGACAAAAGTAATTTACTGTTTTGCTTTTGCAGAAAAGTAATTTCAGATTTGAGGTGCAAAAACTATGAATGTAGTCCTGAATTAACCATAAAACAAAATAAGGCTCCTCTTAAGGCACCAATGAAAGGTGGAACGAAAGAACTTTTTCCATTGGTGTAAAAGATGCACCTGAACCAGGCCAACAAAAGATGCTAAATAAATCTACATTATAGAATAAGAAATGAAATGGGGTTTAACATCCTAATGAAGACGGGCATATGCCATACAGTTTGCTATGAGGGGAATTTTGCCTACTTTTATAGCGAATTCCAACTGCCAAGGGATCTTTTACGTGCACGCCAAAGTGTACACAGGACCTCGGTTTTTCGTCCCATCCGAACGACTAGACAGCTGTCCTTGTCAGGCCCTCCGTCCTGCATCACTGACAAGGGGAAATCATGTCGGAAAATCCTGATGAACTTACTCCGCCAATGCAGTTAATCTGCCAATGCGAGCCAGCGTCTTACTCACCTAGCCATAGCCACCGTGGCCTCGTAACTTAAATGGCATTAATTTCTTTTAAGTGATGCAAGCATATTTCCATTTCATTTCATGCAAACATATAGCTTTGGCTTATATACTAAAACTTTCATAGATTTTAAACCAACACTTTAACTGGTGGATAAAAACGGCTTTTATTTAAAGATACATTATGGGAGATAAGATAAGGAGTTGGCAGTTCTCACTATAGTAGTTAAAAACTAGATAATGTTAAGGCAATTTGCTGAAAATTTCAGTCAAATTGATCCACTTTGAACCGAGAACTAAGCGTTTGAAATTTCGACCTAGCCTCGATCATCATTACAAAAGTCAGTACGATAAACAGCATAGTCTCGATTATCCACTTAGTCATTAAATCGTGGAGTAAAGTTATGCAGTAAATCGGCTCATAATCCACTAAAGATCGTAGGCTAGCGATGCCACCGATAGTTGATTATGGTCTGAATAGGTTAATTAATGTCTAATTAATAATTAAGATAACATTTCAGGTCTAAAGAAAGACCTGCAATAGACAGATTTAGCTCTTGCATAATGTATGTTTAATTGGTATTTTCGACGGGCAGCCTCTACCATATAGTGAATTGATATTTTGGTCGCCTTTCAAATATATATTGAATAAAACTGTTTTTTATTTTTATAAAATACATGATCTATGTCAACCCCTTATCGGCTGTACCATGTTTAATAAAGCGATTGGAGCAACAGACACAAAGCGCCACTAAGAGAAGCGCGAAAAGGAAGATATGGACGCCAATTACAATCGAGATTACTCTTGTTATCATTTCATGATCTTTCCTAAATTTATCTTCTGAAGACAGCTGATCACATTTTGGCCCTTTATAGATTTCCTGACACCCTTCAGGACACGTTCCGTTTACTTTATTACAGATGGTCCCTTCCTTACAATGACCACACAAAGAAGTACAGTTGTTTCCATGATTCCCGTCCGGACAGGTCAAATTACAATCTGATCCATGACGGCCAGGGACGCAATCTATACAAGAGCCACCCTCCCATCCTTCTGAACATCCACGTGGACACTCTCCTGTTTCCTCACTGCATGGTTCACCATTGAAGCAACGACCACATTTAGTACATTTCGGACCAGCATAACCTTTATCGCAAACATCACAAAGACCACCTGTCCATCCTGGCTGACATCCGTTAGAACAGACACCCGTTGTTTTGTTACAAAACTCGAAGTCTTTACATCTTCCACAAGTTTCGTTACATTCTACGCCATAGAACCCATCATCGCATGCTGTACAGAATGGTGGGGACCAGCCATCTGAGCACCCATTGCCACATCTCCCAGTCGTGCTGTGGCAGTTCACTTGATTATCACATTTTCCACAAGTGCGGTCACAATCTTTAGCGTAGTAACCCTTTTCACATATCTCACATTGTTCACCGGTCCAATGCGAATCACAGCCCAAATCACAATTTCCGTTTACTTTATTACAAGGACCACCATCCAGACAATGGCCACAAAGATTAACACATGCACTACCAAAATACCCATCGTTGCATGTCGTACACATTGGAGGCAACCATCCAATAGAGCATCCATTCTGGCACCGACCCGTTATGCTGTCACAATCTTCATGATCAGCACACGATCCGCATCTACTTCCGCAGTCTTCTCCATAATAATCCGAATCACAAACGTTGCATGCAGTTCCATTCCAACCATCACGGCACCCATTTGAACATTCTCCCGTGTTACTATCACATGCTTCAAATGCTGCACATTTCCCACACATTTGATTGCATTCTTGCCCAAACCACCCAGAGCCACAAATGTTACAAGTTTCACCAATCCATCTATTTTCACAACCCAAGATACACTCCCCCGACTCTCTTACGCAAGCACCATTGATACAATGGTTACATTTTTGGTTGCAAATCCCACCATAATATCCATATTTACAGTCTTGGCATCTTTCCCCGGACACGCCTTCGAGGCAACCGTTTTTACATGTTCCGTCTACTGGATCACATGTTTCATTCCCATAACAGAGACCACACTGGCTTTCACAGTTATCACCATACCAACCACCAGCGCATTCCGTGCATTGTTCTCCACTCCACCCCAATTCGCATCCATCTGCACAGATTCCTGTAATATTGTCACAAGGGGTACCATCCTTGCACTTACCACACGTGGATTCACATGTGTTGCCATAATACCCATTTAAGCACGATGAACACAGTGGCGGTATAAAGTGACCAAGACATCCTCCAGTGCAGATCCCAGATGTGGAATCACAAGTTTCACCTCCGGCGCAGTTACCACATTTTAGATTGCAGTCATCGCCATAAACACCACCAATACATTCCAAGCACCTGCAAAAACATTTTTAAGTGGTTTTCAATTATTTTCAAAAGTGAAAGCTTTTATATATGGGTAGTGTACAATCATAGCGTGTTTCTAAATGTAAGTTACACACTCCAGACATTACAAAAATATTTTAGATTGCAGAAATTAATAAGGAAAATTATTAGCATATTATACCTGTTTCCGGTAAAACCCAATTGACATCCCTTCGGACAAAATCCATTAGTTGTGTTGCATGCTTCACTATTCAAACACCGGCCACACACTCCCTCGCAGTTAGACCCGTATCGTCCACCGATGCACTGATTACAGAATACAGATCCCCATCCACTTGCACATCCATTAAGACATGTTCCATTAAACCGGTCACATGAAACACCAGCAGCGCAATTACCACAAGTTGAGGCGCACATCGAACCATAAGTATGTTTAGGACAAGGGTCCTGACAACCAAGACCAGCAAAGCCGATGGCACATCTTGACGCCGCACAGTCTCCTGTTATTTTGTTACAAACTTCTTCGGTGTCGTTACAGTTACACATTTTATCACATTCCCCACCAAAGGTGAAATCGGCACACTCGTAAAGCTCGACCTCGCACAGTGTCAGTACCGGACCCAAAGAATTGGGTGTTGGTATTGCAATTGTGACGTTCCTTCCCAGCATCGGATTCTGACAGTGGATATCAACAATGAAGGATGGGTCCGTTACGTTTATCCATTTAAAACATAGCTCTTTATCCACGAATACTTCAAATCCGTTCAGTCTTGCGTGAAGATACGGATTCTCTCTTTGGTAGATCCGTATTTTATAAATAAGCCTCGGTTGGTCTAAGATGACTGTCCAGAAAGCTGTTTGGTGTTCCTCTGGTACCTGTTTAGTATGAGAACACCCACCTGCCAGGAACACGTTGTTAGTTATTCCATCCACAGCCTTGTCACTAGTACCCTCGACCGTTTTGTTTAAAATATTAGAAAAGGTTTGATAGACACCTAACTGGTAAGTTTCATTTTGATAAAGAGCTACATTGCGCCTTTGGCAAGATGGACCGGACCAAGACTTAGCGCAATATCCAGTACAATTTTGTGGTGTTTTGTCACAACCAGTTTCACAATGACAGTCGTATTTAATAGAAACAGATTCTGTCATTATGGCAGCGACGATCACGAGAATGCAAAATGAATTCATTTTCGATAAATTTAGTTTAACTTCGTTAAATGAATTTTGTGTCCAAGAAAAGTGTGTCCTAATTAAAGATGCCGCCTCTGGTAAGTATAGAACTCAGATCGAATCATTTTTAGTTTAAGATCACTCTCTATTTCACAGTGTCTAAATGCCCAAATCACTGTCAATGTCTAAATGTCTAAATAACTGTTTCGGAGTGTCTAAATCCCTATTTCACAGTGTCTAAATCCCTATCTCAAAGTGTCTGTATCACTATCTAGCAGTGTTTCTAAATCACTATCTCACAAAGTCCACTCCACAACTTGAGTTAGTCGGATTCCGACAGTGGATACCAATAATAAAGAATGGGCCCGTTACGTTTATCCATTTAAAACACAGTCCTTTATCCACGAACAATTCGAATCCGTTTAAATGGTCAATTTCTAAAACTAGCGCTGTGCGTCACATCGACATGTCAACCTGTGGCATATTATTCTCATTGAAATACGTCAATGTATATACATTATACACATAAGTAATGTGTTTAATATCTTAGATAGTAGATTCTAATATTTAATCACAAACAACAGGTGCAAGGCATTTACAGTATAAGCTAAAACCAATGGTCATCTTTATTAGATTTTCTTTTTTTTTGATATATGTATTTAGACACACACACACAGATAGGCAAACTTATACTCGGGCCCAACTGCCATGTTTATATAAAAAAAGCTCTTTTTTCATTATCAATTTTTTTTAATAAATAATTATTGATATCTTTCGAAACTAATTATCGAAAGTGGTGTGCGTTGGTGTGTATTAGTTGAATCAATAATTTGTTTGTAAACATACAAAACCGACCCTTTGACATTATAGTAATAAATTTAAAGCAAGTCGTGAAATATGTATCAGAAACAAAATATAGATTTCCCTGTAGTTCGAATATATATTATAATCTCTATACAATGATGACATATTGGAGGACGAACGCGGTGGTTCAGTGTGTAAGACGCGGGTTCGCTAACCAGGGGATTCCGGGTTCGAACAGTTGGCAGACCCGGATTAAAGGGGCGGGGTGGTTGCTGACTGGGCTGCAGTCAGGGGCCCCAATATTAGATGGTCCCCAAATTAGTTTGTACCAATTTTTAATATAAAGTGCCGTTGTGGAAGTGTGACGGATAATGACCAGGGGCCTGTTTCACGAAATTTTAACTAAGATAAAATCCAAATTTTAGTAATTTGATTGAACAATATTAGATTGATTTTACTGCTTAGCCAATTTGGATTTTATCTTTTGTTACACTTTCGTGAAACAGGGCACAGAATGTGTCTTATTTTCAGAGTGGTGGTGGTGGTGGGGGGGGGGGGTGATGGCTGAATGGTTAGCGCGTGCTCGCTGTATCATAAAGTCTGTCATTGAGTCAACTGGCGTGGTTCCGATTCACGATTTGTACGTGACAAGGAGTAGGGTCGCCTGTCCAACCTCGTGGGTTTTCTCCGGGTCCTCCCACTGCTAAACACCCCTACGCGCAAGCGAATTATTGAAATAAAATTAAACCATACGTTAGTCCCGAAATGACCTAGGTTGTGTCGAGTGGACGTTAAACCCCATTTTTCTCTCTCTCTCTTCTTTTCAGTGTTGTAAAGGCCCTAATGGTAATATCTGACAGGGGCCAACCCAATCTGTTTCACAGAGAATTACGAGTCTAGTAGTAATATCTCTGTCAAAGATGACTGCCTGAACACGTGCCGTCACAGCACGCGGCGTCAATCATTGACTGAATGGCGCGTGCATTGCTTACATAAGACATTACTGCTTCGGCCGGAATGCTGCCTTTTAGTCATTTTAATACCCATTTACACTAAATAGGAAATAATTTTCAACTATAAATACGTCAAACGCCTTTATTCCTTTTTCCAATAGGACTACATAAAAAAAATGTTTTAGAATTTAATTTGTCGCAGGAAAAAAGTTAAACATACATTATGCAAGAGCTAAATCTGAATATTGCAAGTCTTTATTTAGGCTTCAGATGTCATAGAAATTATAAATTAGATCTTTATTTACACAACAAGCACAAAATCAACTCTGTAGACCCACGGATGGCTTGTATTCGGCTTGGATTTAAACGGGATTTCATTGACTGATTAAATTTTTAAATGGCGTCGTAAGCGGAGATTAACCGTTACGTTGACGTCATACTCCCGGAAATTTTAGATCGAGGCTAAATGATAGAGTTTACGAAGCGAGGCTGCCCGCTGTTTAGCGAGGCTGCATGTCAGTCAATTTGATTGAAAGTTTGATATATACGGCCTTGATATTATGTTTAGTTGTGGTTAAAATGAGAGTTTGGATGTCGGTATTATACGCTCTTTTGTCACTTGCGTTTACAGAAAAATTATGGAAATTGATAAACATCGCATCACCTCAGTTGAATTGCACCCCCATTGGATCACTGTTTCCTATTAGTATTTGTCTGCTTCGGGAGTTACGTAGGCCTACCAGTTACAGTACAAGAGTACACGCAGGCTAACAAGAAGTCGGCTATAATTATGCCTCATTGATTTGGTACATTCCTTCAAACTTTCGCTTCTTATCTATATATTAAAAGTCTTATTTTTAATTTGTAGTAAACATAAATGTGATACGAATTGAATGGCAATCCCGTCTCAAACCGAATGACTAACCGTACCACAGCCAACGAAAACGTTACTTGATAATCGTGATTATGTAGGTTCAGTTAACGCCTGTCAATCAAACGATCAGCCATCTCGGAGACGGTGAAGAGAGAGTTGGCTCCTATTTCTAGTCAAAAATTACAATGGTGATAACTTTGTTCAGAATAAAGTAATTTGGCTGAAATTTTCAATATATTCTTCTTTCATCATCTATTTTTGAACTGTTATAGCAAGAATGGCCAACTCTCTATTAAAATCTCCCATAATGTATCTTTAATATTTCTGGCTCATTAAGTCGGATCGATGTCATCCTTATCAGTGATTGTAGCGGCCTAGCGAAAATTCACTGCTGATCAGTGTG